GCCACTGAAAAAGGTCCTTGGTAGGACTTGTTTTACACATTTGAAGAAATGGAAACCACATTGACCGATATTCAGACAGTTAATCAACTCTCGACCGTTATGTTATATCTAAGAACAGCCCTCTGAACCAGAACCTTTAACTCCAGACCGTGTTTTAGCAGGAAAACGACTTACATCATTTCCTCATGGATTGCCTGTAATAACTGGATCTAAATCCAACAGAAGAATGCCTAAAAAAAATTAAAATATCGCAAGCAAGGCATTAAGCACTTTTAAAAACGCTGGTGAAAAGAATATGTGTTATAACTCCGTTCTGCGTATCGATTCACTCCATCAGAATCATCATCATTTTTTAACCAGTTCACCGTTTGCACCGAGAGAGATACGTTCACAGGAAAGGCATCGTCATCCGTTAGCGTCGGCAGACTCTCGTCGGGGTGAAATTTGGGCTGAACCGTAACCCCCGAGACACATACGACGCAGCGACCTTTTTCCAATCCCCACAGAATGAGTCGAAAATCAAAAGGGGTGATTGATGGGTTACTTATCTTCTCAGCGGTGTCGCATTAGGATCACAGCGGGGCTGTTTCAGGAAAGTAAAGGATGGGGACACTTTCTTCGAATAGCTACCCCCTCAACATATCCCTACCTCCATGAACATATCTACCTCATGATCCACAACAGCTTTCTCCCTTTCTATTAACGAACAAAGGGATTTGAATGCTATCTTTTCAATTCTTAACGATTCAAATCTTCTCTTTTGTTACAGGCCATCAAAATAATAAAACAAAATTCAAGGACATTTCAAATACTAGCTAATGCCCTTATTTTTACTTTATATAAAGCTTTTTCTGGACAATTAAAAATTACATTTACATTGTAATAGATTGCAATAGATTTGGGGTTGGGTGCAGGAAGTGGAAGTGGGGTTGAGTGCAAAGGGAAAAATATCTGCTCTAAGTACTACACCAGTCTTTGTGTTTTATGTTGCCCCTTAGGGGTCGTTATTCACCATCCTTCAGTGTGACAGGTACGCCGCTGTTCAATCTGATTTGAACAGAACTTCTAAATAGGCTTTCACAGGTTGTGAAAGGGGGAAAGAAATACTCTGAGCCCAGTTTTAGACACAAAAAGTTTACCTTTGGATGCGAAAAATGGCACGAAATGTTTGCGAATTTCCTAACGGCGAACTGGTTAAGATTCCTGCCTTAGTGGTGGGAAAAATTGTGGACACTTTTGGAAATTTTTATGCTTTTGAACTTTGTATGCTTATAGAAAACGTTAAGTTTCACAAAATGCAAACTTATATATCATTTTAAAGAGAATTTATTGTGAATTCAATACAAAACACAAAATTCAATTATTTGCAACAACAAAAAGTTAAACGATAATAGTTATCGATATACATTAGATAGTGATGATTGCAGTGAGTTATCAGTACTTAGTAGGGAACCCTTTATTTTTTGATTACCCGCTTCACATCGACGTTTCATTGAGCTGACAAGAGTTTTAAGCTCTTCTTTCGTAATTACATGATACCAGGAAACAATTATGCCTCAATTAGTTCCTTTTATTTGATGGCGAATCATTCGGACAAGAGTTTTCAACGGTTTGCCACAATTTTCGATGGGATTGAGGTCAGGACTGTTTCCTGGCATGACGCAATTTAATGCTCTTTGTACGAAAGCACACTTTCGATATTTTGGCCGTGTGGCAGGGAGCAGAATCCTGCTGAAAAATAAACGAACTTGTTGGGAAATTGTTGAGAAAGAGATTTCTGATGGAAGATAGAAGTTTTGGTTCTAGAATAGTGTCAATATATTTTCTGGCATTCGGTGTCTCATCGATGACATGAAGGCGACAATACCATCTGCTGACGTGCATGACCAAATCATAACATAACTGGGTTCTTCACAGTTGCTTGAATGCAGTCGGATGTAGCTCTTCTCCTATTCTAGTCTTACTTTTTCGCCCATGCACTACCGAATAACGATATCTTAGTTTTATCACTCCATATAACTTGTGACCACTGATCATCTGTCCAATTAATGTGTTCCTTTGCCCACTGTAGTCTTTTAGTCTTTTTTTTTTTCCGTTGCTGAAATTAAGATAAGGCTTTTTTCGCGGAATTCTACCTCTCAGTCCAAAATCTGTTATCTTTCACCTGATTGTTCTTGAACTACAGAAAACACCACATCATTCAGATCACTTCTGATGGCCGCTGATGACATTTTTCTATCTTGGAAACATAGTCTTTTATTCTCTGTCATCAATAGATGTGGTGCACCTTTTTCGGCCTTTTTCCTTCTTTGTTTTTGTATGAATTTGTCTCCTGATATCGTAAACAAAACTTTCGGACTCCAGATGTAGTCACTGAACCACCCACTTGTCTTACCAATTTCAGCATAGGAAAGACCACTTTCTCGTAACACAATAATATCACATCTCTTTCTGGGTGTCCAATCTACTCTTTTATTTGATTTCATTGCTTCTTGACTAAATATTAAAAATTTTTACAAAAATTCCTACTTGTAATTGCAGTGTATAAGAAACAGGTCCTCCTTCTACAGAACAAAGCAAATTAATGAATATATATTTCTAAGCACACTTGCAAAAACGTAGAGTTTTTTTTGTTCAAAAGCTTTTAAAATATACATGAATTTACATACTGGCGCGTTTTAAAATTTAGCATATATATTATAAGCGATAATAATGCCACAAGTAGTTTAGGCACTTCGTTAAAATTATTTGAAAGTATGAACGATGTTTTCTCGCTCGTGTATAATGAAAAAAAGGGAAAGGAAAATAGGTTGATATAAATGAAGAAATTCGCCAAAGGAATTATTCTTGGTGTAAAATGAAAAAAAAAAAAAAAAAAGCGCAAAGATCCGTTTTTGAATTTCTCCGTCAATTTTACAAAATTTAATATTTAGGTACAATTTGAGTCATAGAATCGAGATATGGAAAAACAAATTGGATCTTTTATTCCACATTTTAGGCCCACCAGCGGCTGAGCGGTAAAGTCGCTAAACACTGGTAGTTCGGTCTGAGGTTCGAATCCCGCGAACGGGCTGGCTGCATGGGCGTTTTCGTGGTTTTCCCCATGCGTAACGTCTATACGAGAAAGTTTCCCTTAAAAGTTCTCCACGAAGGCATCCCCCCTTAGTCAGATAGCCCTAGTGTGCTTTGCCATAATTAAATAAACCAAACCAATTCCATTTTTTAGCCTTTTGAGCGATTACTTTCTCGCAAGGTATTTTAGTTTAGCGAATGCAGCCAAAATGGCAAACCTAAACGTCACCTACTGTAACAATCTTCATAGTTTCGATTGTGCTCTAATAGTGCTCGAAGTTTTTAATTGCTTCAAGTGAGTTTTCTTGTGAGTATTTTAGTTTGTGAGTTTAAGTCTTTTCATTAAAGATTTAAAATATCACTTGCGTTTTAATTTTTTTGGATTATAAATTATTTGTTTAAAGGTTAAAAAAAATATTTGAATTTTTCACTGATGTATTTTATTATTTCAATTAAGTTTTCATTCTTTAACTAGAATTCTCTTTATTTATGATACAAGATTATAATTAAAATCTACTCCCTTTTTACCTTGTTTCCCCTTGCTTTGGGAAGGGCCAAAATTTTCGGATGAACTATTATAACTAAAATATATTGAACATCGGCTAATTCTTGATGCAGAAAAGCAAGGATTTTTGTGGAAGAGAGGTTTCAATTTTTTTCAGTGTTCCTCCTCCTGACGAAGTGACATAATTGAATTCCTCTTCTGTTATGTTCATATTTCTTTAATTTTTTTAATTTGGATATTGCTTGTTTGAAAAGTTTAGTTTTAATTTTTTTAAAAGTCTTTATTGTATTTATTGGATTATTTGAAATTTATTAATTATGAATTTAAATTTTTGGCCTTTGTGAAAAATTAGTTCTAAATTTCTTACTTTATGTCTGTACTGATGATTTTTCAGCAGCTAAATGCGCGAAAATATTAGGCATGTTTATATTTTTTTAAAATGTTTTGTAATTATACATATATACAATATATTCCCGTTCTGTTACCTGGCTCGGTGAGCTTAGTCTTTTTTGAATCCTCATGTGTTTGTAAATTTAACATTTTTCCTTTAAAAGTGATTGAATTACGTAGTTTTTGTGTTCTGGTTAAACCTTAAAATAACCTTAAATAACCTTAAAATAATCTGCATGCAATTGCTGTAGGATTATGAACAATTTTAAACTTAAAATGGCGAGTTAAGCCTAATGAGCTGCCATTTGTTTACATTTGAAACTCAGTAAATGAGTGAGTTAAGTCATTTTCTGCTCTTCAGTCTCTTTTCGCCGGGTGGGAGCAAAAGTAAACTTTCAGTTTTGTTCATCGAAAATTCTGTCTTCTTGGTCACTGGCCGTATTGCTTGTTTTTGCGTCGAATATCTAATTTTAATTGTAAAAATTGTTTTTTTAACTGTATTTAGTATTTTATGATTTTCTGTATTTTACAATTTTTAATAAAAATGTTTAGATTGTTTTATGCATTTTTGATTTGTCGCGAAGTGAGAACTAAATTAATTGAACGAGAAGTGTATATTTAAGGAAAAGCGAAATAAGTTCGGAGAAATAAGTGAAATGCAGCAGAATATGTGTATAATTTAATAGGACATACAAGGATGTCATGTGGTATCCACATGAGATTTTTTTATTTGGACGTTGATAGTTGATTACTTCCACGTTTTACACTGTAATTATGTTTAATTTCTTATTTCGCTCGAAATCTTGCATTTTTAGTAAAACTCATACTCACTTTATTTTTGTTAATGTGCCCAATTTAATTATTATAAAAAATTTCAAAGTTTTCTTTTTTTATGTTCTAATGTTTTAAAGAAATATATAATCTTAATAATATTCTAAATACGAAGATAAAAGTAAGAACTGAACGTTAATTTAATTACAGCATTCGACGTGTTAACTAAAAATAAATTGCATGAAAATTAAATATTGCATACTTGATATAGTTTCTTCATCTGTAACAGTTGTCAGTGTAATTTCTTCACTAATTGTGGGTCCTAAAATACAGGTTTAAATAATTCAATTATTGAATTTATTTATGAGCAAAAATCAAAATTAAATAAAAGCATAGGAACGAGAAATTACTTGTAGGTGTCAAAGTATCTACTTGCACAGTGGTTAATGTTTTTTCATCTGTAATACGTTCCGCTGTAAAACAACAGTGATTTAACAAATGAATATATAAAAGAAAAATTGAAGATAATCATAAGTAAAAATTCAGATATAAAAAATATGTAATTTATTATTTATACTTAATGTAAATCATTAAATATCTCTTCATCAAAAAGCTATATCGAAAACCTAAAAAATAACTTCAAGATTAAGAAAATAGTAAAACTGAGACTGATATTTGCGCATTATTTTATCTTTGCCTCTGAAACTCCACGAATACAGTTGATATTATATTTGAGTGATAACTTGCATCAATTAATAATGAATTTGTTTAAGCAAACGCTTTGTTAATTCTTAATTAATTTATTTTACTCATCTCAAAAAATTTGCCTTCTGACATACATTTGTATTCGGAATTTTTTTCATACTTATTTGAAAATTTCATTCAGTAAATATTAGTGAATTTATTTTATTATTCTTTCACACATACTATTGGTTATCTTGCCAATTTAATCCGCTAGTTTTAAAATGACGATCTATTATATGAAATACTTTTTTTAACTATTGCCTTCTAGCTACATACAGTTACACCGCTGTAATTCTGGAATTCTCTTTCCTTTTGAATTTATCTATACTGATACATCCGTGTCAATAGGCAGATTGATGCAATTAAAATCCATTCAGTAATAGGTATTGCAAGGGATAACTTTTATGTATTAGTAGCTGCTTTCTTAAATGAAATAGTGAAATTTATTCAGTAAAGTAGTGCTTTATTATTCCACATACTATTGGTTATCCATTCCAGGAGTTGCCAACCAGTGGTCGGTGTTCCTTGAAAACTTTTTGGTGGTCCGCTGAAAAATTGGACATTATTTATACTTTTATGAAGATTCAGTTAAAAATGACGAGTAAGAAAACCTATTATGGAATATGAATTATACGTTTTTTATATTTTTGCTACTACTTTTAGCAAAATTCCTATTTAGCGACTTTTTAGCTAGTTTTGCAGGTGTATCTACCGACATTTGAAAGTCAGAAATACACCGCTGTTATCAATAATAGCGTGAACTGGAATTCTCTTTCCTTTTGAATTACGAACATATGCTATTGTACTTGTTAATGATACAGGTTTTTCTCCGTGTCAATAGGCAGATTGATGCATTTTTATGAGAACCTAAAATCCATTCTTGTTTATTAAGGGGACTCATACACCTTAAAACTCATAAGATCTTCGAATAGGTGACTGTTGCAAGAATTGGGATAACTTATTTATTTTAAAAACAATTACTTTCGACTTTTTACAGCTGACTACATAAATAGCTGCTTTCTGAATGTCATCATTCTAAGTCTTTCGAAATTCATTCAGTAAATGTAGTGACTTTACTTTATATTCTTTAAAACATTTTGGTTATCCTTTCCAGGAGTGCCAACAGTGGTCGGTGGTCCTTGAAAACTTTTGGTGGTGCTGAAAATGGACATTATTTATACGTTTATGAAGATTCAGTTAAATGACGATAAGAAACCTATTATGGAATATGAATGATACGTGTTTATATTTTTGGCTACTCCTTTTAGCAAAATTCCTATTTAGCGACTTTTAGCTATTTGCAGGTGTATCACCGCATTTGAAAGTCAGAAATCACCGCTTCATATAGCGTAACTGGAATTATTTTCCTTTTGAATTACGACATATGCATTGTACTTGTTAATGATACAGGTTTTTTCCCGGTTCATAGGCAGATTGATGCATTTATGAGAACCTAAATCCTTCTTGTTTTAAGGGGACTATACACTTAAAAAATCATAGATCTTCGAATAGTGACTGTTCAAGAATGGGATAACTTATTTATTTAAAAACAATTACTTCGACTTTTTACACAGCTGACTACTAATAGAGCTGCTTTCGAAATAGTCATCATTCTGAAATATTCTTTCTGAAAATTTATTCAGTAAATATTAGGAATTTTTATTTATGTATGCTTTTCACACATACTATTTGGTTACATTCCATGAGTTGCCAACCTGGTCGGTGGTCCCTGAAAATCTTTTTGGTGGTCGCTGAAAATTGACATTATTTAATAATTTTATGAAGGATTCATGTTAAAAATGACGAGTAAGAAAACCTATTATGGAATAGGAATTAACTTTTTTTATATTTTTGCTACTACTTTAGCAAATTCCTATTAGAAGCGACTTGTAGCTAGTTTTGCAGGTTATCTACCGACATTTGAAGGCAGAATACACCGCGGTTATCAATAATAGCGTGAACTTGAATTCCTCTTCTGTGAATTACACATAATGCTATTGTACTTGTTAGGAGACAAGTTTTTCTCTCCGTGTCAAAGGCCCATATTGATGCATTTTTATGAAACCTAAAATCCATTCTTGTTTATTAAGGGGACTCATACACCTTAAACCCCTCGTGATTTTCGAATATGTGACTATTGCAAGAATTGAGATATTTTATTTATTTTAAAACAAGACTTTCGACTTTTTACAGTCTTACTACATAATACAGCTGCTCTGCAATGTCATCATTCTGAAATAGTCTTTCTGAAATTCATTCAGTAAATATAGTGAATTTATTTTATTATTCTTTCAAATACTATGGTTCCATCCATGAGTTGCCAACCAGTGTCGGTGGCCTTGAAACTTTTGGTGGTCCGCTGAAAATTGGACATATTATACTTTTTGAAGTTCAGTTAAAAATGACGAGTAAAAACATTATGATTGATATCGTTTTTATATTTTTGCTACTACTTTAGCAATTCCTATTTGGACTTTTTTAGCTAGTTTTGCGGGGTATCTACCGACATTTGGAAAGCAAAATACCCGCTGTTATCAATAATGCGTGAACTGGATTTTTTCCTTTGAATTACGAACATATGCTATTGTACTTGTATGAACAGGTTTTTCTCGGTCAAGGCAGTTGATGCATTTTTATGAGACCGAAAATCCATTCTTGTTTATTAGGGACTAGACCTTAAAACTCATAAGATCTTGAATAGGTGACTGTTCAAGAATTGGGATAATTATTTATTTAAAAACAATTACTTTCGACTTTTTACAGCTGACTACATAATATAGTGCTTTCGGATGTCATCAGAAGTTGTGTGGCCACAAATATTTTAATATTTTAATCATTTGTGACAACATTTTTCGCCTATCTCCACCTTGCGGCGCACAGTTTTAAAATATCCCGTTGAAATAATTCGTGTTTAAAATATAGCTTTTTAACATTTGGAAACTACTGGGAACCTAAAATTCTAAAAATTTCATGTTAAATTTTTATTTTATTTGGAGTTGAGTTTATAAAGTGTATTTTATTAAAATAATGTGTAATGTTTTCTTCCATAAAATTTTTCAGTATTAAAATATTTATCAGATTTTGGGTTCAGTTAGAAAATAGTGCCCATATAAAGAATTCCATCGAATTTTAAGTATGTACCATTAGGCCATTTTTAAAATAGCATGCGCGCAAGGTGGAAACATGGCGATATATTTTGTCACAAAGAGGATTAAATTACAAACATATTTGTGGCAACACAAAGTTTCTGGTTACTAGTTTCCAAAGCAGCTATATTATGTAGTCAGCTGTAAATGTTTGGAAGTAATTGCTTCTAAAATAAATAAAATATCCCAATTCTTGCAACAGTCACATATTCGAAGATCATGAGGGTTTAAGGTGTATGAGGCCCCTTAATTGCATCACTGAAAGTTTCCGTTCTTGTTTTGTTGTCTAACTGTTGATTGACGGCGCCATTGCTAAGTAAGCGAAGATTATTATGTTTGCAATAATTAAAAATTGGCGGCATAACACTTTCAGTTTATTGATATTGCTTTGCGTTAGACGGTTTGTTCTTGCATTTCGTGAAGTTACTTTTCAGTGATATGGAAATGTGAAGCTTTCTCTACAAGAAGGTAAGATTTTTGCACTTTTCGTATAATTTTTCAGTGTGAACGAAATATGTATATCAGTGAGATGTTATCCCGGCGAACGGGCTGGCTCAGTGGTTGTTTTCTTGCTTTTAGGCATGTGTATCGTTTATGCAGTACCTTCTCTATGCATAGGTGAAAAAGCGGGCGCAGCCCGAGCAAAATCGCTGAACACTGGTTTCATATCTCCGGATTTTCAAAAAAAAATACCTATGTCTCTACAAATGATTAAAAAAAGATGATGAAAGCCTGGATCTAACAATTCTACAGTTAAAAATGTGACATAATTAATATGAAAGGAAAGAAACGTCAGAGATTACATCTGACTGGGAAAAAGGTAAAAAATGCATATCCAACAGAGGTACGTATAACAAACATCCAACAAAGGTAGCTATCGCGTATCCAACAAAGGTAGCTATCGCGAAATCTTTAAATATCGCTGTAGGAACTCCGAACAAAATTATAAAGCATGATTCAAAAGTAATAAAAGCAAAACAACAACAAAAAAACCCTGATGTCCATCGTATAACACTGAAACATGTTTCTCGGCGTACGATAGTTCCATTAGGATTAGGCTCCAAGCAGCCGTACCTCTAAATCTACTGCTCCATTTTTTGAAAAAGTTGAGAAATGATACCAGAACTGAAGCTATTCCCTTTAAATGTATCCCAGCTAAGTCAAACAATCTGTATTGTTAAGAAGGAAAACTTCGCAGCAGCAGGCGTGGCCCCCTTCGAACGAAAAGGGAAACTACTGCGCATGTGTGAAATATTAGTCGCCAAAAAGCGCTAAAACTCGAAGATGATGTCGAAGTTCGAACAGGTTCGAAGGGTCACGTTTATCCAGAGTTTAAAGCTGCGCGACTATACTTTTCCCCCCCCCCATATTGACGTATATAAAATCAGACATCAGACTGCGATATGGATAATGCAAGTTCAACAGCCAGTGAAAGTGAAACTTCACCTAATTTTCTGATTCATCTTAACTCGCGTTCCTCAATTTCCTGTACACGTCGCGCAAGAGGAAAATCTCCGCCAGGTCCCGTACATCATAGACGGGGGAATTCTCGCCAACAGGTTTCGTCGCCAAATCCCTTGGCGAAGTTTCCCTCTTCTTTCTAGCAGCGTAGAAGGCAAACTGGTTTACATTACGTCTATGGACCCTTTCCTTCTTTACACAGACGTTCTTTGGCTAAGTCCCCTGATATATGTCTCCTATGTATTACTGTGCATCTGCATTTTTAAAACAAATTCTTTATAGGCGGCATCCGAAATCATTGGATGGACTCTGGAAGATTTTAAAGGAGGAGTGGAATAAAATAACCTCTGATCTTTTCAGAAAGGGACTTTTATCTTGGACAACCACAAAATTACCAACAACAACGCTATCACACTGAACATATTAAAAAATAAAATTCTAAAGTTTGTTTATTTATAAATCTTTGCAAAATCGTTACAAAAATCTGTGAACACATTCTGTTTGTTATTACCTTGTTAATTCTTTTATTAATATCGGGAAAAATTGTTATATTACTTTAAATTTAAATCATGACGTCATATGTATGCGAATTAACCTGAAGTGTCAAACGTTTTTGTTTCCTGGTTTCGGAACAAGAAAACATTATTTACGAATAGTTTGTTGCTTGGAAAGAATGAACTGATTCCATTCATATTGAAATGTTTTTATGTATAAAACTTGTAAATTTTGAATTGGCAGCAGTCAGCCTTCCAATCTTGTTTAAAACTTAATCATTTTAAAAAAAGTTATTCAAAACCTTTTTGGCAAATGAATAAATTATTAAAAAATTTCTGAAAGTGAATTCACATAAGTATTTGGACACTTTGAACAAACAGTTTTCATTCAGTAAAAACATGAAAATAACGAGACAGTAGTTGGATACTTTTAAGCTAAAATGACACTTTCATGCGCTTTGTCATCCATTCAATTAACCCGGCGGAAGGCTCTTCAAGAAACGTTTCTACTACAGTGCGCGCATGCGGTATCAGATACCCAAGTATTAAATATTTAAAACACGATAAAACAGTTTTATTTAGTTTTAAACCTGTTTTTTTTATTATACGTGAATAATACTTTGGTTTTAAAAAATCATTTTCCAAAATAAGCTTAGAGGTAAGATAAGGTTTGTAGATACATTAGATATTTTTGGAAGATGAAAAATTAGCAATGCCTTCGCAGGGAATCGAACCACAGACCTCTGGAATACCAAGCCAGCGTGCAGAACCACTACACGACGAAGGCACGCTAGGAAGGCTGGAGAAATACCTTATATACTCCCCCATTTAAAGGGCGACTGGGAATTTTAGGGGACACAATCGCCAAATACTAGGTGAGGGGAATCATCATCCAAACACCATTTTAGTTCGGGCGCCCCTGTAGAGACATTCGGATTGTTTTTGGAGGCCAGCAAGATGAAAAATTAGGAACGCCTTCGCCGGGAATCGAATCACGGATCTCTGGAATACAGGCCCAGCGTTCAGAACCACTACACAACGAAGGCACGCTAGGAAGGCGGGAGAAATACCTTATAGGTTAATGAAAGTAATAACAAAATAAACATCATACCTTTAAGTTTATTGCATCTCTAATACACACTGCTTATTTTATCTGTTTTCATTTTGAACAAAGTGGATGTTGGCACAGGAAGTTTTCACATTTTAAACATCGCATTCGTGTTCTTCTATCGTTGGCTCGAGGTTACTTAGTTGCTTCGAATTTTATATATTCATTTGAATTATTCATCGAAACTTCTGCTCTTCTTTTGCGTGCAGTACGTAAGCTTCTCGGTAAAGTATTAATCTCTAAGCGTTCTTCAATACGTTTTTTTATTAATTCTAATGTCAAGTCCCTTAAAAACAGACATCTACTTCTGTATCTGCTTGGTGGATTAGGAGTTAAAAGTAATATAATTCGAGCATTTATTACGGCAACATTCAGTGAAGAAAAAAAAAAAACTACCATTAGCCACCTACTTGTTATTCTGGCAATTGAATAATTCGCTGCTTTTTCACCCACAGTATCCACTAGTCCCTTAATCATGTTATAAAAACATAATATCCTGGCGCTTTATTTTCTCCAGTAGTATCATCCATAGCAGCATCGTTATGTAATAGTCTGGTTTAACTTAAGTTAAATATACATGCATAAATCAATATTTTTCGTTAGAAACCGATTCAATGTCTTGATGGATTCTCACGTTTCGTTGCTAAGAGTATTCCAGTTCATGACTTCTTTTATGTGTTCAGTTTAAATCGGGTCTCAGACTGCAAGTTTTGTTTCCTGCTAGTCTAAAATACATTTTCTCAATTTTGTCAAAATTTACAGTTCGGCAAAAATTTATGTAAAGTTCAGTTTACATAAACTGGGAATCCATAAATCTGAGAGTTATCCTAAATGGCGTATATCTTAGAAAGCTAAGAGTACAAATAAATAAATAGTGATCCTCCTAATCGTCCACAAAAAATCTGCTTTCTTTTTTTTTTCCCATAAACATGAAAAATTAGAAGACTCAAAAATATCTGAAAATATTCTCGCATACAGAAGACATTTAAATATCTAACAATACCTTTATAACCGATTAGAAAGAACTTAAAAAACTAAAAAGATTAGATTCCTTTTTAATCGAATTGTTTGTACTTTTCAAAGGCATTGAAACATATTAGAAAAAATATTAATGATAAGTAATAATACATTGAGAGCATTAAATTAATAAATTAATATATGTGAAACACATTAACAGGTGCACATATTTGTAAGTACCAAAAATAGTTAAAGTATCAAATTTAGGTGTTATTACTTTCAGGAAATTGAAGGATTTTAATACACGTAATAAAGAAAATCTCATAATCAAAAAAACGTGTTTGATATTGTTGAGGGTGTCATGAGAGTAACAAAAGAATTCATCTGCTAAATTACCTATACTTCAGAAATGTTTAGAAGTATCATAAGAGCTCTTTAATTTAGCATAAAACTATAATTTTAGTGTTTGGTCTTTGAAATACTTTACTAAAGATTTTAGAATCTTTGTAACAGTGCTGAATCTGATCACAATAAGATATATGATCTTGCATGTTTCCTAGTTTATGGATATCTTTGAGGACTGTCCTAAACATGTGGTGGTGACCTTACTTTTCTTTACGTTTTAGACTTTCATTATAATGTATTGACATTCCAAATGCCTCTTTAAATATATGGAAGTTTGTGAAGTTCTTGGCGATGATCCTTTTACGGAATTCTTGAGTGAGTTCTTTTTTGACCTACTATGAAAGATTTTAAGATTTTATAGCACACGTAAGAGAGTTTTTTGCAAAGGTTTGTGAAGATACTGTATTTTTAGAAGCTTTAATTGAATTTACTTTTAGAAGCTTTTAATTGAATTTCATCAGTTAAAAAGCAGTTGAATTAAACTGGTTGAGAGAATTATTCAAGTCTAATTAGTAGATTCGTATCCTCTTAGGTTTAAGAATTAAAGTTGTATAATATATATTTAATATATGCGCAGATTTTAATTTTGAGTGCTTAACTATTTTGCAGTTAAAGTACTATTAACAGTTGCAGTAACAAAATAAATTCAGTTTTTTTTAAATTTCATCTGGAGACTTATATTACCGAGAATCATTAATTGATAAAGTTTTAGAAATCAAACTAGAATAGCTTTAAACGCAGAGCTTACATTTACTTTTTCATATCGAAATGAAAAGCTGATAAATAATTCATCTATGAGCTGGTTCAATCTACTCTTGAACGAGGTTTTTCGTCAAGTAAGATACACTGACATATGGACATATGAGGGCACATGATACTTACGTTTTACTGGTATACTGATCGTCCTCACAGTTGTAGGAGTTAAATGCTCTGTAGAATGTTTGGCTGTAAATAAAGATTAATAATTTATTACGTGTTAATTCCTTTTAATGATAAAATTTTCATTGTTACGAATAATAATTAAAATTTATAACATAATTTATATATATTAAAAGCGTTCACAAGCAGTACATCATGCAGTTGCGCAAAATATGTTTACATTATATATATATATGTGATGTATCAGCTTTAGTCGTAGCTTAAATAATCAGACGATAAGTTTAAAAAACAGGATCCATTCATTATTATTCAGGAGATAATAGCAGTTACACAATTCATATATTCGGAGTAAATAAAAAAGAATTACTAATAACTTTTTGTATGAAGTTTACTGCATTGTTACATTAAAGAAAAAGCTCCGATATTCCTTTTGCGAGTCTTTTTATAGCCTCTGGAAAGGCGGAGCTTCCAAGAAATGACGTCAGCTTCGTCAGCCAATCCAGTTCGCTTTAAATACTTCCAGAACATTCTATAACCGTACGTGTAGAGAAGGCGGGAAAAACAACTTGACTACGGGGCTGTGGATTTAATTCCACGTACAAATAAGAGAACGTCGCCATTAAAAATGAAAAGAACATACAGTTAGAATTTTAAGTGTATTCTTGACTATGGAATTTTATTGTTACAAATATATATATATAAGTTAAATTGAAAATTCTGTAATAAGGACTTAAAAACATATCTTGCGTATCCTTAAAAATATTGCTTTTAAGATATTATTTAGTAACTATTGATTAAGTTTAAAATAAAATTAAACAGGCAAAAAAATACAAGCAAGTACAGATATTTTTATTACTCATAACATATTTTAAACACATGGGTCTGTATATTGAAACTGTATTAAGTTAGAAAGAAATACTTGAAAAAATAAATAAAATAATGCAGTGTGATAAAATACAAGAGGAAAAAAGCTCTATTATTATTTTCAGACTCTTTAAGTTATCAAGAAGAGATCATCTAACGATAATATTTCTTTCACCTGGCAAAATCTGTTTACGCTTCTGTACGTTTGAAATTAGTTAAGGCACTGAATTAATAGTTTAAATGTTTTTAGTTATTCTAAAAATTAAAAAAGCCTCCTCTACCTAACAAATTTGCCAACCGAAAGTAAAACCATTTCATAATTAAAAAAAAAACTTAAAAACAAACTTAACTCCAGTAAAATGAATAAAATGCTCTAATTTTGTAAAAATTGGCACTACCTTCAAATATTTCTATACCTGTGAATTAACGTAAACAAGTAAAACAATTAAAATATTCCCTCAAATTACTTGCATCTGGAATTTACTCTATTAAACTGAGATAAATTTAATTCGCGTTTGAATACAATTGAAAGACATTAAATTTAGTACCTCAGCTAATATTACACGCACAGAAACATAACAGATTTTACAAGGAAAAATAAACTTTATTGTTAGATGACTTGGCCTCTACGTAATAACATAAAGAATCTGAAAATAATAATACGGCTTTTTCCTTTTTGTATTTTATCATAGCGCATTATAAATTTTTTTCAAGCAAATATTCCTAAATAAATAAGTCCAGTTTCAGTATAAAGAGCCATTATATATCATTTAAGAAATTTTTAACTGAAATTATAAAGAGTAATAAAAAAAACTTTTTTACTCTATCGGCTTAAATTTTTTGCTCGTTTAATATTAATTTAAACGTAATTATTATAGCTATATTTTAACGTAACGTAATTAATGATAATAAATTAACAATTACCTCCTAGGAAATATGAATAATGAATAGTAGTCTTATATCATATAATATAATCTAATGAATAGTATATAATATAATGATATATATAATATAATGATTATATAATATATATATAATATGATTATATATATTACATATAATGAATTATATATATTACATATAATATAATGAATAGTAGTCTTCAACAATGTCTTCTAAAATTTATGAAGCAAATGTCTACTATTGTGGAAATCAAAACATGGAATATGTAATTAATTAAGCTGAAATTGGTCATTAAAATGCTTAATTAATAAAAAGTAAATTTAAGCAAATAAAACAAGAGAACCAATTTTGATTCCATAGAGAGATCCTTACTTTTCAAGGGAAATTTGAAACTGTCCAAACAACCGTCAACAATTCATAAAGATCGCGTTCCATCATTACCCATTTCTGAACAAAATTCCTGCTCTAGATTTAAATTTTCTAATCAGTTTTATAATATCTGAACTTAAATTTTAAATACGTTCAGAAATTTGAAATAATTTGAATAATAAACAATTAGCGACCTCAAAATTTACGTTTCTAAAATTGGTGTTTTCCCTTTCTAAATTTATCTGTTCTCCCAAATTCGAGATCTTTCCATGTTACAAAATTCTACTTGAAAAATGGGATTAAAACACAAAATTAGCCAGTCGCAGATTAGCTGTTTTTAAAGCACCTATCTAGTATAAATAGCTATTAACTGCGTAGTCTCTTTCTCCTTCGCCTGCCTACTGCCAGCCTGCCAATATGCCTCTGCTAGCTATTCGCCATTATTTAAAATGTAATTGCATATCTAAAACTATGAGCACCCCTAATCTTTTACAGGTTAGTAAGATATGTGCTAAGCAATTCTTCATCCAGAAATAAATGATATTTAACTATCAAGCTGGTCGTGCTTCTTCTAAAATTCCACCGGATCATTCCTCTACGTCGCAATTTCCAATCAGCTACTCAGTTAAAATACTACATCTCTCTCTCTCCCTCTCTCTCTATATATATAGATAGATATAGATATAGATATATGTACATATTATAGACAAATTGACATTACAACAAATTATGTAAAAGCACTTTACTTTGGAACTGTTGTTAAAAACAGGTCATTAACACAAATACCTTCATATACACTGAGAACGTAGTAGAATATTAACTAAGATCTTTTTTTTTTTTAAATAAATTAAGATTTATTAAAATTCATTAATTACTTCGAGGTATGCGTTTAGGAATAGTCGTACGAGGTTTGCTGTAGGACATAGTGACTTTTCTTTCTGCAAAAGAAATGCATTCAAGTAAAAAATAAATCCAAGACAAAAATTGAACATAAAATACTTTACGTAATATAAATTATTCTTTTCCTTCTATTAAATTTTTATCCTTTACACGAATTACATCATTGTATTTTCGTAAGATTGCAACTTAAAAGGTAAACAATAATTAAATATAAGTTAATTTATCATAACGTAAGGTATAGTATTATTGCTTCTACGTCCGTTTGTCTCACTTTAAACTAGTTAAACATTGCTTTGGAAAAAGGTGATGAAATGCTAACGATTTACATTGGTTTCAAACTTTATTTTAGAGTAAACAATGAATAAAATGCGAAAGGAGTAAATAGCCAATCAATTCAAAACCTTCCATTGTGCATTATAAAACAACAAAACTCGTTAAAAAGGGGTTATTTTTACTCATTTTTAACTAAGAACATGTAAAGTTCTGTAATTACAGTTCCAGTCTTATATATTAAAGTCCTTTACCTTATTTAACTATCAAAACTTATTCTGTAACAACGAATGATAATTTTCAGTATACAAGATGATACATTGTAAATGAAGTAAGTGCTCCTTTAATTTTATATGTTGGCGTTGTTTTTCTAAGTTTGTAAGGATTTTAACTTTTGCTAACGTTTATTTTATTTTAAAACTTTGTTATCCTCTCTTAAATTTCATTTACGGCCAGAATAAGCGCGAGTAGAATTGTTTATGCAAATGAGGTTGCAAACTATATAAGCTATGCCTTTTAACCAAGATAGAGTGAGACTTCTCGCTGCCTCACCACGCGCGTGCTTTTCAGTGAGTTCATGTCTGCCTTTGAGGCCAGAACATGTGTAGCGTTAAAAGACCAATCTTCGTGCTGCTACTCTCTGTAAAGCATCTAATTTTAGTTTCTATTTATTTAGTTTATTTCTTATTTTTTACATTTTTATACCATAACTGTTAGCCTCTGTATCCCGAAACGCGAGAACGGTTGTATGCTGTGAGAAATAAAGGGCAAATTTAACCCTTCTTTTCTTTGTTATATCTTCCACACACTCACGAATATAAGTTTTGAATAAACTCCCTGTTCCTACTCAGGACTCCAGTTATGTTTCCAAAGGCAACTAGAAGGAACAGTAGTCCTGACAAGTTTAGGTATGGAATATTTGAAATCTGGAAAAATACATAAGAAACTGGAAGCATATATAATGAAGACGCTAACAAATAATGCTTTTAAAGAAATTTTGTATATCGTGCATGGTTGTGAAGGGACAATTTGCTGTCTTATATAAGGAGAACGTGTGTCTCGAATCTCGGATAGCAATGATATGTAAAGCTATTCGAAAAAGAAATCCAATGTTTTAAAACTTTTATTTTAAAAAGCCGATAAGTTTTTGTTTTTATATTTTTAAAACTGTGAATTTAAAGATTCTAATTATACACTCCAAAGGATATAATGAGTTTTCTTTTATCATCTAATTTTATGACTTACATTCCACAAAATATTTTGATTCCAATTTTAAAATATTATGGAACGAATGAGTTTTAAGGTACTAGTTGCCTGCTTTTGTTATTTTTTACCGTAGTTATCACCTGTTGTTTCTTTAGTTATTATTTCTAACGTTAACAGTAACATCTTGATTAACATGATTAAAAGAAAAAAACAAGCGAAGAGAACAATAAATGTGTGAGGCGTGGACATGCAACAGCAGCTGACAGTATTTCCCAAAAAATAGTAAGTACTTTATGTAGTAAAAAGAAACAGTCTAAAAAAGAATTTCAATAATACATTTTTTTAATGTTTCAGTTCTTAGTTTTCCCCCTATTATGAATTACTAAAAAAACCGATTGCAAACTCGACACCAGTTGGAATTACAAAATATATTACAAACATAAAAAACGATTATGCTTACAAATTTGTATATGTATGTAAGAAAGTGGAAGTAAATTGACATTTCGATTTTAAGTCACTACAGATGAATTTAGCTGATCAATGTTTATGATTTTAAGTAATGTTTTCGAAAACGGTAGTAATCAAAAACGATTTGACAGAGATCGTTGAGCAGACAAACATGTTTAGGTCTAATTGTGCGTTTCACGAGTTAATATCAACACTGAGAAGTCCTAAAAACTTAGTTTTCTTCGTGCGCTTGACCAGAGTAAAGGGGCTCATACACCTTAGACCCCTTAACACGCTTCGAATACGTGACTGTTGCAAGAATTGAGATATTTTATTTATTTTAAAATCAATTACTTCCAACTTTTTACAGCTGACTACATAATATAGCTGCTTTCTGAAATAGTGATCAGAAAGTTTGTGTTGCCACAAATATTTTTGTAATTTAATCCGCTTTTTGACAAAATCTTTCGTCACGTTTCCGCCTTGCGCGCACGATATTTTAAAAATGGCTAATGGTACATACTTGAAATTTAATGGAATTCTTTATATGAGCCCTATCTTTTAACTGATTCTAAAATCTGATGAATATTTTAATATTGAAAAATTTTAGGGGCGATAACATTACAGATTTTTGTAATAAAATACATTTTATAAACTCGACTCCAAACAAAATAAAAATTTAACATGAAGTTCTTAAAATGTTTTGGTTCACAGTAGTTTCCAAATGTTATAAAAGTTATATATTAAATATGGAATTAAATTATGCAACAGAATGTTTTAAACTGTGCACGCAAGGTGGAAACATGACAAAACATTTTGTCACAAAGAGGATTAAATTATTAAAATATTTGTGACAACACTAACTTTCTGATTACTATTTCAGAAATCAGCTATATTATGTAGTCATCTGTAAAAAGTTGGTAAGTGCTTTTAAAGTAAATAAGTTATCCCAATTCTTGCAACAGTCACATATTCGAAGATCTTATGGGTTTTAAGGTGTACTAGTCCCCTTAACATCAGTATTAATACATCAAAAAGGTATTCGAGAAAGATCACTTGGTATTAAACGCAAGGTTCAACGTTGTACAGAACAGATTCATAACACACAACCAGAACTTTGGCCACGCTAATACTTCAAGGAACAACTGAAACACAAGGTACAAATAAAATGGCAAACTGCGTGGGATGAATGTGAACAAGGCCAATGCACACACTATTACATCGTACAAACAGACGACAAACACAACATCATTTTCCCGCAATAACAAGGTTTATTACAGGACATGGTCCCGCTCTTGAATATTTTAATAGACACGGTTTCAGCAACCGCCCTCTGTGTCTTTGGAGAAATTGGTATCGCAGAAAGTACCCATCTTATCGTTTTCTCTCTTACCAGAGAACACCACCTTAAAATCTCCAGTAACAATATACAAACCTTTTGCAAGTTTGTGGTAAAACAACGGCATCTGGTAGCAGCAATCGCTCAGATTATCAACAACCTTGCAAAACTCGGAGCCCTACTTATGCCTCGTTCTTATTAAAATAATTTACCGTATATACCCGCGTATAAGTCGATACCGCGTATAAGTCGACCCCCCCTACGAATTTATAAAAAATTCGTAGAAAATAAGAAACCCGCGTATACGTCGACCCCCCACTTCCGAAATCGATCGAGAAACTTCGAATTTTTTTTTTTTTTTTTTTTTAAGTACTACATTTATTCAAAATCATCTGAGAAAAAAAATTAAATATACGATAAAAAATACCTTGGTAAATAAAGAAAATCAAAATCCTTCAACGTCCGATTCATAGTCAGATTCGCCAAACATTTCATAGAACTCTTCTGTCGTCATTGGCCCGTCATCATACATATTTTTCAGTCTCGAACTCTGTATTGTTACAATCACTACTAGAGCCTTCGTCGTCAGTTTCACTTTCAAAAACAGTATCATTTTCCGTGCCGTCTAGTTCGTTGCTAATACAACATTTTTTAAATGATTTTATAATCATTTCAGAGGGTATTTCGTTCCAAGCATCTTTAACCCACTGAGCAACTAATGTAATATCGGGCTTTTTAATGTTGCCTCCCTTTGTAAATGTTGGTCGACCGGAACTAATCCACTCTGCCCAATATTTTCTAACATTTACTTTCAAGGGCTTATTGAGGCAGACATCTAGGGGTTGAATGACGGATGTCAATCCTCCCGGAATTACGGCCACAGTCGTTTTTAGGTTTAGGTGTTTTGTCACTTTTGTCACTTCTTCAGAAAAGTGTCCACGGAAAGAATCGTATACTAAAATTCTTTGGTTTAATGGAAACTTACTCTAGTTAAAGTATGAAACTCTGTGATTAGTTCGTCACATAATTTAAGTCATGAAACTACTTCAAGTAAGTGACTTATTTGATAAGTCGTCCAATTTGAGTGCGGGAAGAAAACAACTGCATTATATAAAGAAATTTTTGAACTTCCGATTCTTTTAATTTTTTTTATGGCCCCGCCTATAAGTCGACTCCCCCCCCCTTTGAAGTCTTTTTTTTTTTTTGTCCAAAATATCTCGACTTATACGCGGGTATATACGGTAGTTAATTTAATTATTCATTTGATTATTTGTCAATAGGAACAGTGCATAGATAATACTCCTCAGTTTGTGTCTAGATGTTTAACTCTCTGTGCTACTACTATATTTAGATGTTCCTCAATATACGTTTGCAAAATTCTTTAAAGTATTTTCTTTGTAATGTTTACTGTTCCAAATGTATGTTCTGTTGTAAAGCAATTTGAGTATCTGAAATAATGTAATAATTATGTAAATTATGTAATTATATCCTGATCGACAACGGTAAAACTATGTTACAATATTATTTGATGCATCTCCTACTGACAGGTACGCGGGGAGCCTAGTCGAATGATGGTATCTCCGTCTAACGTCAACTGTACAAGACACAACATATCAGACAACAGATATTAGTTGTCCATTTTAATTTAAAGCATTATTCAATTCGTTAGAAAATCGGAGCCCACTAATAATTAAGAACTACATTAGCAACATTAGTAGTTATCAACCTATTCTTTTCTTATAAACAAATAGCAGACTAGAAGTTTAAATAGATTCTAATCATGCTGTATGTATTTATTTTTTTTTAAATAAATAAAAAAAATATACTTTCTTATGACTCATAAAATTTGATTCTGCTAAATTATATTTTTAGAACATAATACATTCCGAATAAACAGTTAAAATACTTGTAAAGACATAATTACCTGTGTTAGGAACAGTAAAATGTTTCGTTGATGTATCTGTTTTATGCTGCGTCACACTATGAGCTGAAAAAACACATGAAATTTAATTAATTAAGGGAAATTGAAATGTGTCAATACACAAATCAATATAATGACATTTTGAAAAAGAAGAATACATACCGTATAAGATGAATAAATACCTCATGTATTAGGTTTGTACGTATTATAATTGCATTGTAAATGATAACGATGCCTTCCAATTGTTTGAGTTTTAGTTCGAATATGTCACGCACAGGTTTTATAAGCCGGTTAATGATGCTTAAAATATAGCATATTTCCCGTTAGAAAATTCTTATAGTGGATTTTGATGTCACAGTTTGAAAACACAATGATGACATTGTTACTCAACAGCTAAATGGTCTGCGATTGATGTCAAGCAAATGATTAACTTAATCTAGTCTATCGTATTTTGTACAAGAGATCAGAAACAATTTCGATGTATAGAGTTTCATATTTTCTTAAATATCTTAAAAATGTAAACAATATGTAATTTAAGAAAGAGAAAAACAATGAAGTTCTTTGAACAAATTTCACGATAAACATCCTTTACATTCTTTGCTGTGAGATGATTAACTGAAAATCAGTTAAATCTATGAAATTCGTTCTCCGTGAGGAGGAGAAAAAAGTGTAAAAGGATGATGAGATACTTATATTTATTTAAATGAAAGCGACGCATCTCGGAGTGCATTAAAGTAAAAAAAAAATATTCAAAATAGTACAGAAAACTTTTGCCGTAACAAAATTGGGACAAGCAAGGATGGAAAAATTCCTACAGTATTAACTGTAATAACGGAATGAGATATTAAACATTTATAACGAAATGCCTTACAGGTAAAAAGAAATTTTAACAATTATCATTGATACTGAGTTTGATACGCGGAATCGAATAGTGCAGTTATTACAATGTATTTAAAGAATATGACAGTATGTACAAAGGAAGATTCTTTCCGTTTTACATTCCTTAACTAGGATAATTTTATTGTAGAAGTTATCAAGTAATTTTTCAATAGAAGTTATTACTTTAAAATAATTATAATCAGTGATATTTAAAACATAGTTATCTCATTTAAAACTAAAACCTTCAAGCAGCAATATTTTATGAATATAAAAATGTTAACATCTTAGTTTCAAAGAAAGACTTACTCTAGAATTTACTTAAAAAACACTTTCTTAATTAAGACACAATAAGACGCCGAATAAATACTAATTCACAAGTCAAACAACAAAAATCAGGGTTATATTTACAAAATTTTCACAGGACTAGTTTCGATGGTTTTACCGAACCACCATCCTCAGCTGCAAAACTGCAAATGAACAAGATAGGAAATAATGATTAGATAAGATAAGAAAGCCTGGACAAGAATAAGCAAGTGGCGCCATCTGTTGGGGAAACCAGAACAAAAACATAATTTCTTTAAAGGTCGAAGGCAAATTTGGATTGGAATTAGGATCGTTAACTAGAACAGAAAGATTTTTATGAATGTGAAATGCCTCTAGAAAATCCAGTTCTCCAATGGAAGATGGTTTTTGAATAATTTTGGCAGCAGAAAAATTGAAAGTGTGATTTTCGGACCAACAATGTTGAGCAACAGAAGACTTCTGTGTTTCCTTTTTTCTAACATATGCCTCATGTTCCTTGACGCGAATTAGCCAAAATTATTCAAAAAAACATCTTCCATTGGAGAACTGGATTTTCTAGAGGCATTTCACATTAAAAAAAATCTTTCTGTTCTAGTTAACGATCCTAATTCCAATCCAGATTTGCCTTCGACCTTTAAAAAAATTATGTTTTAGTTCTGGTTTCTCCAACAGATGACGCCACTTGCTTATTCTTGTCCAGGCTTTCTTATCTTATCTAATCATTATTTCCTATCTTGTTCATTTGCGGTTTTGCAGCTGAGGATGGTGGTTTGGTAAAACCATCGAAACTAGTCCTGTGAAAATTTTGTAAATATAACGCTGATTTTTGTTACGCTGACTTGTGAATTAACACTTTCTTAATTTTTTTAATCATTGATGTTTTTATTAAGGAAACTGCCTTGAAAGTTAGAATATTTTCCTAAACTTTTAATGATAACATATGTTTTATATTATACTTTTTGTTAATTTTTGTTTTCAGTGGAATATCGCATCGGTATCTCAATAGTATAAAACTGTTAACTAAAGATATTTAAAAGCCTAGAATATCAGGAAATAGCACAGCACTTACACACAGTGCCTTTAATTGCTTTAATAATTTTGAATTATTTTATTTTTAGAAGGTTTTTAGTTAAATATAACATTAAACACATATTAATTTTAGAATAGTTTCCATTTTTGAGACATTTGTAGAGATTGAATTAAAGCATTATATAAATTAAAAACAAATGAAAATAATTTGTTATGAATTAAGATCGAGCAAATAATTTTCAAAGAAGTGAACTGAAAACGATTCGATAAAAGCATGTTTTATTATAATAATAAAAAAAGGCAGAAATAATTTTGAAAATTTTAAATAATTGAAAATAACTTTGAAATTTTGAACTTGTTTTACGAATGGGATTTGAATAACTGTGTAATTTGTTACCTAAAGAATACGAAAACAGACAGTCATCATTATATATAATGTTATATATTATTGACCATTTTAAAAATAAAACCAGAAATTTGTCAGTTCAATTTATTATATAAATTTCCTCAAAACAGGATTTAAGAATATAAATTTTTGAACTAAATTTTGAGCGAATATATAGAAATTGATATCGGTATAAAATATTTTAAAATACTTCGGTACGTTGATACTGTTAAACCCAGAAGAGGTAATAATTCGCTTTCAAATGCTCATCTACAAGATAATATACACTTCAAATCATCCTAATGGTATATTCTGTACAAATTGTTAGATCTCTGATATTGAGTTTTATTCCGTGAGCTTTCTTATCATATTCTTTAATTTTATATTCTACATTGGCGCTAGTAATAAAACACTGAAATTTTTGTAGCTCTATGTAACTCTATGTTTCTCTTTGCAGCACGCACTGTGGCTTGGTAGATGGACATAACATTTCGATTTGCTAAATCATCATATGTATAGGATCCTACATTTTTAAGTTAATACATCTTGAAAAATTACACCCTAAGATAAAATTTTAATTAAGAATTTATAAATTTATTTTGAAAATAGAAAAAAATATTTTACCTAATTACTGCTCTATATTTTTCTTCATTAATAAGCATATAGATAAAACAAAAATAATTTAGAAAAACAGATAAATTATCAGCGAAACAACACCTTTTTAGGTTAATAATAAGCAAGGCCGATTATTTATAAATCATACAAGGAAGGTAGCATTAATATAAAAGTACACTTACTCGATGGAACAATAGTTCTTTTCTCAGTTGTTACAGGAACACTGTAAGTCTCGCTTTTGCCTAAAATTTTGAATGATTGGAAATAATTTGTACGTAAAATATTCAATAATAAATCCATATTAAAAGAAATTATGGTTTATTGCATACAGTAATACCCCAATCAAATTTCAGAAGTCAAACTCTGAATGCCCAAATGGTCCATGACTTAAAACATAAATAAACAGTGGTACTGCTATTTCTCCTGTCGATAGAAGACCAAAATTATACAGAGTTGCGAGAAGTTGTCTTAGGGTGATTTCACCATCTTTCAAATTCACACTTTTTATCTGTTTATTCGGTGCGCTTTGCATAGTAATTGTTTGTTAATTGTGTATTTTATTTAATTTCGATTTTGTGGCCACTTACTGTGCTTATTTCATGTACTGTTTTGTACAGGTTTTAAATTTGAATTATAAGAATAACTTAACCCTTTGAGGATGGGACAGTAGGTATGGCGTAGAGTAATAGGTATGGGGAACAATAGGTATGGCGTAGTGCAATAGATATGGCGTAGAGGAATAGGTATAGTGGAGCAGTATTTATGGCTTAGAGCGAAACAGGAACAAATAACAGAGGAAATGCCTTATCCTATTAACGCTTGGCGATGTGTGGTATCCTGATAAGTTGACAACATTCTGAAAGTTTGAAAGTGCTTATCTCCTTCTTGAGCAAAGAAGATATCTGGAGTTACAATTGAATCAGATCTGTGCCGTGGGTTCATTTTTCAGTAGCAGTTAATAGAGATGAGACTCATAGTGTGCTTTACATTATTCTGCTCAGTTATTATTGAACAAAATAGATTACTCTGCAAAAGACTTTGGCGATCTACGAGTAGAAGTTCTGATGTTTAAGAATCGAAACATTTGCCTAAAGTTTTAATAAAATTTCAGTTTTTTCCCGTTCAAATAGCCTAGTTATCAGAGACGATCTTCAAGAATCTGCATTTCGGGATAACATGTATGCAAAATTAATTATAAATGCCTTTGGATACTTAGTTAGAGAAATGTAGAAAAACGATTTATTATAATAAAATCTAAAGTGATATTGGATTGCAATGTTCTTAGCCCAAATTATTTTGTTAATGAAAACATTTAAAATTTTTTATTTTATGATAATAGTATATGAAAAATTAGGAGTACTTCTTATTCTTTAGCTAAGCCTTTCAGCTATGTTGCCGAGCTATCGTTTTGAAATTTATTAAAAATGTAAATTAAAAGAAAATACTGAGTTACTGATTTGCTATACCTAAATAATACGAAAAATATTTAACAAAGACTTTATAAAAAGTTATCAAACATTTTATTAGAGCTTTCAAAACAATTTTCTTGAACTTACTAGTAATGGGAATTTCAGTTGTGAAAACTGTACTTGAAGTCCAGTGCTGCGTGTATGTCCCTGCTGCAAGAAAAAAAAAAAGAATCACTACAAATTACATTTTTATTTATTCTTATAATTTATATTTTCAATGTTCTTTCAACTCATTAAGAGCATAAAAATATATAAGGTATTTTCTCCCTCCTTTCCACATGCCTTCGGGGGGGGGGGGGGTAACGGTAGCACAGTCGGCGCGAGGTCCAGGTTCGAGGTCCGGCGAGGGCATTGCACATTTTCCATATCTCCTGCTTCCGGCTAAACTGATGACTCTACAAGCGTGTTTGCTTTGCTATAATTAGGACACTTGATGTGTTACATAAGTAGAAGAATGCCATCAATTTAACTCGTGCGAGTTTCATTTTCGCCCCTATACGGCTGTCTCGATATTTATTATGGGTTTCTCTGCAATTAAGCACCCCCATCTGGAATTAATGGCATAATAATTTAATTTTGTTATTTCTAGAAAAATGTATTTTCAAATCAGAAACGTTATAGGCGATGAAGGGGAATTCGGAGGGTAACTAAACAAGAGTTCACAAGGCAAACGAATATCACGACCGAAGAGGATCTGGGCTGAAGAAGAACCAGTAATCTAGCGGAAAGCATGGCGTTAAGCCAGTAAGAACACAGGTAATGTTCAGTCCCAGTCGTGTTGGTTTCTGAAAAATCAGCGAGGTATTGTTAAGGATGGTTCGATTAAACCGCTCTACCATGCCTTCTGACTGCTGTTGTAAAGGTGTGATTTTGGTTTTACCGAAGCTGAGAAGTTTATAGAGTTCTTTAAATACAGCCGAAATTAAATTCCTCTACTGATTGGAATGTAACTGAAGAGACACTACAAAACTGGAAATCCAAAGCTGTATCATTATCTCTGCTTCCTGACAAACTCTTGATCAGGGATAAGCTATGCTTCAGGCTATTTTGTGAAGTAATCAGTGAAAACAGGGATGTATTTGGTGCCAATACTAAATCCCGTCTTTTCTCGGTGTGTATCTCTACCTTCTAATACCCGCTTTTTAAATCAAGCGTCGGAAACCACTTGCTTCCTGAAAGAGTATATAGAATATCTTTAATTCTTGAAAAGGTCAGTTGTCTTTCTTTGAAGATTCACTCAACCGGCGATAGTCAACCCACAGTCTTGTTGAACAATTTTTCTTTCTGACCTGGATCATGGGAGGGACCGATAACGTCTCTTTCTTGCAAGCCATTTAGACGTTTTCCTACCTCGCCCTGTTTAGAGATCAGTAGTCCTCTGGAATTTTGCTTCACTAATGGATGATATCCCGTGTTAATTCTATGCTGAACGAAACTGGTTCGACCTACGGAATGAGATGTGCAGCAGAAAATATTTTGAAATTCTTGAGTAAGACAATCAGCAATATTTTTCTCTTCATTGCTTAGTTGTGCATTCTGCAATAATTCCGAAAATAGGCTCTCCGAAGATACAGAGATTTGCGGATTATTATGTCGTTCAACGCAGGTCACTGGACTATATGCTACACTGACTACCAATAAGTATTTGGACATCTGTGATAGAAAAGAAAAACTAACTTTATTCAAAATCAATAGTTGGTAGAGCCTCCACGAAAGATAATTACAGCTTAGACCCTCCGGGGCATACTTTCCACAAGTCTTTGTATGACAGCTAGTGGTATATTCTTCCACTCGGCTTGGAGAAGACATAGAAGTTCCTTCACCGATTTTGCACGAGCAGTGCACCCCTGAATTCGGGGATGCAACTCGTCCCAGAGGTTCTCGATAGGGTTCATGTCTGGACTCTGGGCAGGCAAGTCCATTCGATGAACTCCATTGGCACCATACCAAGCCTTGGTTAACGTCGAAACATGACAACGGGCATTGTCGTCCTGAAAGTAACATGGGTCCAACCCGTAAAACTGCCACAACGTAGGAAGCACATTGTCTTCCAAAATAGTGCAGTAATCATCGGAGTTGAGCTTACCATGAATGGGGACAAAGGGTCTCAGCCCATACCAGGAGAAACACCGCCAGACCATAATTCACCTTCCGCCGAACTTGACTGTTGGCACAATGCATTCTGGCAGGAGACGTTCTCCAGGTAGACGCCAGACCCAGAACCTGCCATCCGAACGGTAAAGGGTGAACCTTGATTCGTCACTCCAAAGTACCCAAAGAGTTCCACTGATCTACGGTCCAATTTCGATGTACTTTGCACCACATTAACCGAGCAGCGTGGTTGAACTGTGTGATCAAAGGCTTATGGGCAGCACGACCATCAAAAAGAAGCAGATGTGCTTCCTTACGAATGGTATTTATTGAAACAATACTCCCGGATTCCTGGTGAACTCCTTGCGGATGAGGGCCATGGGTTGGGTGCGGTTCTTCCGAATTTCTTTGGACAGCACTCGTCGGTCTCTATCTCCCAGTTTCGTTGGTCTGCCGACTCGGCACACATTCCGACAATCACCGCTTTTTTTGCACTTCTTAATCACATAGGCCACTGTCGATTTTGGGTACTTCAGATCGCTAGATATGTCCCTTAAGGATATGTCTTTTAAGGCCACATTTGCGATACCCGATAATTATACCGAAATCAGAGAGCTGCGAACTGCGAGGCCTCTTCCATGCGACTAAAGCCGATGCTGTTTCCTACACGGTATATACCGGCAGAGGCCGTGACGTACCTTAGGATCGCAGATATTGTCATTTGCATAGGTGTCCAAATAATTATTGGTAGTCAGTGTACAACCAATTTGCCTCTCTTCATGACTTTCACCTTATGGCTTACGTTTACGACACTTACTGTGATAACGGTATCGGCAAGACGAAAGCCGAGGCTTCTAGTATTCCTCCTGGATTTTAGGATACTCCATCATGCCATATAGGAAATTTCTGTTTTCAGTTATGGATTCTGGTAGTAAAATGTCGGTTCTTGGTGGTACTGTGATATCATCTTGAGCTATGGTTTGGTGAACAGATTTAACTCGAATAATGTTATTTCCTGACAGGCAGAATGCATTTCGTTATTTTTATCGTCCAAGAAAATTGTATTTTCTTAAAATGTTTAATCCCAGTATGCAAAGGTATGTAATATTTGCTATATATTCCATGTGGTGGTAGGCGGCACTTACAAAAGTGATGATGTTCATGTTCAATTTTCCATCGATATAGATTTTATCACCGCACACAATCTGGAAGTTAACAGAGAGACGCGTCCAGATGAATTCACTTTTCAATTGTTGAGCCAAATCTTTTCGGATGATGGTGACATACGCTCCTATATCGATGATCATAATGCAAGAAATACCATTTATACTACTCATGATGAAGACTCCGTTACTGCGCTTACTCACTGCAGAAATTTGAAGAGCTTTTAAATGGGTCTTTTCAGCATCTGGAAACATCCACCGCGCGAGATGGCCACTATTTATTTTCTCACCTCCTTGCTAGGAACAGTCTAACCTTCCGTGCTTTTGGATGTTCTGCAGTTCCTTTGTAGCTGGTCTTCAGCACCGCAGTTATAGCACTTTAGGTGTTGGTTTTTGTATCTCCTATTCCGTATCAATTTATTGATTTGCCTGGTCAAATCGTCTGGATGAGCAATAATTTGATCCACTGTCTCCTGGAATTGAGCAGGTCTGATTGGGTGCGGTTTCTGGGAATTCCTTGCTGGGCTGCCTCGAATTTCATGGCTCACCTAAGGCGCTCTTTAGATCTTTAACATAAGCCTATAAATGGCTTATGTTAAGGATCTAAAGAGTGCCTTAGTGTGCGCCATGAAATTTCCGTATCTCAGGATCCCGGATACCATCGATGATGTACTGCAGGAACAAGATATCCTTTGTTTCTATTGAGCAGTCCCTAAAGGGGAAACGAGACAACCTCCCAGCATTCGTGGCGAGCTCCTGGAGTGCTACCTTGGCTTCTGCTGACGAGATTTTAACCGAAGTCTGATATATTCTTTAAAAAATTTCTCGCCATAGTGCTGTTCCAACGCGGCGGATAGAGCTTCGAAGTCAAGCCTGGTTTAGCCTCCGAAGTCTAGACTAGTTTTCGAGCAAACCTCCGCTGCATTTTAGAAGCGGCGAGATGACAGGCATCAACTTAGGAATCCAACCATTTGCATTCGCCACTATAGAAAACAAAGTCTTATACACTTGTCAGGAAGTGTCATATGTCAACAGCTTTAGAGAGGGATGAGAAGGCATGGGTAAAAATGTAAAAACCGTGAGTATTGCTTCCTGCTGTTGCTATGAATTTCGTTAAGGTTTTATCTCCTTTGATGACAGCAGAAACTCTGTAATCGATTTTAGGCAGCAGAAACTCTTTCTTCTGTTTGTTGTTCGGCAGCAAAAACCCTTTCTACAATTTCACCAACTATGTTTTGAACCGTGTCCATTCTGCCTACCATAGCTTCAAATTTGTTTTCTATTATGGCAGTAATTTTTCTTTTCATGTCCCCTTGACGTGCTTCAATCTCTGCTTTAACTGATGTGACGGCCCCTTCCCTTATTTCTTGGTCCACTTTGATCTTTTCTTGAACTGATGTCACAGTTCCTTTCATCATTTCGTGGCCCGCGTTCATTCGTTTTTGGATTGCTTTCATCTCTTGATGGCCTGCTTCCATCTTTACTTGGATGCTTTCATCTCTTTGTTAAGGGAGTTGACGGCCTATTCCCCTTTTTCTCAGAATGCAGCAAAGGCAATCACCAGCTTTCTTAGTTGCTCTTCCATCGCTGTCGTCACCGACATTCGGTCCACGTATGACATTAAAAATTGTTGCGTGCGTATATTCGTAATAGATTGAATGCACTTACAACCGATAATACCTTGACAAAATTTATTTTACCAAGACAGATTATGTACAGTTCTAGAATTTTCCACAAAAATACACATACAGATTTTCACAGTATGACAGACCACAATGAGTAGTTATACTTCAAACTACTCAGGACTTTACACATTAAAGAACGCAAAGAGAATCTAAAAAGCGAATGTAACACGGAGGTATCTCATAACTCCGAAATCAGTCTAAACCAAAGAACTACCACTGAGAAACTGATGCTCTTCCTGGTCTTACATAGTTTCTTCTCTGCCACCAGAAGATCTCTAGTGCCTTCCACTTTCCGAAATTACTAGAAGACATATGAGTGCGGGATATGTTTCCAGTAACATACAGGATCAGTTACAATACACGTATACAGGGACCGGCCCCAAATGTCGCCAAGTTATTGCCAAGTTGGCGACTTTTAGCAATTTCCCATCAAATTTGGTCACAAAATTAGTCGCCAAAACATGCTAAACTTAGCGGTATCTCTTCAATTTAGCGAGTTTACTCAATGTTAAACAGATTTTCCCTTGTATTGTTATTTTTCCTGCAGAGCTTCGCCTCTTCAGATTTTCATGTTACATTACAGAAAAAAATGTTACAATTTTAAACATCACATCAATAAAATGATCTACATATAAACAAAAATTCGTAACAATATATATTTATGAGAAAACTTTAAACTTTTCATACTTTCCAGTAACCAGAAGTACATATAGCAATCATAAATACGAATTTAAAAAATAGAAAAAAGGGATAGTACAAATAAATTTATTATTTTAAAAAGGAAATTCAAGATTTTATAAAAATTGCAGTTATCAAAATTAAAATAGGACTTAATAAGCAAAAAATTGCAACAGAAAGTTATTGTCTTGAATCCGCTTGTAATCATACTAATGGAAAAATTTAGTGCAATTAATTGCTTTTCAATATAGGAAATCTTATACTAGTTTTCTGCAGTCTATGAAATGTCTAGTATACTTAATTATTAATTATAATTGAAAGCATTAATTTTAATCATTCATATTTATAGGCCCGAATTTTCGAAAGGATCTTAAAAACAAGAAAAGCAATAAAATGCAAAGTTGCTGGAAAAAAAAAAAAAAAAAAAAAAATGCGGGGTAGTTCTGTATCTCTCGTTTTACTGGACCGATTGACGAAATTCAAATTGCGTTTTTCATGTCTCGAAAGCACAAATTAGGATATGTATTAGATTTATATATAGCATTGTTCTCACGTAGGTAATTTGACACAAAATCGGACTTTTTCTGAAATGACATGCCAATTTTTTTCCATATTTCAATTCTAGGACTCAAAATATGTCAAACTGTTCCAACGAAACAAGTTTCGTAAAAATCGCACGAGCAGTTTTTAAAACATTAGCTCCTCAATGTTAGTTCAATTCGATATATATTTTATTAATATCACTTTATGTATTAAACTCATTTGATTCTTCCTTTGATATTTCGAAATTTAGGTTCATTCCAAATAAAATTCGCCTATTTTTTATAATTTATTTTTTAAATTTGTAATTTTAAATAATTTTTATAAATTTTTTGAAAAAAGTTTAAATTATAATCTATAAAAAATTTACCATCATTTTAAAGTAGATGCATTTCTAAGCATACCTGCAAAAAAATTACAGTTTTTATTTAAAATTTCGAAGATATATATTTTTAAATTATAAATTTATTTATATTAGTCACTCTTTCTATTAGTTGAATTCCTATTTATGATTATCCTGGCTAATGGAAGGTATGAAAAAGTTTAAAATACTTTAATGTAAATTGTCGCCTTTCTTTAATTATTAATGCTAAATTTGCGCTGAGCTGCTATATACTTTTGAAAGTCTAAATTAGTTTTTAGGTGGTTATTAAAGTAACTTTAATTAATGAGTTATATATATATATATATGTATCTACAAATTTAAATACTTTTGAAATTCAAACTACTGATATTAATTTTAATAATAAAATTATTTTAGGAGTATAATTTTCGGGTAAAGCACATATCAAGTTTTTTTTTTCACTGAATGTTAAACTGCTGCTATATAAATTTTGATAGAGAAATAATTGTTAAAATTAAAAGTTGCTCCGGTATCTATTACCGTGTGAATGTTTTCAAGAAATTAGAAGTTGTGTAACTACAAATTTGTAACTGTCCCTCTAAGCAGAAAACATCCTCGTAAGTAGAAACTCCAGCATAAGTTTGAATAAAACTTGACATTATATCCATATTGATACAAGAGCTTAAATGCAAATAATTTTAATTGGTATTGTACTAATTTTGTATTTTGATGTGTAGAATCATCAGGCTGTTTTAAATCAAGAGAAGTGAAAAATGTACAGTAGGCTTGCCGAGATTCGAGCTCCGGACCTTACGATTACTAGCCGAACGTGCTTTCTAATTGCACAACGAAGGCACGCGATAAGAAGGGAGAAAAGCCTTACGACTTAGTGTCATTTTCCTAATATAGGTAGGTATATTCTCAAAATACACTAGCTATGTCTAATTATGAAGATTTTGGACACAGAATTGTAAACTGCTTTTTTCTTCGTCAGTATAAATACTCTTTCAAAGATTAAAATATCAGTTCATTAACAGTTGTAATAAGTATGCGAATAAAAATACTAATCTTACTTGTTGGTATAAACGTTTCAGTAGCTGACGTAGGCATCGTTTTTGTTACCACGCATTTTGTAGCTGAAATAGAGAGTTTGAAAGAATTAAGAAATGAAGTTTCATAGACTATAACAACAAAAGCTGTAGATTGAAGATTAATTATTTTAATACTCTGGAGAATACTCCCACCGTCCCAAATTAGTTGCTACATTTTAAGTAGGGAGTCATAAATAATTTTCGATGCAATTTAGTAGATCGACACCAGTAAAATTATACAACGTACTACAATGAATACAACGTTGTATGCTAGGCTTCTTTCTCAGTTTATCCATTCCACAAATGTAGTACTTATTTTAGAAAAACATTTCCAAAGCAAATTTACAGGATTAGCAAGCTCTTAAGCCACGCCCCATTTTGTAAGGACTCTTCCGCCGGTATATCAGAAAGATCATGTTTATATGATTAACTCTTTCGCATCGAAGTCGCCCGTAACGCCCGTTCATTCAGGCAACGGCAAACCGCCCCAACGCCTCGTTTATTTTCTACCTAGTGCTTTCCCCCTCCACGTTAGTGTATGGCTTATTGGTTTCGCGAGTTGTTAAGAGACATGTCAATCATTCTTTTGAAGCAACTAAAGGAGACATACGGAAAGCTATTAACGTTCGCAGGTGCAATCCGGCTCCAAGGTGAAGCTGCACACAATGGATGAAACCGCTGAAAAACCCCCATGAGAGAAACAGTCATTGCACTTAAGTAGGTTATTGTTAATGCTGTAGCTGGAGGACTTTCTAAGGGAACCTGGCTTGTGTACACGAGAAAGATCATTGAATTCACAATTCATTAGCTAGAAGATAGTTTTATGCAATTACTAATGAAGATATATGATTAATGATATTACTAATGAAGAGTCGAAGGAATGGGGCGTGACTTAAGGGTGTGCGAACCCTGGAATTTTTAAACTAATTTGGTACTGATTTAAGGAGGGAAAAATTGGTAAGTAGATGTTGTTGATTGATAACGTGGCACCCTGAAATTTCTGAAAAATGTTCAAACGAAATCATAAAATCTTCAATTGCAAAAATTAGTACAAAAGTATCCAAACATAGCAACTAATTTGGGACAGAGGGTTACTAACCGCTTTTCACTTACTAATAAAGTAATTTTATTAGTAACTGAAAAACGGTTAGACTGCAAAATTGTGTTTAGAAAGGAATGAAATTTTCAGCAACATTACATATCGTTAGTTTGGATTATTAGCTGGGTTTATCGTTGTTATAACTTATCTCACTTGTGTGGCAGTAACATCGGAACAAACCTACGAAATTGATTGTGGCAAGGGGAGCAAGAATGCGTCTGTCGTTGTTAAGAGCTTGAACACCATACAGGTGACAGTACGAACTCGCTCAGTTCCGCCCCCAATTTTGATGGAGAGCATTCTAGAATTTACATATTTACATATGCTCAAATTATAATAATATAAATTATTTAATAATAATAATATAAAGTTAAATAGTTCATACATTTACATATGCTCAAGTTATAATTTTGCTCTAATTTACACCCCTTCACTTTGTGTCTTAACCCTTAGAAAACCGAAGCATTCGCTAACCTGTATGTTTAAATTACCAAAACGCCCGTTCCCGTCCATTGCCTGACCCGTCCGATTCCGCTCCTCCCCGTCCATTAACGCACACAGAGGTGTGAAGACTTCAAATGACAGCCTTTCTACTCCCTAACCAAGAAGCTTCCATTAGCCTTTTAGAACAAGCTGTCTGCAATAAGCTGATACAATGCATTTGAGAAACTACACCTGTTACTGCATACTTTAGGGGGAGCGACCCCTCTTCCCCTATTACTAATCTCTGGAGATGACTTGCGGCTCGCCGTATATTTAGAGTGCCCCATGCCGCAAAGACTCTATACATTTTCAGACATCCAATACTTCTCTGGGTTTCGACCTTAGACCCTTCGGTACCAGTAGGCTCTCCTAGCCACTACACCGTCTGGGCGGCAGCTGGGCTCAATATTAAATTAAAATCTTCAGTCACATCTAGCAAACATCAGATTTACTATTCTCTTTAAATTGTAATACAAGTTCAAAACGAAGCGTTTTATAAATGCAGTAGATTTATAAAAAAAACTTCAAATATTAATAAGCCCTGCTTCTCAATTCTTATTAGATTCTTTCGTATAGAAAAGGAAAGGTCAGAGTTTCTGGTGTCTGCTTCTTCCTGTCATGTTCAAAGAGTTAAAATATAATAAAATATTTAATGCAACTAGGAAATAAAGGTTCTATTGCCTAAATACTAATGTTCCTTAGGTACATAAAGTCGAGTATTTAAGAATAGGATATTTAAAATAATAAAATAAGATATCTATTATCCGGTACTATTCAACTGCCTACAATGTAAGAACATTAAATTAGACTGATAGCATATTCACAAAGGAAGAAATTATATATAGAGATAATTTCAGGGTAATTAAATAATTGCATGCATATTTTCAAAGTGAAGAAATGTTATATTAGATTAAACAAGAAGGACAAAGGTGAGGTACCACAATCATTATTTATATCTAAAATATCTAGAAGCGTCATACTGCGTGTGGACGATAAATCATTAGAACCTGCTAAAAGAGCAAATAATTATCTAATAAAAAAAGTGTATAATTTTAACAACTACTCTCGATTTAACGAAATTTTATCTAGAAATACTTATGAGTCAGCAGAAAAATGAGATTTGTTTTTTTTTTTTTTTTTTTTCAAAATTCATCGCGCCTAGTAGTGTTTCAATATTGTGGCTATAAACTAAAGAATGGCTCTGCCATTTCCCAGCATGTAACGAATACAGCGTCGCAAAACATTCACTTGCGAAAATGATATATTTTATATCGTCCAGGAGCAAAGTTTAATAATACTAATGCTTTGTCTGGATTATCTTTATAGAACGTACTCGTATTCGCAGCCACAGTTTATTATTTGTACCATCTCTGTGTGGCTCATTCTGCATAATGAGACTTTATATTTTGTAAGAACTTGAAGTAAACAATTAAGTTATCATCACGTAATGATCACTTGTTTTATGTCTGATTAGCGCTACATTAAATTTAAAATGCAAGTTTTTATATTTTTACAGGTTTAGTGGGTTTGAGAAGACGATAACATTTCTTTTTAAATGCGTTTAATACGCAAAATACACAATATTTCATTTGAATTTTTATACTCATATTTAGTTGAAACTGTAATAATTTAAGCGAATTATTTAGAAGATAGTGTATTTTTATAAATAATAGTGATTAGATGAATATTAGTTGTTATAATTGTAAGATGATTTATTTATAACGTAACAAAGATTTATGTGAAATTTGTATGAAGCTAAAAAAATATTTGAATATACTCAACAGATATTAACTATCGGGTGACCCAAAAGTCAGTTAACATTGGAAAATTCAATAAATTTAATATTAATAAAAATATAAAAAAATAAAATTAATATTTGTGCAAAATAGGCATTTTAGCGTCCAAATTCTTGTGTACTAAGAAGACAAAGGAATTAAGCAGAACTACGACGCTCGTCTACTTTATTTCTTTAAATAATTTTTTTTCATTACTTTGAACATTGATATCCTAAACATTACATACTTTTCGATTCAAATTTTATGGAAGTCTTTGAAAGAGTCTCATGTATATATTTATATATGCTCAAGTTATAATTTTGCTCTAATTGACACCCTTTCACTTTGTGTCTTAACCCTTAGAAAACCGAAGCATTCGCTAACCTGTATGCTTAAATTACCAAAACGTCCGTCCCCGTCCATTGCCTGTCCCGTCCGATTCCTCTCCTCCCCGCCCATTAACGCACACAGAGGTGTGAAGACTTCAAATGACAGCCCTTCTACTTCCTAACCAAGAAGCTTCCATTAGCCTTTTAGAACACGCTGTCTGCAATAAGCTGATACACTGCTTTTGAAAAACTACACCTGCTACTGCATACCTTATTGGGAGGAAAGAAAATAACATCGCAATTTCGGTCATTTCGGGCGGTTGTGGTCGTTTGAATGACAGGACATCTTGGGCGTTTTGGCCCTCAAAGAGTTAAATCTGAGGAATATTTTCCCAGACTGAAAATGTTACTACACTTTCATCTCAATCATTAAGTTGATAAATGTGAAAGCAATGAATTAAAATGTATTTGAAGTCTAAATAAGTCAGAACTTATTTCACGTCACAATTACAATTTATTATTTGCTATAATTGATAACAGTAGAACCCGTATTTATGAGATTATAAATAAACATTGATTTGATGACTATCATATTATTGACTAACATGGTCCTTTTCTAACTCAACCTAGAATGCCAAATACATTTATTAAGGTGATCATCAAAATGTTTAACTTCATTATAGTATTAAAATATTTCATATATTCTATAAAAATAAAGATATCTTTCGAAGCGCTGATTGTAATAGAACTCAAATTCTTATTATAACAGAAAACGTCTTCTCTGAGAAACAGCAGTAGTTATTCAATTTTGAATCTTAAATGTTATCTTTATATCAGCTTGGTGTAATATAACATAATGAAATGGGGCAAAAGTAACGCAGCAGTATTTGAATGATTCATCAGATTTCTAAAATGTTTACATTTTTTGTTTGCGCATTTAATAACATATCAAAAAGTGATATTACAGTGGCTCTAAAGGTAGATCCAAACATGAAATCCTCTCAGAGGACTCTAGGAAGCGGAAGACATTTGGAAAAAGGTGAATAAATATTAATTGCTGCCTTAAGGAGACTCATACACCTTAAACCCCATAAGATGTTCGAATAGGTGACTGTTGCAAGAATTGGGATAACTTATTTATTTTAAGAGCAACTATTACCAACGTTTTACAGCTGACTACATAATATAGCTGCTTTCTGAAATAGTAATCAGAAAGTTTGTGTTGCCACAAATATTTTTATAATTTAATCCGCTTTGTGACAAACATTTTTCGTCATGTTTCCAACCTTGCGCTCACAGTTTAAAACATTCTGTTCCATAATTTAATTTCATATTTAATATATAGCTTTTATAACATTTGGAAGACTACTGTGAACCTAAAATTCTAAAAATTTCACGTTAAAATTTTTATTTTATGTTGAGTTGAGTTTATAAAATGTATTTTTATTAAAAAAAAAATATGTAATGTTTTCGTGCATAAAATTTTTCAATATTAAAATATTCATCAGATTTGTTGGTTCAGTTAGAAAATAGTGCCCATATAAAGAATTCCATCAAATTTCAAGTGCGTACCATTAGTCATTTTTAAAATATCATGCGCACAAGGTGGAAACATGGTGAGCATATTTTGTCACAAAGCGGATTAAATTACAAAAAATTTGTGGCAACACAAGACTTTTTTTCTGGTTACTAGTTTCCAAAGCAGCTATATTATGTAATCAGCTGTAAAAAGTTGGAAGTAATTGCTTTTAAAATAAATAAAATATCTCAATTCTTGCAGCAGTCACATGTTCGAAGATTATGAGGGCCTTAAGGTGTATGTGTCCCCTTAACTGAAGTTCTGTAAACAGGTTTAAAACAAATATATCCTAATCTGTGAAATAATAAGATGGTTTATTTGCTTTCTTAAATTCTAACTACTGTAAAAGCTCTTATTTTCGCGGGCCATAATTTTTTTGAAAATGAATATATCGGTGATTTCGCGAATTTTATATGAACAGAACCGAAAGTTGAAAAATTTCAAAAGTACCTAAGTAAAGTTGAGAAAGTTGAAAAACTCCAAAAGTACATCTTTTGCATAAAGTATTTTAAGAAATTTCTTGTACCTTATTATTTTAAGAATTTCTTGTACCATATTACGAGAAGCAGAGAGAGCTTCTCGGGGTAATTCCAAAACAATCTGGTGTAGCAATGTTCGTCGTTTTTAGGCACACCAAGATCCTCTTTTCCTGACTTAACTAGAGAAGAGGAATATTACTCCAGTTTTTGTGCCCGCTTCCTGCACAGGAGAGCTCCAACCTTTGGATTTAACTGTAAATGGCGAGTTCAAGCGTTTGCTCAAGAATGAATTTATTGAGTGGTATTCTAATGAGCTTCAATTTCTAGAGGAAAAATAATCTGTGGACTTACCAATATTTCGACTAAAACCGATTCACGATTCTTGGCTTGTGCGCGTATTTAATGGTATTGAAGCCAAACATGAGATAATTTTGAATGGCTTCAAAGAAGCTGGTATAAATAGTATTCTAAGTGAATGAGCTGCCTTCTATTAATTTTATTGTTTTATATTCGAGAAATATAGTTGCATATTATTCAAAAAATAGTTATAAGAAAGAAAGTTGTCAAGAAAAAGCTTGTAACTGTGCAATAAATCATTAAACTTTGGGTAAGGGAAAAATTTCTGAATTTTTATTATTATTTGAGGCGGAAAAAAAAGTATTTTCGCTAGGCTTAAATTTTCGCGATTACGACGGGCTCGCGAAAATTAAAGCCTCGCGAAAATAAGGGCCTTTATAGTATTTTAAGATATGAAAATAAAAAATAATAATAAAAGAAAGACCAAAACCAAGTAAGCTGGTTTAATGAATAATTTGGCCTAAGATTATGTAACTAGTAAGTCTTCTTATATTGTTACTTAAGAGTAGTTAATTCTTAATTTTATTATTAAATCCAAATACTACACTTTTACGTCTTTTTAACTGACGCCAACACTGGCGTCAATTCTTGAACGTGATAACGCCATAATACAAATCGATAACGCTGTATCTGTATCGCTTATTGCTAGTTGTCTTCTTTAAGACGTCAACATCCACATAACTAAAATCATGGGTAGCATGGGTCTCCGTCACTACATTAATTTTGATTTACACATAATTTTATTGGAATCAAGGACGTGACACACACTTCCAACCTTCCAAAGTCTGTTGGCCAGTTTCCAAAGCCAGTTATGCATTGGCAACTGGGATTTGTACAGGAAATCTCTAGAAAGTAGGCAGACAGATGACAGTAAATAAAGTTCGCGGTGATATAGGTGTGGGTGCGTTTAGGCTGCTCGTAATAACATCCTAAACTTAGCCACTTCTATATTTTATTTTTTACATTCTCATTTTTTGGTATTTTTACACACAAACAACGGATAAGGTGATGACAAGATACTTACTTTTTGGTACTCTAATGATTTCGTTCTCTGTGGTTTGGGTCATGACATCGGTGAAATAGTCACCTAGAAAAAATATAACAACTGTTAGCTCTAAATAATAAAGTAATTGATTCTATCTTTGTCATATAGTAATGGCAGTTTAAACAAAATTATTCCTTTAAAGGAGTGAATGTTGAAAACAAAAGGAAAGCACAAACGATTCACAGTAAAACGAAAAAGAAAAGCAGGATAGAAAAAAAGGAAGGTAAAGAAATTACATATAGCCAGTAAATCGTGAAGAAATTATGTATAAGAAATTATGTATATCTCCAATTCTATGATAATTCAGAAAATAAGAACTTTATAAACTAAAAGAAACAAAAAAGCAAAAGAAAAATATTGTTCTCTTACAGCGCATACATGAACATACAGTGTATAAATGAACATACAGTGCATACATGAACATAAAGTGCAGTGCATACATGAAAATACAGTGCAGTGCATACATGAACATACAGTGCATACATGAACATACATCGTCACACAGTGCAACTAACTGAAGCACCGTTACAAAGCCGGAAGGCAAGCATTTAAGAGAGTATACTCAAAGGCTTAATCTCAGTGCAAAAGGCATAGGTACATGTACAGGTAAAAGCTAGATCAACATCTCCGTAGTACCATAGGTGACTGCGGTACTGCTGAACCTAGTTGAGTGTTAAGCTTCTGTCCTAATTTTGAGGGGGTACACCCCAGGGTCCCCTACGATCAACCTTCCCAGAGCACTTTCGGCTCGTCGCATATTTATATATACGCTTACTACGGGTTTCGAACCCGTGCTCATCGGTACGGCTGTCAGTGTCATCAACCAGTATACCAGTTAGGCGGAAACTCGAGGGCCTTGCGGTTCATTTTGCAATATACTATTCATGTCACTTATTCTCAGTTACTGTTTGTGTTCTACTGCAACCATTTGCTTGCATTCTTTCGATGGGTATCCTCTTGTTGGCACTGTTATTCATTTTTACAAAGATCCCAACCTATAATTTGCAGATGCCTCACTATCTTGCATACGTTTTCTCGCACAACCTAACCACAGAAGGTAACGGGACATAAGGGGTTTCTTGTTGACACCTTCGAGTGTGTTCCACGACATCCTTAATCCCGGGTAGAAAGCATTTATTGGTTCCTCATTGAACCCTTTGCATCCCCACTCCTTCTCTCTCAGTTACTCTTTCGCTGATTCCCCCATCCCTGCAACGCTCTGCCCTGATGATCGATGACACACTGTACCTACCTCGTTGTATTATACTATGTCACCCTAGATGAAGTACCTGGCGTTGCCCGGGCTTCATGCAGAGTGAAACCTTTTAAAGGCTCCAAGGGAAATGGAGTTAATTCTTTTCCCTCGAAATTTTAAATAAGCAGTGGCGCTATGTAAGGTTTTGGTAAAAATTGATACTTGCTTTGATATGGGTTACGTTCTTTTTCTGAAATGAGCTTTCGGAAAATCACCAGTACTCTTGACTGATTTCTTTCACCATTTTCGAAATATTCGCGAAAAGCGGAGAGAGTGCATTTAAATTCGGCTCTAAAGGATATGCCTTATTTTGGAAAGTTCCACACTATTCAAGTAAGCGAATACGGTGCCATGTAATGGCTTTAGTAAGAACAGATTCCGGGAACACAATAACGGCAACAAGAACCTAATATTGATTTCAAATTTTAAACTGCTTAGAATTATTAGCATTCATTTTTTTGTAAAAAAAAGATATAAATTTATTGCTTAGCATGTGTGACTTCCATTGATGGTGAGAAAGTAACAATGGCGCCGTCAATCTAAAACGAGTGACGTAAGCCCACCTTTTTAATATCAACAACTGAGAGTGGACCCTCATGGATGGTTTTATGAAATCTTATGTGGACGATGACTTTCCTCTTCTTGTGAAAGTTAACTGCGCAAATTTTCCTGACGATCCTAATAAAACTGTAGATTTGTATTAAATAGACGCGCGCAAATTAGAAGTACCTTAAAATACTTAAAATCTGAAGTAAAAAAAAATATGGGGAGAGGGAGATTATTCATATGATGAAGTACGTATTCTGCGATAGTAAATGCTAAAGATGAAAAAATTATACAATTACATACTTGGAACTGGCACAGATTTGTATTTGACTGTTGTTGGTGTAACTTCCTCTGTCCATGTCACAGCTATTTTTTGAAAAAGTAAAAAAGAAAAATTCATAAATCAAAATAATCACAGAATATTTTTACAGTGTGAGAAATAGAGCACAAAACCATGACATCAAGTTTAAAAGAAATGTAAATGAAAATATAAAAATGTTATAAAAATTTTTATTTACATCCAAATGTTAGAAAAATACAATTTAGTTAAATTATTTAAAAATATCTACAAGATTTTATTCTTGAAAATATCAAATTAATAGCCTATTATTTCAGTGTAATTCCTTGGATTTTGATGTCCGGTGTAAAATTTTTAATCGCAGTTATGCACCATTGCTTCTTTTACATTAACGGTGATTTCTCTTTAGCCGAAGAATCATTTATTTATCAGAGAAAGAAGAAAATGTATTGGTTTCAAGTTATTTAACCTCTGTTCTAAATTTTCTTTAAAAAGATCACTTTCTTTGCTCCACTGGCTATTAAATTTATTATGCTTCATATTTACCTCGAGGTAAAATTTTATTTGATTATAAAATTACCTTTTAGATTTAGCATTACAAGCGTTTTTTATTCAAAACGTTATGCACAATTTAATCCTTATTGATTTGTACTATTGTTATAAAATATACAAGGTGTGACACAAAAAAGAGACTGGTACAATAAATCATTGTACTTACAGAATCAGTTCTCAGTGATATTATCACATTCAAAGTAGTTCCCTTCAGCATTCACACACTTCTGCTTTCAGTGCTACCATTGCTGGTAAGAGTTGTGGAACGAGAGGTTTTTGGAAGGCCCTTCAGGAAATTCTCCGTTTTTACCTGAACCGCTTCAGCTGAGGTAAAATGGGTTCCCTTTAAGTAAGATTTAACTTTAGGAAATTATAAAAAGACGCATGGAGCCACATCAGGTGAATAAGGAGGATGCTCCATCACACTGATGTTTCTGCTTGTCAGAAACTGCTTGACAGGTAGGGCCGTGTGAGCGGGTGCATTTTTCTCGTCCAACAGCCATCCATCACCCCCCAACTGTGTCCTCCTTTCCTAATTTTTTCACGGAGAACTTCAATGTGGTAGTATTAATTAAAAGTTTGACCACTGGGAACCCATTCAATCATGATGAACGTGCTGGGCACCCAAGCAGGCGTCCAGCACGTTCAACATCTTCCACACGTGCATGAGACAAAGTTTCATCTCCATAAGCTTCGTTAACATTTAAAATGCTTCCTCCGTGGCTGATTTTTTTAAATTTCACAAGAAACGTGATCTTGATTAGCTGTTCGGTCTTTGCATTAGATATTTTTCTTGCAGAATGAATTTCCACGTGTTCACTCAATGACGCAGAACTCCCCACTAGCGTTTTCGATTAAGTCGAAACTGGTCGCATGTATAGAAATGGTGCGTGGCATAACGTCACCAAAGCAGTTGTTGCCAACTCCAAAATGTTTCCAAGCTAAACATTTAGTCTCTTTTTTTTTTTTTTTCATAAATCCTCGTAAATCAAAATATCACACCATATATTCATGTACACATAATAATAAATTAGCGTGACTTGAGAGATAACATGCACTTTTATCAGTGGCTTGAGGGGTGACGGAAGATGATCGCAATCTATACCATTGACGCTGGGATAGCCAGCAACGGATCTTGTAGATCCGTTGCTATTCAATCAGTGTGCCACTTTGGGCAACCCACAGAATTAAAACGATAAGTGCTATCTTCACAAAATTTTACTTGTGTACTCCTCTAGGCCTAATTAGACTGCATAACTTTTTTTTTTTATCAAAACTCCGACTTTTTAAAAAAGTAGCGTGCCGGAAAGGTTAACAGAAAATTTCCCTCTAATCTGTTCGGAGCAGGTAATTCAACATTGACTAAGCATCTCCAAACTGATTAACAGTGCTGCACGTCACATGAAAACACTGTAGAGACTTTAGGTTATTTCGAAGCAGGAGATATGAAAAATGAGCAATGCTCTCGTCGGGACTCGAACCTCGGACCTCTCGAATATGTGCCGAGAGTGCTGACCATTATGCTAAGAAGGAGGGGAAAATATCTTATAAATCTACATCACAAATCTTCATTGAATCAGGATTTGAAGCATTTAGTTTTTTTATGCGTGTAAATTGTTTCCAAATTCTAATAAAACTGAAAACAAATTTGTCACAGTGTGGACTACATAAATTTTAGCAATGTTCTCGAGCCCTTTTATACATAAATTTCAGTAAGAACTATGGTGGCATTTGGCATTTGCTTTGCATTCTCCTATTCAATGTTTTAAACCTTTATTTGCGATATTACACAAACTACTCAGTCTTTCCATTTACAATGAAATTGTGCTTACTCATCTCATTTTATCGTATAAAGCCATACTAAACGATAGATTAAAATTCTATTGAAACAAAACAGAAAATTGTAATTGTATTAGAAACATAGAGTCAAGATAGACATTTAAGAACAAAATAGACATGAGAACTTACTCGTAGGTGTGTGGTGATCAGATACGGTTGGAAGAGAAGGGAATGTCTTGCGATCGTGGATACCTGTTTGAAATATAAAGATTATGAGCACATGATGCACAAAAATAATTAAAATTGCATTTATGTTATTTTTAAGTAGACAGTCAAGTAACAAATAAAATTAATTTAATAATTAATCCAAAAACTAAGGATTAACATTATCATGCAAAGTTATAGATGCAGAATTTTAGGAATGAGTTTATTGCCATTTTCCTAATTAAAACGTGCAGGTTTACGATTTCCGCATTTAGCGATGATGCGCTAACTCAAAAACTAGAGAAAAGGAAATTAACATTACTGGTAAATTACTTTTGTCAGAAATTCGGAATATGAAAGTATAACATACAAGCGTGAGATTTCGCTTGTGAATGAACTATTATCTTCATTACTGAACATGCGGAATCGTTATAGGTATGTTAATTGGTAGAATGTCTCCCAAAAGCTGCAAAAGACTTAACGCAGCAGAGGAGTCGCAAAAAGCCCTATCTCCCGACTTCAGGCAGAATGTCGAAAAACTGGAGAGGATTCCAAATGCATACCAGAAGGAATTTTTTCAATGAACATGCCCAGAAAGACCGCCATTTAGTGAGGTACCAATTAATTGAAACTGGTACTGCATAGTCAGCCAACTTGAAAGCTGCCACTATGTCAATACAGAAAACAGAATAGCCCGCCAAGCCGTGTCTCGATGCCGGAATAATGTAGAATTACAGCTCGAAAATTGCTATCGAGGCAACGTCGCAGAAAGCAGTTGCATTGATGCCAGATCCATTGGAATTGGACGACGTTTTGTTCTCCAGATACCGTCAATTCTGTTCAAAATCAGATACCAGCTGCTTCATCTCATTCAATCAGGTATCTACTTTTTGAAAGGTTTAAAGCGTACTAGGAGAAAAGAAATATACAAGAAGGTGCCGTTACGGTGGTTTTTGATGTGAATATAAGGGCAGCAAAACGATTGATGTACACAGAGTTGCAATGAGTTATGATGCGCAAATGCTATAGTAAAAAGCTTATTAAACGCCCTAACCTCTTGTTTAATAGTGCCATTTGCAAGGTATCGTCCGCGATATTTTTGCCGCGATGTTCTTACCTGTAACACTATATTGAACATTCATAGCGATGGCCGTATGTTATGTGGCAAATCAGTTGCTCTTTACATGATACATATAACTGTAATTAAAATATCTGTAGTAAATTTCTTTCAAAAGTCCTGTAGGTTTAGGCATTTTTGTCGAATTTCTGTTAAGATAACTTAAAAATGCAGAGAAACATGAAATTTTTAATGTTTACTTACATTCGGATCATTCTATATGTTCTATAGGTCACTGAAATTAATATTCCACTTTAGCCCATAAATCATAATTTAAAATTAATCTTAAATGTAATTAAAAGACTTACTCGTAGCTGTGATTATCTCTCTTTCTGTAGTAGTTGGCGTCTTGTGCTCCGTATACGTTTGTGCTAGAGAAAAAAAATTCTGTACGATATAATTTGGAAAACGAAGTATACAATATATATATATATATATAATTGAACTTTGAAAAAATAACTTTGAAAAATTAAAATAATATACTAAAGTTAAATACATATATATATTTATAATGAATCAAAATAAAAAGAAAAACATAAAAAAAAATCACCAAACAGTTCTTGATTTTTTCAAAAATTATGAAACCCATTTTTTCTGCAACATTAACATATCGAATAATTACCTTTTACACAGTTCCATTCTGCAAATTTGTAATGGTGAGAATTAAAAAATAAATAAGAGAATTTGCATTTTTGGATTACACGTTATTACGGGTTCAAATATTCATTTATTTTCATTGTAAGAAAAATAACGTAACGTAAAATTTTGTATGATATTTAATGAAACCCATTATATTATTCATATGCTATAAAGCTGCCCAAGAAGAAATTGTAGAATATACTATATATATATTATATTTTAAAATGTATACATAGATATTATTCTAGAATAATATTATCCTGTATATCCTATAATTCACTGAACTTAATATTGCACTTTAGCCTTCAAAACGTAATTTAAGCCTAATCTAAAATATAATTAAAAAACTTACACATAAAAATACTGTTTTCTGCCATTAGACACTTAGTCCCTTATCTCATATTATTTTCAATTTTAAGAAATGCAGTAAGTTTGCGTTTGTTCAATAATTTTATTTTCTAATAGGTTTACAGTTTTTTAGCTGATTAAGGCTGGGGTTAGAATTTTATGTTATTTAAGGAAATCTTTTTTGGAACGTTTTTCATTTTCTTTGTTTAAAAGTTTAAGGTTCGCATAATCGGGGAACACCCATTTTTTAGTTTTGTTTAAATGACAATTTGATTTAAAAGTGATTTCTTTTATTAATTAATTTGTTATTGCTTTTGAAAGTCGGATTTGCATGCAATCTACCTTAGGCATACTTTGTTTTTAGCGTAGTCATTTATCATAATGTAGTATTTTATTTACGTTCTCTTTTTTACTAGTTTTTATTAATTTTCTCTTTTTTCCAAGTGATTGAATATGTGTAGGGAAAATTCTGGGTACATATGAAATTCGATCTTTTGGGTTTAAAGTTTTTATTAAAATTTTGATTGAATCTTTTAACGGTTTTTGATCTCATATGATTCGGAAGAACGAGACACGCATTCAAGACACATTAATCGACTTTTATGAAACTTTAATTCATTTTACCCTGATGAGTTCTGAATTAGGATTTCAGACAAAGGAGTTTAAATTTTACTATTTATTTTTACTACTGAACCATCTGCATTTTTCGGGTTTATTCTAAGGATGAGTTTTTTCATTAATTTCATTACGTTTACCTACAATGTTAGACCTTTTCCAAGGTTGCAATTATTAATATTGTTAGGGAATTTAATTGTTTTGATTCCAATTTAATTTTAATTTAAATTTTAATTGCATTAAGTTTAATTTATTTCAATCCAGTAGCTACAGCGCAGGAGAGGTTTATTTATTTATTTTTGTTTTTGACATATTACTCATTTGATGGTAAATAAAATAAATCGATGATAATCGCTGCACCTACCAAATGACACAGAAAGAACTTAACATTGGATCTGCCGGCCATACATAAAATTATTCATGAAGAATTGCATACGAAATAATTAGTTTGCCGTTGAGTTCCCGATAATTTAACTGAGTACAAAAAAGAGGAACGTGTCAGAATCAATAAAGAAACACTTAAGTTACTTAAAGATGGTGACCACAGCATTATTTCTAATATCTTAACTGGTGATGAAACGAACCATTCTTTGATGTTCCAACACGTCAACAAAGTACGGGTCTTTAAGATGATCCTATGCCCACAATGGTAAAAAGAAAAATTGCCATGAAAAAAGTAATGTATGCCGTTTTTTTAGAAGTACAGGGATGGTCAAAGCCATCAAGCTGGAAGCACAGAAGACGTCACATCTAACTAGTACACGACAAAATGTCTTCCGGAAATTTTTCAAGAAGTGAATATTACAGAACTCATGCTGCACCGTGACAATGCCTCTTTTCATTCAGCAAGATTAACCGTAAAATTTCTTGAGCAAAAACACATCAAAATGATCGAACATCCACCCTGTTCATCCGACCTAGCGATGTGTGACTTTTGGCTATCTAAGAAAGAACTTAACGAAGGCGTGTTTTCGTTCCGAAGATGAGATTGATGAGGCTATAAATGCATTTTCTTCATTGATTTCAGTAAATAAACGGTTCGAGGCATTTAATTGTTGGAAAATTGGCCTATAGAATTGCATTGATGCTGAAGGAGACTGCTTTAAACAATCCTAAGATTTCGTAAGTATAACTTTAAAGTCTTATGTGCATCTAAAAATTGCAGAGTTGCCCTCCAACAGTACATTGCTACGGATTGTCTCGAATATATTTTTTCATTTCTAAACTTTTGTTGCTGTAATGTTAGAGATTTTAAGAACTAACTCTTCTTTTGATATTCATTTTATGTTTTTTATATCAAGTTTTCATTTATTATTATTTTTTCGTATTCATATGTTAAATTGCTTGTGTTTTACATGTTTCTGTTTTTTGGACTTGCACCAGTTAAACTGAAAATATTAATGAATATATTTTTAAGCTTTTTGCTTGTTTATGATTTGAACCTATAATTTAAACAATTTTCTAACCTGACGTGTATTGCTTCAAAATTTTCATATGTATTTATTTTTTCATGTATTACATTCCTTGCATTTACATGTTTTGTTTTCTGGTGTCGGTCTACTCAAAATTTAATATTTTTTAGCTTTAATTTGTTTATGTTTTTGATGCTATAATATTAAAATTTTTACTCTACATATTTTGGCTTCTAAGGATTGGATTGGTAAAGACACAGATTACTTAGATTAGTTTTAGCCCAAAGGGACATTTTTGCCAAATTCATGTATGTTTCTCGCATTGTAATAAACCAACGGTTCCTACAGCCATCAAATTTTGAATAACGTAATCCTCCACCCGAATATGGGCATCTGGAAGCCCAACTTGGATTTGGATTTGTCATTGGATTTGGAATTTCGTTTGTTATCTATATTTTGTAAAACTTTAACAAATATTTGATTAACAAACTCAACGATTTCAAAGCGAGCAATGGCAACACTATATGAAACAAAAACATTTTTATCTCTAGCGCGTGAGACTGCGTATCGGAAATACGAAAGCTATGCTCTTTTAAAATTATTTTGTGATATTGCTGTTGAGTTAAATTTTATGGTTTAAGTGCGAAGAACGTGATATTTAATAAATTAAGTTAATGAGTCAAACGTTAAAAAGAAGCTCCTTTAGGGCGTAATATAAAATCTGAAAATTTTCAGATTATTTTTTTCTGAATTTAATTTAAGTGTTAAACATTAATTGGTGTCTGTTATTTTAGAAATAGGATGTTTTATTTAATCGTTTCGTTGTACCAACTCATTAATGACGACGAAGAGAAAGAGGTAATTTTCTTTTTTTTCATTTTTGGTTTTGGCGTGATTTGCCTTTTTCAGGAAGTTTAACACCGTGCTTTGGGATTTTATGTTTAGCGTATGGTTAACTGTAGTTTATTTTGCATCATACATGTATATAATACAAAATGAGGTTTCTGAAATATTCGTAATTTAGTTTTTGAATTAAATCACTTAATGAAAGACGTAAATACGATAAAGTCCATTCTGAGGAAAAGAAGAGTATACGGCAATAATGGTTCAAATAGTAAAAGATTACCATAAAATATTATGAAAAAACAAGCTTTTTCAATTCACAAAAAAACATGATATTCTTACCTGTTTTTGGTACACATTCTGATTCTGTAATTTCTGGAACCTCTGTATCAGTTACAGTTACGCCTGAAACATCATCACAATATTAAAAAGGCAGCACATTTATTTGAAATACACTGCCCTCCAAAAGTTAAGGAACAGCATGCTTTCCATTGCTCACCATTGCAAAAATGTCAGTAACGTTTAAATTCACAATTCATATGCATGACAGTAAAAAAATATGCATGACAATAAAGTTAAAAAAATATTAGCTTTTATTTTATAGAAATGCGAAAATTTTAATTTTTGTTCACGAGTGTTGATCTTCAGTTATTATTACAATTTCGTGTACAATATCGAAGAAAGTATATCATTGTCCAGGGGAAGTCGTTTGCCCGATTCGTTGATATGGCGGGCGATTGGATGGATGAATGTCACAAGCTGAATGGGGATGTCACAAGCTGAGGCTATTAGATGTCTCAACGTCTCTCGTAGTGTAGTCCATCGACTATGGGATCAGTATGAATCCGATGATTCTGTGTCTAGAAAACATGTTACAGGCAGACCTAGAATTACAGCGACTGTGGGAGACCATTATGTAGCTCTTTCGGCATGAAGAAAAAGTAACGTTACTGTGCCTCAGCTCATAGCAGATCATTTAGTAGCAACAGGAACAAGAATGTAAGCTACTACAGTGCACAGACTCCAGCACAATACAGGTCTGTATGCAAGACGACCAGTTCTTTGTGTCCTCTTGACCCTAGGACCCAGATGTGATCTTTTATATTGGGCAAGGGAACACGTCTCCTGGACCAGTCAACAATGGGTGTCTGTTCTCTTCACAGACGAGTCCAGGTTCACACTGGAGAGTGATTGAGGTTGTCAGCTAATCTGGAGGGAACAACGTACCAGATACAATCAAACTCACATTATGGAAAGACACAGTTACAGGGGTTGTAGAATAATGGTTTGAGCTGGGATCTCTCTCGGTAGTCACACTAACGTGTGTTCCAGGGAGGAACTTTGACCGGTGTGAGATATCGAGACGAGATCCTTGATTAATATGTCCGACCATATGCCACTGCTATCGGTCATGGATTTCTTCTGATAGACGACAATGCGCGACCGCATCAAGCACGTGTTGCTGAATAATAGTCTGAGGGTCACGGTATGGAGCAGATAAAACGGCCAGCTCAGTCTCCAAACCTGAGTCTGACAGAGCATCTTTGGAACTACCTTGGGAGACAGGTTGCTTCTTCCAAGTTAGTCTTCCTCGAAGTTCGTTAGATGAGCTTGAACAAGGATTACGCATTGTCTGGTCGTTGCTTCCCATTTCACTGACCGACAACTTAATAGAAAGCATGGAACGTCGTAGCCGCCAATGTATTGCAGCTAGTGGTGGACAGATTCCTTATTAGAATCCATTTTTGTAATGTTACCACTTCACTTTTCCTCAAAAATCTGTGATATACTCTTTCTCCAAGACTGGATTTCTCTGCCAAGCTAAAATGTTTTTGTTGTAATTCATGTTTGTGTTAAACTTTAAAAACTTTCTATGTCTCAGTCATTAAAGAACTGTTTAGTGACCATGTCCTGTAAATTTCTTGTTCTTATATTGCTTCATTCTCAAATTAGACACAAAAAACATGCTATTCCTTGACTTTTGGAGGGCCTTGCGTCATTTTCGAGTAGGCAGTGATTATAATTCAAATTCAAATTACAAACATTTCTTCTCTATTGAAATAAACATGGTTATAAAAAGGTTCTATTATACCTAATAAAGTTTGTGTCAATTCAGAGTTTAGAGTTTGTTTATTGTGTCCTCGATGTGTAGATATAATGGTCATAAAAGAAGAATTCCATTATTAAGATATCAATCGTACTCTAATTGTATGGAAAATATAACTCATATGTTGATGTAACAAAGTAATTCATGTTTCAAAAATATGTAATCTCTCGACAGGCGGGGAAAGAGTTTAAATTGATAAATATCTGAAGGATTTTAATCTTTTAGCTTATTCGAAATTTTTCGTTCAAAGGCAGGCACTTACCTATAACGGCATTGGCTATTCCTAAGGTCAGAAGTGGTAGCCATTTTATTGTGGAGGTATCTAATAGGCGCCACCGTTGCCCCCTATGAAGGGACAGAATTTTACACACATGGGGGGCCTTGTCCTAGATTCGAGCCTGGGCCCTTCGGTATCGCATTCAGGCTACCCTAATCACTATACCGTCTGGGCGACGCGATTTGAAAATTGGGGATAAGCATCTTGAGTGATTTTTCTACTACTGCACGAAGTTGTGCGCTCGCATGTTACGGTCAGATGCTGAATTAAAAAAGCTGTTAACTGTTCCTAAAATGAAGGAAAGCAGATTTGCTTCTACTAGCAGAGCATTTAACTTGGTTATTCATTGGGATTTACCCGTTAATACAATTTCTTTTTTTCAAATGAAGTAAATCTATAAGTCGGTGTAACGGATGTAGGACTTTTCGCAGTCGCCATTTCACCGAAGCCGGCTCACCGTCGGGACGTTTTGCATCAAGACATATTTTTTTTTACATGACTGTTTTATATCTTGACATATTATACTCGTATTAAATTTATTTAGCTCAACAATTCTGTTAATCTTTTGTATACGTAATAAAGTTTGCTTATAATATATGTATACAGTTGTTTATAAATGTGATATATAAAGAAATTACACATAGTTAGTTAGAAAATTATGTCAATATCAAAGAGAACTGGCGCTAAACTTTCGATATAACAGAAGATATATTACCGAATTTAAAATTATACGAGGCACAATATTTATGCGATTCGTCAAAATTTCTTCAAATTTTAATCGGCTAGTTCACTGTTATATGCATACGATACACGACTTCTGATGGACGTTCTTCTGATTACAATGCACCTAATTATCATACGGAGAAATTACTGAGCCGAATAACAGAGTGGATTATATATTATTTTGGTGCGGCCGATTGCAACCAAATACGAGGTGAACATCTACATGTTATAGCAGTCCTATATACAAAATTTCTGCGGCTACTCCTTTTTTGAGTTATGCGAGATACATACATACGTACGCACGCACAGACGCCACGAAAAATTCTCTTCAGAATTCATTTTAAATCAGTTTTGTAATTTTTGGGGGGAGTCTTTTATTCTATCCTTAAATACAGATCTCAGGCAAAAACAGCGTTAAATTGCATTCTATAGCGGTCAAAATGGATATTTTCTTTAAAATATGATGCCTGAAACGTTTCGCGATTACAATACTTCCTTAGTACATGGAAGTAAAAAACATGGATATCGAAATCAAAAACTAAGCTGCTGCTCATGTTAATGCATTTTTTTCTTGCAATAGACTAATTTGCCATGAATTTGTCTCTGAAAGTCAATCAATTAATCAGCATTTTCAGAAAGAAAACACATCTAAAACCACGAAGGAGGAAATCTTTTGATTGCCCCGAACAGCAATGTTTATATCTTGCTAAGCATTCCATTGCAGGGAGAAATCACCCATCATATTCTATAGACTTATCGCCAGTTGATTTTTTCCTTTTTTCCGAAATTTAAAATGGCTGTGAAAGCACAGAGATTTGAAAACATATCGGATGTTAAATCAAACGTTTCGTGTATTTTCCGAATGGCTAATTCCGCTGTCTATAAAGAGTAATTCGGTGATCTAAAGAAAGGTTGGAAAGATTGTATAAATTCCGCTGGAGATTATTTTGAAGAAGATAAATTTATATGGAGGTTAGAGTAAGCTTTCGCTTATTCGTAAGAAACTGCTCGGTTACTTTATAAGCGCACCTTGTACAAGACATATTTAACCCTGAATGATGCTTATTAGTAATGCACGCATTACACCGACACTAATGTTTATCTTCGTTTAATGATAAAAACAACCTAACATTCATTTATTTGCAAAGTCGGTCAAACGAATTTTAACTTCATTAAAAACTCTTATTAATAAATTAAAATATTGGCAAAATTTTACCTGTATTAAACGTTTACTTTATTAATTTTAATTATAACTTTTCAAATATCCAATCTGCTTTTTAAAATTCTATTAATGTTTAATTAATTTTAGTAAATAAGAATAAAAACTGGTGACTGATACTGGTTACGCATACCGCTCATCAAATTAATAAATTCATAAATATTAAGTACTCTTTACACCGGAGGCTCGAATCCTCTGAATTCTACAAATATCTCAGTAATCATTTGGTTCATAGCCTATATATTTAATATACTCATTAACAAATAGTAATAATTAACTATGCTTTTGACCTTATATACTACTGTATATATCATGTTACTCTGAAACAAATACTTACTCGGTAAGGGAAACGTCTCTATATCCACCGTTGTTGGAGTCATGCTTTCAGTATATATCCCGGGAGCTTGGAGAAGAAAAGTATATTGAAGTAAATATAAGCCATAAAATATTCTTAATAAAAAATAGATTAATTTCAAATAAATATGGGGGGGACATTAAATGTACTATCAATGTTTACTCTTTTGAGGTATGAAATAATGAACGAAATTACGAGGTTGGGAAAAGCGAACTAATATTACTAGCTACAACTGAATGATTTCAGTTCAAAGAAGAAAGATTTTCCAGGAAACTTGATTCCCTAATAGAAGAAATTTTTTCGTAACTGCTGACGTGTGTCCGAAGTTCACTAAGTAAACGACACATGCTCAAAATTCCTTCAGATCAATTTCACGTTTCTCTTCATTTATTCACATGCTGGTCGAAAAATTTGACTATCGGCTTTAGTCTTTAAATATTGGCCCTAGACATCTGCTTCCATTTTTTTTCCTCTTTAATCATTAAGTACAACTATAATAAAACACGGATTTGATACCATATATCATATTGTACAACATCTGCAAAATTATACTCTTACTTCTATTGAGGGTCATATAGTGAAGACTGTAATCATGGGAAAATCTAGCAGACCGAGGCGTTTGATCGCTTTCGACTTCTCAAGGTCTTTGTAGACCTTGAGAACTAACAGTGATATCAATGAAATTACATACATGGACGATCTTCAGCGGCAGTCCTCTTACCTATGCAAAATAGTCAACTCATAAAATAGTTGAAGAGACATTGATAATGAGACTTGCGTAAACTAGTGCCGCATCGAAGGGGGGGGGAAGGATGTCTATCATGGCCCGGGCGCCATTCGCAGAAAGGCACTAAATGATTCCCAAGACAAATAAGATTTTGCGGAAAATTTCAATTTTTATTTTGATCGATTTCTGCAAAATCTATTTTAAATTAGTAGTTATTGTAATATAATTATTTATTTTTTCTCTTGATTTGTCTCATAAAATAATGTTACAAATTTTTTGCACAGATAGATTATTTTAGTGAAATTATTGCATTTATTTTGTTTAAAGTAACATGGAAATCAATAAAAGTGAAACCTACCGGAAAAGTAAAAATACAGGGGCAAGTCTTTTTAACATTGAGTAAATGCATATCTCGGTAATTCGGTGAGAAATCCCCCAAGAGTCGCCAAACGGCGATATTATGGTCCTGTTCGTGTCTCACCACAATAGGTATAGTAATTTTATAACTGTAATTGATGTTTTGTGTAGCTGTAACCGTAATTCAGCCCTCATATGCCTTCCAGTAATTTTCGAGAAGCAGAAAGTACTAGAAATATATATATAGTGAAACCTATATAAGGCCGGAGAGAGCATCTACCGTGAGTTGTTGTTGCTGCTGCTTTGATGTGTTCGGAGCGACTTCGGAGTATTGAAAGTTTCGCCTTTTAGATGCTCTTTGCTTGCCGTTGTGTTTAATGTTCTTAATAGTTTAAAGTGTAACTACTGATTGCACTCTGCATTCTGTGAACAACTGTACGAATATTTCTGTGGAAAGTCTCAGAACTCTGAACTGTTCTTTTGATGAAATAAATTTTGTCAACCTATCATCGGACCTGTGTGCATTCAACCTATTACGAAACCGTATGCAGGCGACAATATGTTATAAATGATTATGCTTGCAATAAATCAATCAAATATCTCCGTATACAAAATGTTCCTTCTTTTTTCTTTTTGATAACTTCATTTTTATAAAATAGTGATATATTTTTATTTTTTTAAACGAAATGCACGTACAGCTCACGCTTTTATTTTGAAACCGTGACAAACAGTATGATACAGTCTTTATATTATAAAACCTTTGACCTTGAACAAATATTAATTCAGTGGCCGAAATATAACTATAGATATCTTTGATATGCATTTTACTTTTCAAAATCTAACAGACAATTCTATTATTCAGTGAAGCGTGTAAGGGTGAAACTATTAACAGTGTTCAATAAAATAGTTGTAGAGATATACACTATTCAAATTCTATTGTCATATTGCTTACAATTGGCTCTGAATTAAGTGTGACTGGAAGATGTTACTCTGCAGCAGAAAAGAAATTGAACCTAAAATCTATATTATAACTTCTCATCTTTATAATTTCGTATGGAGATGTTTTTCTAAACCTGACAGTAATACTTAAAATACTTCGTAATATTTCAGTGTCAAATGGTAACTGTGATCTTTCGTTCAGCAAATTAAAATAAATTTTGACAAATTTACCATCCGCGATGGGAGAAGATCGCCTAAGTAACGTAGCATTTTAAGTGTGGAAAATTAAAACTGTGAAATGATCGACAAACTTTTTCATTGTTAGAAACTGTATGGTTTTTAAAACAATTAGATAAATACTGTTAAGAATTTTAGATTTAAATATCTAATTTTAGTAGAATTATAATTAAAATTCTTTTATTTATCCAGGCAATGCAGCGCGAGATATATTTTAAGAGAGAGTTATGCCGAAAAGTAAAAACATAGAAGCACGTGCATTTAACATTTCATAAATGGATAGCTCGGTTATTTCTATCTAAATTGTGTAAATGTAGTTGACCCCTATGTCAACTGTAACCGTAATTCCTCTTATTGCTTTCCAGAAATCTCAAGAAGCAGAATTTACTAGAAATTTCTCTCGATCGATTGAAAGCTATAAAAAGCCAGAGAGAGAGAACATCTCAGCTAGAGAACATCTCAGCTCAGTTGTTAAGTTAGTTGACGTTGTTGCCATTCGTAGTTCCGCGCGAACTGAGATAAATCGGAGTTAGCTTTCTTTTTAAATAACTTTTTGCAATGTGTTGTATTTTAACGTTTTTAGTAGGGTAGTTTAAAGTACAACTACTAATTATATAGCGTGATATTTTGAACACTTGTACGAAAATCTCCGAGGAAAATTCCGCGTTGTCTTATATTTCTTTTGATAAGAATAAATTTTATTAACCTTTTATCGGACTTGTGCGTTCAATCTATTACGAACCCGTACGCACGCAACCAATATCTAAAATAAATAATGTCTTTTTAACTAATTCTAGATGACTATATCCGACCACCGACACAGAGTCACCGACACAGAGTCATTTCCGAATCGAATCCCAGTCTTAATTTTTTAACTAAATATTTTGATAAAGCCTAGCTTGAGCCCTGTTTATTCCGAAAAACCGTATAGTGTTTTGTAGAAGCATAGTTTGGTACTGACTATTCGTAATAGTATATTGTATTTTGAGGTAGGTACTGTATTCCTTTTATTATTTGTATTATGTTGTTATTTCGAGTATATTCTATATATTAGATTACTATATGTTTTGAGGAGAGGGGGTCCAAAGGAGCCCGGGTACCAGTTCTGCTCCGTACGCTACTGGCATTAACTCTAGCCGTCACGATCATTATGTCCAATCCAAGAAACCTTTGATCCTTGATAACGTATATAGTGATCAAGGTTTAAAGCGTTGACTCTTACAAGTCTTACCTGTAAATCTGTTTAGTTTGAGCAATCAGAGTCGTAGCTAGGGTTTTCAGCGCCCAGGTACAACTGAAGATTTCGCGCCTCCTACTGCTTGCCAAGGATGGAAAACATTTAATTCTAAAATGTCGTAACATCAGTTTGGCGCCCCTTGTATTCTGCGCCCTGGCACAGATGCCCCCCTTTGCCCCCCTCTAGCTACGCTCCTGTGAGCAATATTTGAGTTAAGAACTTTGAATCATTTTCACGGATGGCATGCGAAGGATAGGTTAGTTTACAGCTTAGAAAAGATGGAGACGTGTATGCATTTATTAATTATAACGAAAGGTCGAACTGCAATAAACGTAGTCATAATAATTTAACCCATATTTCCTCATTGTCCTTAAAACAGAACAGCACACACAAATGGTCTTTGAGCAAAATCCTTGAAATAATTTGATTAAAATTAATGACGATTTATTATTTAAGAGTCATTTAACTATATATTTGTCTTTGTTGGAAGTATAATTAATTTAGATTATTTTTATTAATTTTTTAAAATGGGAATTTGCAAATTTTTCTACTTATTGTATCAACGTACAAGTTTACTAAAATGTTGAGTTCCAAGAGAAATATACATATAAATTTACTGAGATAATATTCCATACTTTTATACCAGTAAGAAGCATTATAAAAAAAATTTTACCTTTAAAGATAAATTTCCCTTGCATTTTTAACTGTCCTGAAAATAGGACGACGGTAAAGTCCACTGCAACGAAATCCCCATTAGTTTTATAATGGAGACAATCCTTTTTTTTTTTTTTTTTTTTTTTTTTCATTACAAAGATTGCTGTTCTACAACTAACCAAGGCAATTTTATCTACTTGCTAGGTGCACATCACGTGACGGACAGGTGTGTGAAATGTGGGGGAGGAGGTTGAGTAAATGTTTCAAACATTGATTCATGAAGTCAGTTTGTATTCTACATGCATCTAAGTAGACTGAATTTCTCTCGTTTTTTGTAAGGCTTGAATTTTGGAGAAGGATAAAAATCCAAAGGCACAAACGAAGAAACCAACTAAGAAAATCGTGAATGAAGCCATTATCTTCTACAGTTGTCTAGGATTTGTTGTAAATAATTACAAACCATGAGATACATAAGTTTTATATGGATAATATCTTTACTTCGCAAGGAATATTATCCCCCCTCGTTCTTGCAAATAAAATATTCTTCATTACAGGTACTGTTAGAGAACACAGAATATCTAAATGTCAACTTATACTCTCTAAAACAATGTCAAAAATGAAACGCGGCTCTTCAGGTAGCAGTTTTGATACAAAACACAGTCTCAGTTGCAGCAGTTCGATGGAATGTCAGCCGTGTTGTTTCAGTAATCTCCAATTCTGAAGAAGCAGAAAGTTTATCAACCGTAGAAAGAAGAGTAAAAGACGGTAGAAAACAGGTAAGAGATACCAATGTGCACTGCATTTTACAATAAATATAAAAACGCAATTGACCTATTTGATAATCATGCGGCAACTTATATTACTTCAATTATAGAAAAAAAAGGGTACTGACCTTTATTCAGTAATGCATTTGAAACAGCATTTTTTGCTTCATGGAAGCCCAATCAGTTATTTAGTGATGATAGTCTGAGCCTATTTGATTTTCAAACTCGCATAACAGTTGCCTATTTGGGAACTTCTATTCCAAGAAAACCATCTTGCTGAAAACTAGATGTTCAACAGGTTAATGAAGATTTTTTAAAGCTTCAAAGTGAACATATTATTCTCGAAAACCCATAAAATAGACAAAGAAGATACCAGCTAAAATCTTGCACAGCAAAACCAACAACTACCTGTAAAAATGTAACGTTGGACTACGCTTCAGATGCTTTCTCCCAATCCACCTAAGTAAGAATGATTAGCAGTAGATTATACCATTGTCCACGTTTTAGGACAATCAAACTAATAACAATTTGGTTCCTTTTTATTTTATACATCTACATACACAGACTTAGAGAAACACATATTTAACAATTTTTAAAAAAGTATTAATTTTTACAACGCTTGGTATGATATAATTCTCAGAGATTACGAAACTCTTGCTCAGTTCTCATGAAAACCGGGAAGAGTGATCTTGGCTCAGATGGCAAAGTTATTTATATTATACTATTTACAAGAAATTTTCTCCCTCCTTTCCGTATATTACTTCGTGGTGTAACGATAGTACACTCGGGGCGTATTGGAGAAGTTCAGGTTCAAGTACCGGCGAGGGCATTGTTTATTTTCATAACTCCTGCTTCAACACTCTAGACTATACTCTCTCTACACCCTAATGCTGTACACCCTCTATTCCCTCTACACCCAATGCAACTCTAGTACACTCTTATGCTCTACACCCTCTAGTCCCTCTACACCAAATGCAACTCTAGACTATACTCCTTCTACACCGCTAATGCAACTTTGTTCAATATGGAAAACAAAAAAGTTTAAGAACACAAAATATACTTCTGTACGTTTTGAGTAATAATGTATTTTGGACGACGTTTTTTCGAAGTAAGAGCTGTTTATTTATGAGTAAAAAACCTGGATTAGTATGAATTAAAGACACAAACTGATTTCTTATTTAAGCATATTGTTGTGAAATGTGTTTTTCTTTAAATCTACTCAAGAGGAAGTGATATCATGTTTGCTCTGTACCTCTCATATAATATGCAATTCATTTCTAATCAAATACATCTATATATGTGTACCATCGTATTAATACTGCCAATTAAACATGAAATCCTGTTAAATGCTTTCCTAAGATATGTACAGTTTATATCTTAGAAATAGCATTAAATACGGAATGGAGCCAAAAGTTCGTTAAAACTTTGAAAAATTCATGAAAAAGGAAGAAATTATCACAAAGAAGTGCGGTTTGCAATGTAAGGAACTCGTAAGAAAGCCAGAATTTTTAAGCAGAAAGAAAAATTAGTTAAAAATGTCACCAGTAGAGGCCGCTGATGAACGAGTGATTCAGCAGAATTATGCATATTAATCTTGCTATAAAAAACTGTGATACACGAGGTTTTCTCATTCGCTTTCAAAATTAACCCGAGCGAGCGTTGTTGGTGAAGTTGTTCTATTTGAACAGAGAGTCAGCAACTGTTGCGTTGCGAAAATTTTTGCACGGTGAAAGGACTCAAAGAATGGCCACCGATACCGTGTTCTGAAATACTGAAGCTTGTGAAACGGTTCGAAGAACCTGGCTTTTTGTAGGATCGGCCACAAATTGGAAGACATTCGTTGAGGAGGAGCCGAATTACTGCGGTGGAAACCACTATGAATGATAGAACGGAAGAATCATCCACGAGGAGTAGCAGTACTCGCATAGCTTAAAGGATATTGGATGTGTCTCACTCATCGATTTTAGATGTATCCTTCACGGTATATTTTATTTCTGTCCTTATTAATTGCAATTCACTGTATGAGTTACAACCGAAAGACAAAGCTATGATCCATTTGCCGAGTGGTATATGACAAGAACTGAAAGCGACCCTCAGTGGTAGTTCAACGTATCTGGATGGATGAGGAGCACTTCACACTATACAGGGATGTCAACATCCGGACCACTCGTATATGGGCGCCATCAAATCCCGTCGAATCCAGCCCTCGTGAATATACGACTTTGAAGAACCGTGTCCCAAGTGGAAAACGTGCACAACAAACTGCACTCTTTTGCAGCGCGTCCTCATTAAATCAAACAGTTAACAGTCTGAACGATTCAGTGAAACGATTCGTATTGTGCATCTTTGATGAAAACAGAGTGATCAGTGGAGGTGGCAAGATCGCACGGCCTCCACGATAACCCAACCTCACTCCGGTCGACTTCTGGTAGTGGGGTTATTTGAAATCTCTTGTATACCGTTCAAGCCCTTCAACATCGGCTGAACTCAAAGGTTCTGGCAGTCGTACGATTTTCGCAATTCATTCCGACATGTTGCATTCAGCTGTAACAGACGATGTGAATCGCGTTACTTGTGTTATACAATGTTCTGGAGGTCATGTTGAACATTTTTTTTTTTGAAAGTGTTGCGTGCATACGGGTTCGTAATAGATTGAATGCACAAGTCCGATAATTAGTTAATAAGTTCTTAACAGAATATATTCGTACAAGTGTTTACAATATCACGCACTATAATTAGTAGTTATATCTTAAACTACTAAAAAACGTTAAATACAACGCATTGCACAGCGCATTTAAAAAGAAAGCTAATCCGATCTTACGCTGAATTCGCAACAGTAACAACAGCAGCTAACTAAGCAACTGAGGTGGGATTTGGAACTTTCGGATATAGTGGTGTTCAGCAGGTAATTCTAGCCTGCTCTTAGAGCTGAGATGTTTTCTCTCTTGCGTTTTATTGCTTTCAATCGGTCGCGAAATATTTCTGGTAATTTCTGCTTCTCGAGATTTCTGGAAAACGAGGATGTAATTATGGTTACAGCTGCTAACAAAGCAGTCAATTAGATTTATTCAATTTAAACAGAAATTAGCGAGATATCCATTTATTCAATGTTAAATGCACGTGTGCCTGTATTTTTACTTCTCCGGTGTAACTTTATCTAAATACAAAATTTGTAATAAAAGAATAAATGAGTGAATTGCACTGTTTCCTGTTTATTGTCTTTACGCCCTCTAGCGGTGACATTTGAAACTAAAAATTTTGTTGATACCCAAAGCTTCCTTGTGAGCCCTATCTTGCGAACCACACTTCGTTATAGTTATTTCTTCTTCTTTTATGAATTTTTAAAATTTCAACAAACTTTGGGCTCACCCAATATTCCAATACTCTGTTATTAATATTTTATATACTATTCTTTGAAAGTGCTGTTTTCATGAATTTGATAAAACATTGACAACATTTGAGGAAAAATGTAATGTAGCTACCAATTTCTCGAAAACCAATATTTTCTATTAGAACAATAGGACTTACTAGGAGTTTTTATTATTCTTGTAGTACTTGGCACATACTCTGTTTCCCATTCGGTTTCAGCTAAAAAAAAAAAAAATGCTAGCAATTCATAGTAATTCCATAAAAATGAACCATAGGAAAGCCAATAAATCAAAATACATTCATCAAAAAATGTGCCATAGTAAAAACAAATAGCTCAAAATTAAATTCTGTCAGAAATATGCAGCATATCACGCAAATATTGAATACCAATGTATTACATCAGACAGATATTTAACAAAGTTAACACATAAAAGAATAAAAAAATCTGATGTATACACCACATGACTTCCTTGTACGGAATATTAAATTATATGCATTTTTCCCTGCATTTCATTTAAACTTATTTCCTTTAATTTCATTAGAGATATATTTCTCATTCAATTAATTCAGTTCTCTGTTCTCGGCAAGGCAAAAGTACAGAAAATCTCAAAATATCTTCATTAAAACTGAAAGATATAGAAACACATAAATACCAAATACAGTTAAAATAATTAAAAAAAGCATTTTTTACAGTTAAAATTAGAATTTCTACGCGAAAACAAAGCAATTCGGCGAGAAGGCAAGAAGGCAGATTTTTCGGTGCACAAAACTAAAAGTTTCCTTTTGGTCCCACTCTGCAAAAAAGACTCTGGAGGTGCAGAAAGGTTTTATTCACTATTTTGCTCAAATGTAAATAAGTTCCAAATGTAAGAAAAAAAAATGGTTGCTGTGGTAAGAAAAATTAGAACTTTGTTGATAATTCTATAACTATTCCATGCAGATTAACTAAAGACATAAAAACCTGAACAGGAGGATAAGAACAACATAATTCAATAATTTTTAATTCCAAAAATTCGCAATTTACAAACATATAGTAATAAAAAACTGAGCTTACGGAGCCGAGTAACAGAGTGGGTACATATATACTTTTGAAGTGCTGCCGATTGCAACCAAAACGGGAGGTGAACAACTACATGTTATAGTAGTCATATATACAAAATTTCAACGTTCTGGTGTTATTAAATTTTGAGTTATGCGGAAATATTTACATATACATAGGTACGTACAGACGACCACGAAAAAAATCTCTTCTGAATCCATTTTAAATAAGTTTTATAATTCGTTTGGAGAAAAAGAGTCTTTAATTCTGTCCTTACGGTACAGATGCCAAGCAGTAACATCGTTAACTTTTATTCGATAGTGGTCAAAATGGATATTTTCGATGAATTATGATACCCGGAAATTTTCGTGATTACAATACTTCCTTTCTTTGTACAAGAAAGCAAAAAATGGGAATTGAAATGCAATTTTATTGATGTATTATTATTTAAATTTGGTATTCGCAAAAACTCGGAACGAATGTCTCAGTATATTCTAAAGCCAACAGCGTTATGTGGAAGCGAAACTTCTAGCAATCAGTTATCCCTTTCCTTTCATCTGCGATATTATCTGGTGATGGATTTCGGCTTCTTAAGAGGAAAAAGCAATCCCTGAAGTCTGAACTAAAACGTCAAAGTTTCCTCACGATAAACGGCAAATGTAAAAGAATCACCATACACCTCGATATTTTTTATCATTATAAAGAATCTTTTATTTAATATAAAATGTTTTTAGTTTTAAACTTAATCACTAACACAATAACTTAAAGGAAGAAAAAAATAGGTACTACAATTGAGTTGGAGAAGAAAAGCAATTAGATACTACAATTTATTTGGAGAAGAAAAAAACTGCTCACTACATTTAAATTGGTGAAGAAGAAATAGGTTAGGTACCATAATTTACTTCATGAAATTTTAATAAAATGCTTACGTGGAACAGTCATTGTTATTTCTTCCACTGTAGTTGGAGTAAGACTCTGCGTACGCGTTTTATCACCTGGAGAAAAAAAAACATATTTTATTCAATTTTAATCTATGTAACTCTACATTATAAATAGTTAATATATAAAAATATCTGATGTATACACCGCATGACTTCCTGCACGGAATATTAATTATGCGCGTATTTTGCTGCATTTCATTTAAACTTATCTCCTCGACCTTCATTAGAGAAATTACAGTTCTCGTTCAGTTAACTCAGTTTTCACTTCGAGACAAGGTAAAAATACGTAAAATCTCAAAATACTTTTAGCAAAAATTAAAGAATATAAAACACCAAATACAGTTAAAACAATTTTTACACCTAAAATTATGTTTTCTACGCAAAAACAAGTGATTCAGAGAACAGATAGGAAGCAGATTTTTTGGTGCACAAAAGTGAAAGTTTCAACTTCATTAATATCTTTGAGACATTTATTAAAAAAAAAAAAAAAAAAAAACTAAAATACCTCATTGTGCATTATCGTTATTGAAAGCTTGTGCATGTTTATGTATACTTTTTTGCATTTTCTCTCACCATTCGATAAAGGCAAAATATACTCTACAAGGAGTAGAGGTCACCGAACTCAGGTACCCTGGTGCAAGCACCACTCAACAACTGAAAGCTTACTTTTGGTTCCCACTTCGGCAAAAAGGCTCTGAAGTTGAGGAAACGGACTTAAATTCATTTGTTCTGTTAACTTTCAAAAAGTAAACAAAAATGGCAGCTATGCTAACAAAATTAGGCTTAGCCGCAATTGAACAACGCTTCAAATTGCTGATAATTCTACAGCTATTGCATGCAGATTAACTAAAGGCATAAAAACATTAATCCGAAGATAAGAACAATGCAATTCAAGCTATTTCTAAAGCCAAAAGTGCACAATTCAGCAACATATAAAATATAAAACTAAAGAGCTCATTCAGCCGATTAACAGAGTGAGTTATATATACAATATACGTATATATATAATGTTGAAAGATCTTAAATTCACTTAGTGCGAAATCGAGTTATTCTACTTGCGCAATTGCTGTAAAGTAGGTTAATAATAATTTATTTACTAAAGAATATTGATTATATTATCTAAGATTAATTTTAGATGAATTATTTTGAAAGAGTGAATCCATACTTAGTAAGTTCAATTTCGAAAAATGTTTTAAAGTGACTTGAATGTAAATTGTTAAAAATGTTTAACGGGGACTTGAATTAAATCATGAATAACAAAATTTCAATTGTAAAAAGAAATAAATTAAAAACAAGTAATTAAAATAAATTCAATAATCATTGCCATTGATCGGAAATTAGTTGACTTTTCAAGGGGAAAAAATAACTCCCGTTCAATGAACAATAATTAAGAAATAAATACGAAGGTGTTTCATCATTTACTCGAGTAATAAGGCGATGCCAAACCGGCAATTCAAGCTAGGCCAAACATTTCCGTGAATAAAAGGGATTAAGCACCAATGCAGAGAACCAAAGAACTCATTCCGATTAAGCATTTTAGTTTATTCAATTTTGAGTGAAAAGCAATTTCTGCAGTAACATTGATATTGCTCGAGTAATTGTCCCCCGACACTCTCGTGTTTATGCATTTTAGTTCAAAACTATTTGTAAAAATTAAACATTTGAAAATTGGTATTTTAAAATAGAATTCAAAGTAATTGAAATAAACATTAAAAAATTAGAAAAAATAAGAAAAATAATGCAATCATTGCAAAAACAAATCAAAAAAATAAAAAATTAAATTAAAAAAATTATAGTAAGAAAAGGGAATGTACATGAAGATAAAGGCCAAAGATAAAAAATATATAAATCAAAATTAGAATTTAAACTAACAGTAATTCTTTAATACTTCCTCTCTGTTTTAAAAATCGTAATAACTTCTCTGGAGTCCATGGTGCAGCGCTGATGACGTAATAACTGGAAACCAAAACCAAACCTGATGACTGAAAGCAAACCGATGACGACGTAATAATTGGGAATTTTAATTCAAATGAAAAACTTTCTATTCGTGTGCTTTCATATTGCATAGCTACGCACATGATGTTGAATCGCACTGCTTCGGCGTAATTTCGTTGTGGTTGCTTGCTATTGCCATAGCATAAAAAATGTAAATATTCTGTGAATGGGCACGACTAGAGGGCCAAGTGATTGTGGCCACAAATGTCAACTGTAAATAAAAATGGAATTAAAACTGCCTCGATTGCTAAGTTTTTTAGATATAGTTAAGTCAATATATTAGCATACAACGCAATCGGAATTCTTCCTCTTCAATATGGATCGACGATCTATCCTATCTGGATATTACGCATCAACAGTGCTCCGTCTTTTCCTTGCGTTTATTACAATTTAGTCGGTAGGACAGTTACCTGCAGTCTGAGACCTCAATGGAAAATTTGTTTAGTCAGCTCTTCAAATCATCGCTTCCTCATAAATGCAAAGGCAATGCAAAAGAGGTGATTCATAATTTTTTTTCCGTATTTAAAAATTAAGATGTCATTCTTCTGGTCTGGTGTTTTGTAAGTGCTTCAAAACATAATCACCGGTAGTGTTTACAGAACAAAATATAAATCCAGTTCGAATGCCTAAGTGAAAAGGAATACTGAATTGTATTTAGAAAAAATGCATTAAAATATTTTTAAAAAATGCTTTAAATCATAAGTGAATTACCGCTTAGGAGATTCAGCTTTACATTGCATTCAAGGTCAATGGTCTGTGCTTTGCTTCAAGTATGTGCGACAGAAAATTATTTGTGTTTCTGCTTTCTCTAATAGTACTTCGTTAATCCACAGCTCAAAAACTGTTGTTTTCGTGTGAATTTAACTTAAGAACGAGAAAAAAGTTATTTAATATGCTGCGAGATTCTATACTTTTCATTTCAATTTTGCTTAAAATTACTGCAATTTGAATGTGCTGATTTGCGAAAATGCGAGATTCTTGTTCATTAATTTTTCATAAGTATATGTGAGGAAATTAAGCAACGGATTTTAAGTTATTTAAATTATTTATAGGGAAGGGTATTAAGCTAAATAGATATATTTTTGAATTTATGTTGAAAATTTTGAATTCTTGATAAGAGTTTTTAAATGAATGAAATAATTATGAAAAATTAGTATAAAATTTGATAAACAAATTGTGTTTTTGAGTAGTATTATAGAAATAATAAGTAGCATGGAATTATATTAACTGATTTTAAAATTTAAGGATCATTATATGTTCAGATAAACTTTGAAGGCTCTGACTTCTGTTTGTATATAAGTGTTTTTGCTTTTTTAATATAAGAAAGTGTGGTTAATTTTTTAATAAATGGAATGTTATAGTGCAGCTAAAAAGGCCAGTTGCCTTTAAAACAAGAAGCGGATGATTATACTTTCAAACGTGGTATTAGCATTTAATTTTCCCTGGATGTCGATCTTCTCGCCGGACACAGTCTGGATAGTAACGTAGGGCGGCATTCAGATGAGTTTACTTACACTCGTTGAGCGAAATCTTTTCGAATGATAGTAAATTTGGCTCCTGTATCGATCGTCAGATTGCAGGGAATTACATTGATATGTCATATGACAAAGAGTCCATTACTGCCTCCATTCATTGCAGAAAACTGAAGTAGTTTTCTAACCCTATGAGAAACCCTATACCTTCGTCACGCAAGATGGCCACTAATTAGTTTCCCTGCTTCTTACTGTTAAAGGTCCTAACTTCCGTGCCCAGCAGTTCCGTCGTATGGGGCCGTCATCACCGCAGTTCCAGTACATTAGGGATGATTTCTTGTCACTCCTATTGCGTCTCGAAGCATTGACTTGTCTAGTTAAATCGTCGATACGATAAGTCACTTGATCCACTTGCTCCGGGAGTTGAGCAACTCTGACTGGGTGGCGGTCTTTAGAAGTTGCTTGCGGGTTGTCTCGAATTTCATGGCGTACACTAGAGTGCTTTTCAAATTTTTGACATCCGCCATTTCCAGAGCTTTCTTAATTTCAGGATTCCGAATGCTATTGATGAAGTACTGCAGGGCTAAGATTTCTCTTATTTCTGTCGAGCGTTCCGAAAAGGCGAGATGAGACAAACTTTCAGCATTTGATGCAAGTTCCTGAACTGTTTCCATGGGCTTCTGTCGACAGGATTCTTATTAAGGCCTGCTGTAATTTTTTAAACATTTCTTGGCAAAGCACAGCTCCTACGCGCTGGATAGACTTTCGAAGTTTCTTCTCTGTTTTTCTGGAAACGTTTGAAGAATATTCAAAGCGTCTGCTCTCAGAGAAGCAGCGAGATGGCAGGCCTTAGCTTCGGAATCCCATCCATTTGCATCCGCTTAAAATTGTGTCTTATATACTTGCCAGGAGATCTTCCCATCACAAGTGAATAGTCTCAGAGAGGGACGAGCAGGAATGGGTAAAAATTTAAAACCACCATCATTGCTTGGGTTTTTGGATGTCTTTCACTCTGGAATGAAGTCAATCAATATCTGACTAGAAATCTAACTACCCAGATGGGCTTTCTATAGAGAGCTTTTCAGTTAAAAAATTCACTTGGGTTGATGAATGAACCAGAATTACTAGTTCCAATACAAAATCCAATAAATTTGACATCTTTCTGAATTAATCTTTACTTGGGTCAAAAGGTAACGAAACGTAATACGGATCCATCTATTTTGAGAGCTCTCGCTTTCGAAGTATTAAATATTTTTTTTACCCTGAGCCAGAGTGGCTGTTTTAACCGAAATTTTCTCTTTCTACATCACTGTGGGACGAGGTTCTGCGTTTGATGGTGAAATTGCTGAGATTCGCAAAGCTCTGTGCCAGTTAATATGCCACTTGGAAAATTTCACAGGAGGTGTTATACTCAGTGATTCCTGAGCTTCTCTGTTGGCTATCGTTTCAGGTACAAATCCCATATCACAAAACATATTGAATTGTCGACATTATCTACAAAACTTGGCTTCACTTGAGAGAAATATAGTCTTCCAATGGGTTCTTGCCCACTCTCGGATTCCAGGTAACGAGAAAGCCGACTTCTTGGCAAGAAAGGTTGCTTTAATCATGCAGAATATTTTTCGTCCTTTGCCTTTCCATACTGTTAGGGATCTTATCAAAAGATCTTTCAAAGTACATGCTCAGGAAGATATCTATCACCGTGTTGCTCATAAGTCTTAGAAGAATGCTATCCCGAATTTGTGTAACGACCCAAGGCGTAGAGCGGTCGCTGAATTCCACCTTGCCACCGGGCATGACTGCCTACAATATCATCTTCATAGATTCAAGATTTTTTCTTCTCCGATATGCACTCTCTGCAGCTCTGGAGAGGAGATGGATGCCGGACATCTACTCCACTGTCCTGTTCTGAGCAAAACGTTTCTGGCCGAGTGGTACTGGGAGGCAAGAGATATGTTAGATTAATGGACTCTGTTGCACTGTTTTTTATCATTGTATTGCTGTATTCTATGTTTTTTGTTCAAAGTTTTTTTTGCTGTAACTTTTCATAATCTGCCATTGGAAATAAAAGAAAAAGTATTGCTCCCTGCCGTCACTACGAATTCCTTTAAGGTATCAATTTCTTTGGCGATCGCGGAAACCCTGTCATCAATTTGTTGTTCGATCCGTTGTTGGACGGCAGCGCTTCCTTCTGTTTGTCCAACTCTGTTTTCAACAGCATTTATTTTGTCTTCCAACCTGAAATTCGTTTTCTATTATGCAGGTACTTTTTTTTTTTCATTTCTTCTTCACCAGCTTGCATTTCTTTTTTAACAGCTTTCATCTCTTCGTTAACGGAATCTTGGCCAGCTTTCTTCTCCTCTTGACCCACAGCAAAGGCTGCCACTGACTGCCTTAATTATTCCTTCACTGATATTGTCTCTGGCATTCAATCCCAGTTCTGACATCAAAAATTATTGCGTGCGTACGGGTTCGTAAAACCTGAATGCACAAGTCCGAGAATAGGTTAATAAAATGTATTTTTATCGAGAGATATGTTTCAGAATTCTGAAATTTATTACAGAAATATTCGTACACGTGTTACACAGTATAATCAGTAGTTTCATAACAAACTACTAAGAACGTTAAATACAACACAATGCAGTGCGCATTTAAATCGAAATCTAAACCGTTCTCACTCTGAACTCTCAACAATAACAACCAGCAGATAACTAAACCACTGAGAGCAGCTGTTCTCTCTTCGGCCTTAAATAGTTTTCAACCGGTCGCGAGATATTTCTCATATTTTCTGTTTCTCGAAATTACTGGAAAGCGATACGAGCGTGGAATTACTGTTACAACTAAGATAGTGGTCCCTAAGGATCCTTTACCTTCGGACCGGGCAAAAATAAAAATTGCGATCAAATCTTCACAAATCCTTTCAAGCAACTTAAAACATTCGCTTATCCCATCCGTTGAGAATTGTGCCATATTATATGCTCTTCCCAAAATTCATAAAAGTGGTATTCGTTTCCGCACTATTGTATCAAATTTAGGTACTGCCTAGTATCCATTAGCTAAATATTTAGTTTCTAGATTTTCAACTCTATTAGACAATAACATTTACGCCATAAAAAATTCAATAGAGATTGTAAAAAAGGTTAAAAAACATTTCTCCTAGTAATTTACTCATGGTTTCTTTTGATGTAAAATCATTATTCACCAATGTCCCAGTGGAGGGTGCATTAAGATGTCTAAAACCAGACTTCGCGAATTTCATTTCTCTTGCATCGAAATTGATGAGCTAATTTCTCTCACTCAACTCTGTTTGAAACAAACACCATTTTGTTTTCCAAAATAAATATTACAAGCAAACTGAGGGATTAGCCATGGGAAGCCCCCTCAGTCCCATCCTGGCTGATATCTACATGCATTATTATGAATCAAAATTGTTTGAAACTTTAAACTTCCCGGCATGGTTCCGCTACGTAGACGATACTTTTACCCTGTTTGAAGGTAATAAAGATGATTTAAATAAAGTTCTTTCAACATGAATTCTATTGATCCTGCTATTCAGTTCACTTTTGAACTTGAGACTTGCAATTCTCTTCCGTTTCTCGACATTCTGGTCACACGTAACAACCAAATACAAAGTTTACCAGTAAACCTTCATCGGTTTGCCTTCCACCACACTTTAAATCATGTCATCCGACTAAACAAAAGTTAGCTTCATTTTATTCCTATGTTTTCCGTGCTCTTCAAGTTTGCTCCTCCAAACTAGCCCTTGATGAAGAACTAAATTATTTAAAAGCAATAGCTATTGACAGGGGCTTTTCACCCAACATTATTAATCAAGCAGTTAAAAAATTCTCATCTCAACACACCAAAAGGCACAAAGGAGATTATAAAAATTCTGTTGTCATTCCCTTCTTTCCATCAATTAGTTGCACTATAAAGTTGCAGATTTTGCAGAAATTTAACTTTCGGGTTGTTTATTCTCCCATCAATAAAATTCCAACTTCTATACTCAAGGACCCCATTCCGGATATGAATTCCTGGGGTATTTATAGGATTCCTTGCCAGTGTGTTTAATTTTACATGGCCAAACTAAGACTAAGACAGCCTTAAAATTTCGCGTTAAGGAACATGAGGCATATGTTAGAAAAAAGGAAACACAGAAGTCTTCTGTTGCCCAACATTGTTAGTCCGAAAATCACACTTTTAATTTTTCGGCTGCCAAAATTATTCAAAAAACATCTTCCATTGGCGAACTGTATTTTCTAGACGCATTTGACATTCAAAAAAATCTTCCTGTTCTAGTTAACGACCCTAATTCTATCCATCTTTCCCTTCAGCCTTTAAAGAAGTTATGTTTTAGTTCCTGTTTCATCAACATCGCCAGTAGCTTGTCTTTTGTCCAGGCTTTCGTATCTATCTTATCTTATCTAATCATTATATGTTACTTCGTTCATTAGCACTTTTACAGCGGATGATGGTTCGGTAAAACCATCGAAACTAGTCCTGCGAAAATGTGAAAATATTACGCTGATTTTTTGTTGTTTGGCTTCTAACTTAATATTTGTTCGGCGTGTTATTGTATCTTAATATTCTGGTAGATTTAATACTATATTTACCTTTGAGTCCCAGGCTTCACAAAGAATTTCATAAAGTAACAATACACATCAAAGATTCTCAGATAAAGACATTTTTATTTACAGAATAATTCTACCAAGCACGTCAAAAGAATCTACTACAATAAACCGAAATTAAATACTTCTGCCACACTTAAGTTGTATGACGAACATATCGTTTGCATTTGTGTAACGTAACGGGCTTACATTAAAATAAATAAATACTTAAAAAGCAGACGACGATACAGCACGTATCAGTGTACTTACGGTATTACGATACACGTACGTTTTGAATATCAATTTTTGTTGCCATCTAAAAATGTAGAACTTCTTTTATAATTTTTTAGTCTCCTTTAAGATTTTTCATTAGTCCAGCAGTTTTGTTACATTTAAAATCAAAATACATTCCGCAAGAGAAGAAGAGGAAGAATGACCTTGCTTGTTTGCATTAGCTGTACATAAGTCACGTGATCTCTAAGGTCATCTGCATTGTTTGTTTACAAAAGGTATACTTAAGTCACGTCATCAATGAGGTCATCGGAATATATCTCATTGTTAAGATTCGGCTAAATTTAATCTGTTGTTAAATTGGATGCTAACTTTAGTTTTATTTGCAGAGGAATGTTATAAGCGATTTAATAAAATGCATCTTCAGAGCAACAAAATAAAATGCACAGCTGGAAATTCCAAATGAAACCAGTAGCAGATTATTGTGGTACATTAAGTTCGTTTCAGGTCACATATATTCGGTTATGTAGAAAATTTTACATTTAACCAATATTTCGATTATGTAAATTTCATCAAGCCGTACCTGCCAAATATCGTTCCCCCTTTAAGCCACTGTCAATCAGGCTTTACTTGACTTATTAAAGAGCAGAGTGACCTAATTGTTCAAGGCGGGAAAGCTTTGGTAAGTCCAAATTCTGTACCAATGAAATTTATTTGGTGGTTGCATCGGGTTTACCAAATATAGTTCAGTTTCAATTAAATAATGTGTTTACGAAGACAGAACGAAGAATGATTTTTTCGAGAATTTTGTACGATTTTTAGAGAGGGAGTACTTATAGAATAACTAAAAAGAAAGAATGATTTCCAAAATTTATGTTCGGCGCTTTCAACATTAATGCTTCACGTAATGGCAATCATTGAAAGGAATTAGTGGGGACTAGCACAAGAACTGTTGACAAAATTTAGCAAAATCGTTAATTCAGAAACTATTTTACTAAATTATTAAAACTGATACTAGTATATGTAACAGCATAAAAAACTGAGTGGCCTTCAAATTTTATTCCTGCGTAAGATCAAATAAGAAAATAAAGCAGAACTTCTTCGCAGAAAATTGAAAAGTGAGGATCTGTGGATAATTTTAAAACATATGATGCGGATACCACACGACTTTCTTGTATGGTATATTAAATTTTACACATTCTTTACGGTATATATTGTACACTAATTTCCCCGAATTTCATTAGAGATGTATTTCTTATTCAATTAATTCAGTTCTCACTTCGCGGCAAGGCTAAAATACATAAAAATTCAAAACATCTTCATTAAAAATTGTAAAATACAGACATGTAAGGAAAAACCTGAGCTCACGTAGTCAGGAAACTCAGTAGGAATATATGTATGATTAGTGTAGCCGATTGCAACGAAAACGAGAAGTGCACAGCTACATGTTATAGCAGCCCCATATACAAAATTTCAAAGTTCTACGGCTACTTGTTCTTGAGTTATGCGAGATACATTCATACGTACGTACAGACATCTAGGAAAAAATCGTTTCTGAATCTATTTTAAAACTATTTGGCAATCCCTTTTTGGCAAACAGTCCTTTATTTTGTCCGTACATAGAGATGTGACGCAAATCGCATCCTTCAAATGGTTTCGAGAGCTGTTGAAATGGCTATTTTCGTTGAACTATGATACCAGACATTTTCCGCGATTACAATACTTCCTTTCTTTGTACAAGGAGGTAGAAAGAAAAGCATATATAATAGGATTGTCATGTATTTCAAAAACTACACTTATGTCGATAAATTAAGGATAATTCGGAGTCACGCGGAAATAGAACTCTAAAATAAAATATATCACCTATAAAATCCTTCAAGAATCATATGCAAATTTCAGGAAGTAATCAGATGACATCGATGGTACGTCACAGTGACGAGAGTGTAAGAGAGTGATGTATAAGGAATACAGGCAAAGAAGTAAAATTGTTCGCCGGAGCTTTATAAGCATTTCAGTGCAATAATCGAATAGTTATGACACAAAAGACGCATTTGGATGATTTTTTACGTGGTAGAATTATCGGCCGTCTGGAATGTGGGCGTACCCAACTGGAAGTATAAGACAAACTTGGAATTGCCCAGAGTGTCATCTCCAGGCTTTGGCAAGATTCCAAGATGATGGTAATGTGAGTAGACGTTACAGCACAGGTCGCCCCAGAGTTACAACGTCGAATGAGGACCGGTATTTGGCAGTTACTGCCAAAAGAAACAGGCGGAGCACAGCCTCAGACATGTCTCGTCACCTCTCTTCAGCCACTGGTTCGACAATTTCGAGGCAGACCGTGTACAGACGCTTAGGGCAGATTTGTCTATATGCTCGTAGGCCTGTCAGATGCGTTCCACTTACTGCAACTCACTGTCGCCTGCGGTTAGCCTGGAATAGAGAGCATTCATTGTAGACACCGCAACAGCGGGCTTGTGTGATGTTTTCCGACGAGTCCAGGGTTAGCTTGCAGTCGGTTTCTCGCCGGACGTTCATATGGATAGCTCCAGGTACGCGTTACCACCAAGAAAACATCATTGAACGACACTGTTACGGTGGTGCAGGAGTGCTCGTTTGGGGTGGAATTATTCTGGGTTCCAGATTTGACCTGCATGTTCAAATTGGAACCATGACAAGCCATATCTATCGGGACATCATTCTGGAACAACATTTACGTTTGTTTCGGGGCGCCATGGGCGCACAATTTGTGTTTATGGATGACAACGCCCGTCCTCACCGTGCAAACATCGTAAGCGAATGCCTTCAATCGAAGGATATGACCGTATGGACTGGCCAACATTCTCATCGAACTTGAATCCAGTAGAGCACGTGTGGGACATGCTTGGCCGACGAGTTGCAGCCCGTCAACGTCCTCCTACATGTCTACCGAAATTTCGGAGAGCATTGCGTTTTGAGTGGTGTAATATCCCCCAAAATCAGATCGATAATTTGATGCTCAGCATGCCTAGGCGTTGTACGGACTGTATTGCATCGTCTGGGAGACATACAATGTATTAAGAATCATACCAACCATGTAATATTGGTTTTTTGTAAATAGGGTTTGTTTGTGATTTGCTCCAGGAAGATAAAATCGCTATTTTTTTAATAATATCAATCATATAGCATCTTTTTTTGCTCTTTACCTTTTGTTTAATAAATAACCTTTAGAAATAAGTCAAATTTGTTTTGCGTCTAACTCTTCCTTTGCCTGATTTTGCATTATCCTTAATTTATGGACATGAGTGCAGAACAACTCGACTAAATAGAAACTAAGAAAACTGACTTACGTTTTGGCTTCTTCGAGATTCTAGTTGTTGAACCTATTGGAAACTCGTCTGTCACGATAATATCTGAAACATATTTAATAGGTTACCAGCACTTTTCTAAATATTTTAATTTACATATACAACATTAAAATTTGAAAGAAATGGGCTTATTTCTGTTCAGCTTGTTGAACGTATAGCACAAGAACGTTATTTGCAAAGCTTACTTCTGCTTCGCACATTTTACTACAAAGAATGAAATTTTGTGCATTTTCTAATGCATAACACAAACGCATTTCTCTTTAGAAAAAAAATTGTTTTGCAAAAGTTGAAAAGAAGTTCTTTTGATTTAAATGAATTTTCATTTTACTCTTCATGTTGTTGTAAGCTTATAATAAACTATAACGCCCGGTGGTCATACGGAATGACCGCTGTTCTAGATATTATAAATTGTAATTAAAATGATTTGTGCAAAGGTGTCTGCTAATTTAAACTGAATTACCCAGGACAGGCGGCGAGTAAGTCCCTTAGCTTAATGCCCTATGGGGTACCCCTTCTACTTGCTTAATTGCTTAAAGTAGAGTGCAATGAAGGTAACCACTGGCGGTACATTTCTTAAGAGCCACCGCTAGCTCAATCAAAAAAGGTGATTTAAATAAATAATGAAATGTGAATACGCATGTCAAAGATTTCTTTGTACGCAACATTTCTTGTGTAGATTATTCCATCATTTTTCAGCTCGCCTTGCAGAGGACGATCCATTATTTTTAATTTTACGTCCGTTCTTTCACGACTCTTAAACAGGCAACATAAAGTTTACCGTGTTCAAATGCAGTTTCAGGTAAAAATATGCCAACATGCTTAAGCGTTTGGCCCTGAGACTTATGGACGGTCATAACAAAGGCGAGTTTTACAGGAAATTGTCTACGTCTCAAATGAAACGGCAATCCTGTGCCGTGGCAACTTCAGCCCATTGGCTAGTACAGTTACGCAAGCAACCAATAAACTTATCAGGACTTGTGTTCCTCTTTACTTGCTTTGGAAACATGAACTGTCCTGATTCGGAACAGGGAGCTTACTCAAGCTATGTTCGATAAATTGTGAAGTAGACAATACACACAGGAAGGGTATACGAAACCCTTTATTTTTCTATCTTTACAGAGCTTTCCGGAACTTCGGAATACAGAGACCAATCATTTGTGGTCTGAACGTAAGAATATAAAAATACTAACTAAAACTCTAACTAAACTAACTTTGGATTAATATACAAGTGCCTAACTTCAAGATTGACCGTTAATTAACAAAAAGCCGTATGTAGTACAGAGAGCTGCTAAAACTACGATACGTTTAAAATTATCAAGAGGATTAAACCTCTGGCCTTGAAGGCAACCAGCAAACGAGTAAAACTCCTATGGCAAGCGGCCTGCTTCTAATAACTCCTTCCTCTCTCTTGTTTGGCAAAAAAGCCACAACTTAAGTACTTGGCGTTAGCAAGACAAATTTGCATAAATAAGTAAAAGCTTTTAATTCTGGCCGGAAGTAGAAAATAAGAAGTGATAGTAAAGATTTAAAATAAAATAAACGTTCGTAAAACTTAGGATCCTTATAAACTATCGGCGACAAACAGATACTTAAGCCGCATATATATGTTACCGTGAAAGACCGAAACTGGAGAATGTTGACTTTCACCGGAGAATGTCAACATTCACCAAATACGTCGGAGAAAGATCGAATATTGCATTACATTCTTGTACATTCGGACCCTCACCGGTGTATGTCGATTGTCACAGATATGTTCTGGTGCAGGTCCAAAAGAGAGGTCATAAAGTATCATAATAGTTTAAATTGTTGCAATAAATAAGATTTGAATCACATAATTTAGTAAGTTTTTTATTACTATTATTTTATTTTCTCATTTAGAACGTACTGTATAATTACGTAAGTTTTAACTTCTATTATTTTCCTTTCTCATTTTGAATGTACCGTGGGTTTTAAGTTCTTATTTTTACTCTTAAGTGCGTTTTTCGCGACTGAATTACGGAGAAGAAAATATAATATTCTTATATGTTGAACATTCACGATTAGTACATGGTGAATGTCGACATTTACCGGTGACATGTCAAAGATTTCTTTGTACGCAACATTTCTTGTGTAGATTATTCCATCATTTTTCAGCTCGCCTTGCAGAGGACGATCCATTATTTTTAATTTTACGTCCGTTCCGGAAAGTCAGAAATAAGAGTATTTGAAAAATATTTCGGACATACACCAAGCGACTAGGTGATTGTTTACATTCACCGGTGAAAGTCGACATTCTCCGAATTTCGGTGTTTCACCGTAACATATATATGGGGTGAAGTAACATTATCTCCTCCGAAACGGCTGGCTTCCGGGCTTAGCAAAGCACAGTGTTGGATTCCGCAGGTCCGTGGCACGCCATTTTGACCATTCGCGTCTTCTTGGGACTTTAATTAGCCGAGATATTAATTAAAAACTAATTTTCCCGTACGGTTTCTCTATATTCTCCACTTTCGTTTTTGGGTTTTCGCTATTAGAGGGATTTGGCTACGTGCCAAATTCTTTTTTCTTCAATATCTACAAAACGGCGTCGAATTGAAATTCGAGACGCGTATCCTCGGATTCCAAAAAATTCTCCGAATCCATCGATACCGTTCTCATCTTCGTACGACTTTAATCGGCCGAGATATTAATTAAAAACTGCGGAAACGTTAATTTCCGCGCTCATTTTTCTGGGTGGCAACAATAAACTATCGGCGACACACACTTTAGCCGCTTATATATATAAAGATGATTATAGTTGTATTTTGTACAGAAGGAAGAGAAACATAACTAAAAAATATAAAGCCATTTTCCTTTGTCTCTTAAAAAATGCAAAGGTGAAGAATCACAATTTTTTTTAACTCTAAAAAAATGCACTTGAGATGTTTTATTCTTTTCTCTAATGCTCATATTACTATCAGTGTAACCTCCAATTTTTAGTTACTGATGTGCAACTTTATTTTTAATCTGTGCAACGTTTTATTACAAGAATTGTTTAAGCGGCTTTTATTCTTGAATCTTACTTTATTTATCACTCTTACTTTTAATTTTACTGTTCCTTTTTGTTTTAAAATTATTTCTTATTTTAATAACATTCATTATTTTAAAAACTCATATATTTAGAAAATGATTTCCTAATCATATAAAATTTATTGCATCAACATACATATAATAAAAAATGATTTACCGTTTAAATATAACATATAGTCTAATCTAATATAGTTTAAATCTAACAGTAATAATGATAGCAAAAATGTTCAGATTTATCAGAAAGTAAATAAAAAAATACTACGTTCATATAAATATACAGGGGTTGGACAAAAATATGGAAACACCTTTAAAAAAACATGTTTCTTTGCTTAATATGGTGTAGGAAACCCATTGGCATCCAAAACAGCTTGCAGTCTTCTCGGAATGGATAAATACAGTTCCTGTATGTTTGCCAAGGGAATATTATACCATTCTTCCTGCAAAACGGTGGCGAATTCAGATAACGATGTTGGCGGTGGATAACGAGAACGTACTTTCCGTTCCAATGTGGACCACAAAGGTTCGATAATATTCAGGTCTGGTGACTGTGGTGGCCAGAAAACCAGTCCTGGACAATGTGAGCTGTGTGAACAGGGGCTTTGTCGTCTTGGAAGACACAATCACCATCGGGGAACAAAGTTTGTACCATGGGATGAACTTGATCGGCCAAAATGTTCACATGATTCTTGGCAGTCATGTGCCCTGACACAGTTATCATGGGGCTAGCAGAGAACCACGATGTGGCTGCCCAAACCATAACAGAACCCCCGCCATGTTTCACTTCTGGCAACAAGCAGTCTGTATTATTGGCTTGAGATGGCGTTCTCCAGACGTAAACTCGGCCACAAGTGGGAAACAATGTGAAAGAAGACTCGTCAGACCATATTACTCGCTTCCACTGCTCTATAGTCCAGGCTTTATGACTTAAACACCACCTTTTCCTGTTACGGGCATTAGCATCACTGATGAGTGGCTTCTCGATTGCAGCACGGCCAGCAATTCCCTGTTTATGAAACTCCCTTCTAATAGTTTTGGTACTCACAGGGTTCGGTAACACAACATTCATTTCAGCAGTAACTTTTGCAGCTGTAGTAATCTTATTTTTCGTCACAATTGCCCTTAATGATCGTCTGTCACGATCACTCAGGACACACTTTCGTCCGCGCTGTGATTTAGCAGATGATGTTTTTCCGCTTTTCAAATATGCGGAATAAATCTTCGATACAGTAACTCTTGAAACACTAAACACCTCGGCTACCTTGCTTACGGAAGCACCTACCATACGTGCTCCAACAATTTGCCCACGTTCGAAGTCTGTTAACTCTGACATAATGCAATGACAATCTCACATAACAGTACTCCGACAACAACTGAACTGTTTAGCACATTTACGAAGTTGTATAGGTGGCGTCAGTAGTCAAAAATGCCAGCGCCACCTACATATTTCATTAAAATCAATCTTTCTTTTCAAACATGCATTTCACAAGGTGTTTCCATATTTTCTTCCATCCACTGTATATTAAATTTATTAAATTTTTTATATAATTTAAATTTTTTCTCTTCTCTCTTTAAAATTTAACCTTTCAACATATATGAGATCAAATTTCACATTGTTTCCAGTGCTTAAATGAGATTTTACTGATATGCATATCTAAATGATCTTCTTTCAAACAATTTCTTTGTTTACTTTTGTCAAATTCATTAAACTTAAACCTCGTTCACTGTCAAGAATAGACGCTAACATTGTTCAGCCAATGCCTATCAGCATTATTTTCAAAATTTAGGATCATTATTCATCTAGTAATGAAAACCCTACCATATCTGAAAATTGTTTTATGAATTTACACTTATTTTTTCCCTACACGGGAAATGTAAAGTCCTTATATTATTATAGCACAGTTGTTTAAACTGTATGTTACTGAATTTCAGGCACAATTTTTCGACTAGTTCTGTGACATAATTGAAATCTCTCGCACTTAATGTTGTAAAATAAAACTCTACCCATTTCTGTACTTCATTTTCTGTAAATCTTCCTTCTAAATGAGAGCAAAGTAAAATGATCGGCAAAAAGTTAGCATAAAATCTGCGCAATTTCAGTATTTTTTTCCTCAGCTTTAAGGAAAAACGTTTTCTCTCCAAATAACGCTTTTGGGGTTAATATTTTGTTTTTAAGATTATTTACCATAAAAAGGGAATGCATCAAAAGAAATGTATCAATGAAATGCATAAAGGAAATAAAGGAGATGGCATAGAAATTGTAACATTTATCAATTTAAAAACAGAGAACTATTATATGATTTCTCTTAGGATTGGAATCCCTTAATTTAATTTTAGATTGAAATTTTAAATTAACAGCTAAAACTTCTCCCTAAATAATTCATGAAATGTTTAGTTGTATACTTACTTGGCGGCGTAATGCTAAGGGTTTCACAGATAACACCGCCGTCAGGAATTGTAAATATGGTTACCATATTTGGAGGAATAACAGGAGGAACTACTATTCCAATAATGACGCCCCATATCTTAAGAAATGAATCAATAATTTCGTACGAGCATTGTTTCAACACAATATGCAAGCACAGTTTGACTTTATGAAATTCACTGCAATGAAAAAAGACAAATAAGCAAAATATAGATAATAAAAACAAATAAGCAAAACATACAGTAAGACCCCGCTTAACGCTGTTTCGTTTATCGCTGTTTCGGTTTATCGCTCTTTTATTTCAACCCGGGGATTCCACGAAATCGCTCGCAGCATACGGGGATTCCCCGAAATATTATGCAGCGATAGGTTTCAAATACATATCCGAAAGAGTGTACTTGTATTTCTTGTTTGGTGCGGTATTGTACAGACATATTTTGAAGGGGTAAATGTGGAAGATGTCGAAGAAATAATTCAAGAAGCAGCGGCTAGTCTTTCTAATGATGAGCTCAAGGAATTAACTGAACAAGAAGAAAACAAAAATGTTGACAGCAGTGATTCAGAAGAAGAGCAAAAAGAACTTTCGATGGCGTTTGTAAAAAGGAGTTTGTCTACCATAACTGAAATAATGGATCAATTCATTGAAAATGATCCGAATTTTGACAGGAGCTCAAAAGTAAGGCGTGGTGTTAGAGATGCTCTATCCGTTTATGAAGAACTTTTAAGAGAACAACGCAAAAGAAAAGGCAAACAACATTAGATGCTTTTGTCACAAAAAGGCAGAACACTGAAAACGCGGAAGGCTAACTAAATATGACTGAGTGAGAATTTTATTTGTTTTTTTTTAAGAATATTCGTTTTGTTATTTATATTTTGTTTTTATTTTTGCAAGAAATAATAATGTAGTATTAATTTGGGCTTTAAGAAATAAATGTTTGGTTTTATTTTTATTAAAAAAAAAAACATACTTTTTAAATTTAATACCTAACCAATTTCCTAGTCATCTTCCCCTAACCCCAATATTTACATGTAAAGATAGCCTCGTTTAGCGCTGTTTCGCATTACGCTCTACTTTGATGGAACGTATCCCCCGCGTTAAGCGGGGTCTTACTGTACATTCAAATTAAACGAAGTGATACATTTTCCCTTGATTTGATTCCTACTAAGATTGTTCGCAAATATTTTAGACGATTTTTCACTGTAGTTGCAGAAATATTTTATTTAGATAAAATATGTATGTTTTAAATGAAACATTTGAAAACCCTTATTCTTTACTATCTTTTTATGCGTTTTTTTTACTCATAAAGTTGTTTTAAAACATTATTTTGATTTGATTGTCGGAGGTGACTAACTGCAATACCCACGGTGACGGTATTTGTGAAAAACAATAATTTAAATGTCTCTAACAGAATGATAGCGCAATGACTATCTCTGGCGGGTTTCCTAATAGTAGAACAGTTTAAGGCTAGAAACCCTTGAAAATTCTATAGCTAGATATGCAGGACACATTCTGGTTATCTTAAATGATTTGCTTTTATTCTTCGACACCATTATGCATATGCAAATTTTTTTCTGACAAAAGCAGCATTTTTTTTCCTCTTTTGAGAATGGCACTTTTAAACACCTTCATTGCTGTCGCACCTTTATTGAAATTTTGTGACTCTTACAGACATCGAGCTATTCAGCTACTGTCACATACTCTCAGGTGACGTGAAAATATTCTTTAACAGAGATTTACTGCCAGCCTCAATATTGCACTGGAAATTCAACGTATATTATTAAGCATCTATATCGTAATGATAAAGATATGATAAGAGTGCCAATTACGGCTTTCTTCTGGCGACTGTGCCACGTGGGATGCCATTAAAAATGATTTACAACCCAGGAAAAACGAATATTCGTGAATATTCAAATTCGAAAGAATGAATGATCATCTTTTTCATAAACCCTAAGTATAAAGTAAAACTGATTATGCTAACAGTGGCATATTAAGATACGAATAGTAATTTTATTTATAAACTATAAATTGAAATAAAAAGGCTAACCATTTACAATCACGTTTACGTATAATGATCTTCTTTGTTATGGATAATGAATGCTAAAAATATTGAAACATTAGAATTTATGGAAAATCATTACGAAAATTTGAGGAAGATTTACCATAAACATTAACATAATCTAGCACACTTCATTCTTCAAAACAATTTTCAAAAGGATTTGAGAGATAAATTAAGTAACCATTTCATTTCCATAATTGTTTAAAAATAAATAGAGTCTGATTAATCTTTCAAGTAAATAATTAACTCTTATTGTCTAATTTTCATACATTCTATTTTGAGTCTTTTATTTTTAGTGCATTAGTACAATAAACGGAAATTTTAGAATTACTTGTTTGAACTGCCTCGATGTTAGAAATTTGATGTTATGCCTAAATACGAAACAAATTCAGTTATAAATACTAATTATAATTCAATACAATGGTTATAAAGAATACAAAGAAAATCCTTTCATTTAATGAATCTGTTAATAAGACGTTGTATAAGGCTATACGAATATAAAAACTCAATTAAGCTGCGCGAAAAAAGTATAATTTATTTCGCTTGCATTGAATATAATTTTGACAATAAATTTGCGACTTACCGTTCAAGAAGTATTGGCGAATTTTGCTTATGTAATTCCACAAAAAATAAGTAGAATTGAACAATACAATCTCTTAACTCCTTGTAGACAAGCTTCGATAAACATTTCATAGCTACGAATTAAATCATTTAAATTATTGTAGAATACATTACATCAAAGGAATACATTTTCTTACTGTAATACACAAGAAAATACACTTACCTTTGGAGTCACTTTCATCCTTTGCACTTTCGCGAATGATTTCAAGGATATTTATTGCTACAGTCTGGAACTGGGTAAATTTGTGATATCGACAATTTAGTGATTCACTTACAACGACACAACGATGAAGAATATCCATAGCACTTCAAAAGAAAGCAGACAATAAAGGGGTGCAGATTAATAAAAATTAAATATATCTTAGTGCGCATTGATAATAACATTACATTTTCTCAGCGAGATAGATACAGATACAGATAGGTTTTAATATGATTAATACGCTATCTACCAGTAAGTATTTGGACACCTGAACAAATGACGATATCTGCATTGCTGATATACGCCGCGCCCTCTGCCGTTAAATATCGGGTAGAGAACAACATTGGCATTAATCGCATGCAAGATGTTATGAAGTGCAGAATTATCTGATTTCGTGAAAAGTATAATCATCGAGCTCACAGAAATGACCGATACTTATGGGATATATCTAGCGATCTTTGAACTGCCCAAAATCGACAGTGGCCTATGTGATTCGGAAATGGAAGATGAGTGATTGTCGGAATGTGACTCGAAGCAGCATACCTACGAAGCTGTGAGATACATGCGGACGAGTTCTACCCCGATAAGTTTGCAAGAATCGCACACAACCGATGGCTCTCAAGGAGTTTCGACAGGCAACCGGGAGTGTTGTTTCAATGAATACCATCTGTAACGAATCACATCTGCTTGGTTTTCATGATCGCGCTGCCGCCCATAAGCCTTTGATCACAAAGGTCCAACTGGGCTGCTTGGTTATTGTGGTGCAAAGCACGTCGACAGTGGTTCATACATCAGTGGAAAGGTGTTCTCTGGAGCGGTGAATCAAAGCTTATCCTCTGTTATTCGGATGGCAGTGTCTGGCTCTGGCACCTGCCTGGAGAGTAAATTTGGGAAGAGCTGAATTTATGGTCTGGGAGTGTTTCTCCTGATATGGACTGGGAACCTTGGTTCGAATTCATGGTAAGCTGGACGCCGACGTCTACTGCACTATTTTGGTTGAGTTGCTTTTATGTTATTGCAGTTTTACGGGTTGGAGCCATGTTACTTTCAGGACGACAACGTCAGCCATCATGTTGCGAGGTCTACCATGGATTGGTGTGATGACAATGGAGTTATCCGAATGGGCTGGCTTGTCCACAGCCTATACGTGAAGTCCTATTGAGAACCTCTGGAACCAGTTGGATAAACGAATTAAAGGATACGACAACCGTCTGACATTCAGTGAAGGAATTTGCATGTCTTCTCCTAGACAAATGGAAGAAAATACCAATAGACGGCCCAAAAAAACTTATTTGAAGCACGGCCTGGAAAATTGAGGCTGTAATTGCCGCTAGAAAGGACACAGCTAACTATTAAATATGAATAAATTTTGTTTTTCTTTTCTATCACAGGTGTCCAAATACTTGCTGGTAGATAGTGTATGTTGCTGATAGAAACTCATAATTAAAATTTTTACTGATTAAACGAATATAAAAACTCATAAATAATAAGAAATTTAAATCAAGAACAATGATTTCATGTACAATGACGAAAAAAAAAAGAGGGGACTTTCTTGTCTCCATCCTAGACCACCGATTGACGAATTTCAGCTTGCGTTATACACGTCTCGAACTTGCGATTTGGGATCTAACACTGTGTTCATAAATTTCCTTACCTGATTCCTATTTTCGCAACCATTGGCCGCAGATATATACTTCTAAAAATATTTGAAATGACGGAAAAAAAAGACTCATGTTTTGGCATTTTTAAACTTAGTGAAATCAAATAAAACTACGAAATCTTAATTTTTGATTCTCTTCCTGTTCTTACTCATATTTAGAATTTTTTTTAGTGTTTTTAAAATATTAACAGAAAAGGTCTGATTCTGTTACAACAAAATTTTTGAGATATTTAATTTCAAAATCTGCGATTTTTGACGCTACATTCAAATTGCACTAAGGACTTACCATTCAATAAAGTCCTTTTTTTTCTTTTTATTCCGTATGTGTATGCGTGTGTGAGATATTTAGTTTCATCAATGTCTAATTTTATTACATTTGATATTTGGAAAGAATTTTCACGCAAGTAATTCCTATTTTCAAAATATAAAAACACATTATTGTCGTAAAGTTTTATTACTTTAGAATTATAATATGGTAATCAGGCAAAAATTTTCTCAAATTGCAAATCCTTTTTCTTATTTTTAATTAATGAATATAATATTATGATTCAGTTGCGAGCCAGTCTAGGAGTCCGTCAGTTTTGCTTTTCAGGGCAGGAATTCTGTAGGATTTTTCTTAAATACGATTCTGTTTTGGAAATAAATAAAATTGATCATTAACTTTCACAATAATCTGCATAGAAATGCTCGTCATGTAATCTCCTAACATCAGAAAAGTTTTTCTAAACTGATGCTTTATTTTTAGTTATGTACACATGCAAACGTTTCGCTCATGAATTTGCATGCAAACCCTAAATATCATCCACCACTTTAATAATACCAAATATCTCGGTCAAGTCGTATGGGAATGAAACATTGTTTTTTACTTTTTATGAGGAATACAAAATATTCCAGACATAAATATTCAAAAGAGCAATATAAGCACCGCTAACAACATGAAGAAGGCATTGAACACTCATAAGTAGTTCAAGGAGCTAAGCTTATGTATCTCTAATCAATGAATGGCCAGGCTTGATGAACATGCAATCATTTCGAACGCAGTTAAACGCTCAACCAGCCCAAGCAGATAACGAATTTTTGAGTAACTAACTCAACGATTTGAAAGCGAGCAATGGCAACAATCTATAGGGGAAAAACTTTTTATCTCCAGCGCACGGAACTGTGTCTCGGAAATTCTAAAGATAGGCTCATTTAAAAATTATTTTGCGGCATTGCTATTGAACTAAAATTTATGGTTTAAATGCGAAGAACATGATATTTAATAAATAAAGGTAGCACACGAAACGTTAAAAAAATGCCCCTTTGGACGTAATTTAAAATCTGAAACCTTTCAGATTTTTTATTAACCTGGATTTATTTTTCGTTTCACTTTATTTTCAACAAAATTTTAAAAACTGATTTTTAACAGCGCAATATTTCGATTGAAAAGAAAGTCAAATCAATTATTTTTGCAAATTATAATTACTAATTCAGAAGTCAAACAACAAAAATCAGCGTTATATTTTCAAAATTTTCACAGGACTAGTTTCGATGGTTTTACCGAACCACCATCCTCAGCTGCAAAACCGCAAATGAACGAGATAGGAAATAATGATTAGATAAGATAAGAAAGCCTGGACAGAAAATAAGCGAGTGGCGCCATCTGTTGATGAAACCAGAACTAAAGCATAATTTCTTTGAAGACCAAAGGCAAAGATGGATTGTAATTAGGATCGTTAACTAGAACAGAAAAAAAAATTTGAATGTGAAATGCCTCTAGGAAATCCAGTTCTCCAATGACAGATGTTTTTTTCCAATCCATCTTCTGGTTTCACTAACAGATAGCGCCACTTGCTTATTCTTGTACAGGCTTTCTTATCTTGTCTAATCATTACTTCCTATCTTGTTCATTTGCGGTTTCGCAGCTGAGCATGGTGGTTCGGTAAAACCATCGAAACTAGTCCTGTGAAAATTTTGAAAATATAACGCTGATTTATGTTGTTTGACTTCTGAATTAGTATTTATTCGGCGCGTTATAGTGTCTTAAATTATAATTGTTTTATAATGTTTAAAAATATTGTTCGTGGAAAAAAGATAACCGATTAAATTTCGAAGTCAATTCTTTTACTTAATGTTGTTTGTTTTTTACCTACAGGTGTCTGGAAAAAAAAAATGCTTGTGTGTTACTGGGATTCTCAACTGTCCCTATACTTCATCATATGTCGGACAGTATCTCGTATTATGTTAATTAATATTAGCTTCCGCCACTGTTGTTTTAAGCTATCTTCTTTTCGGGTCATCTCCTCCATCTTTGGTTTATTAATTTTTTTACTAATTTACTTTTATTTCGATTTTGTTTTCCAATTATGGATTCAATTGGAAAATTTTGTTTCATTTCTATTAGAAAATTTGCCACATTTGGTCGTTATTAATTCCATATATTTTATGTCCTTTCTATTTAATACATGTGTATGTGATCATATCCGTAAGTGAATAAAAATGAAAAATTTTAGCAAAATGAGAATATTCATTTCATTTAGGTATAAAAGAAATTACAAGTACCTGGATAACGAAGTTTTCGACCCGGACTGCTTCGTTGTACACTTTTTTATACCTCCTGCCCAGGACTCTAATTCACCGGCTTCACAAGAACTTTCTGTCGTAATGTCTGGTACACCTGTTCGAGGATACGAAAACAACTGAACGGAATTTATAATAAACAATGTTACCATCATATTTTAGAAATTCAAGATTTTCTACTGAAATTTTAAATAAAAAGTAACAAATAGTAAACTTTTGTTAACAGTCTTCTAATTGGTATCTTACAGCTTTGATCCAACTATATGCATTTCTCCCGCCTTATTAGCATGCCTTCGTTGTGTGGCGGTCTGCACGCTGGGCGCGTATTTCAGAGGTCCGTGGTTCAATTCCCGGCGAGGGCGTTGCTTATTTTTCATGACTCCTGCTTCCGAAAAATACATAATGTCTATGCACAACTACTTAATACATAGGCTGGTTATCAGAATACAGAAAAGCATATGAGGTCTAGCTTTTGAAAGGGAATGATAGTTTTGTAGAGGTCTTTCTAAGAGAAACTATTTAGTATTCATTAACACCTTTTCAAAACAAAATGGAGTTAAGTTATCTAAAAATAAGTTAAAGAGCAAATACATATTTCTGAAAATCTTTGTTAATAATTGTTGCATTCGCACATAATTTACTTTTATTTTTTGTACAGAAGTTTTATATATATTTATTGTGTATCAAATACAAAATGCATGTATTTATTTAATTTTTAATTAGTGATCACTTATTGTGTTTGTATTTTACGTGCAATGCTCTAGATCTTTTCAGTCCTGAGATACCAGAAACTCTCCTAACAAACTTGAAGGTAATTTTTGTAGACAAGTTCATAATTTCATCAAGGTAATTTTTGTAGACATTCGGTAATGTTCTTGGAAGCACATTCTTGAAGCCGTAGAAGTGATTTGCATCGAAAGGTTTGTAGAGACATTAGAATTTTGGGAGGCCAGAGAGATGAAAAATTAGCTACGCCTTCGCCGGGAATAGAACCGCAGACCTCTGGTATACGCGCCCAGTGTGCAGACTACCACACCACGAAGGCATGTCAAGAAGGCGGGTGAAATACCTTACATACTTCCCCTTTTAAAAGGCGACTGGGGTTTTTAGGGGATTCAATCACCAAATCCTGAGTGAGGAGAATCATCATCCAACACTCTTTTAGTTCGGGCGCCACTGTAGAGACATTAGGTATTTTTGGAAGAACGCAAGGTGAAAAATTAGCAACACCTTTGCCATCGATCGAACCGAGGACCTCTCAATTATGCGCTGAGCGAGTAGACCACTACACCACGAAAGCTCGCTAAGAAGGCGGGAGAAATACGTTACAGGCTCACACACCCTTTTGAGCAACTCTATGAACCTTAGAGAAGATAACTTAAAAGTGAATCTTCGATATGTAAATTATATCTTCAAGAAATTATCCACTTTGATTAAGTCATATTACAGAATGTGAGCACTCAGGCTTTGAAGAAATCAAGGCCATTCGTGGTTGATGAACCCAAGAAAAAATTTATTAGTTAAGAATTTTTTGGTTGTCTTTCAGTTTATTTTCAAAGATTTGTTAAAGAATTTGGGTTCAAAGATCTCAAGACTTAGCCTAACTGTATCAAAAGAATAATTTCGTGCACTGATGAACTTCCAGATGCATTTAAAGCTTTATAGGAGGTTTAAGATCTCCTTATATACTACCTTAAGCAGAACACAAATATAACTTTGTCTTCGATACAGATGCCAGTAATAAAGAGACCGAAGCAGTTCTTACAATTAAATAATGCATGTAATCGTTATAAATTACAATACATCAAAATGCATTATTGCAAATAATAAAACATATTTCAAACGCTATATATTACATATATGCTTTAGAATCACTCGATTTTAGCCTCGAATGCAATATTTTATTTTTTCACTTTTCATTCGAGTCTGTTGCCACTTGAAATATCGTAAGATATTAATCTTCTATATTTAATCTGCCTGTTATTAGTTAGCAAACTAAGCTATTTAAAATCAATAGATGAGATTTTTTAAGAATATTATTTTTCTACTTTTTAATCTGATTGATTTAAATAAAATACATTTACCTTCATAATATATCTGTTTTAAAACATTAAATAATTTTATGGAATTACTTTACATTATTTTTTCACTTTTTGAATATACAGAAGATATATAACGTATAAGGTAATTCTTCCGCCTTCGTAGCGAAGTGGTCAGCACGCGGGCTTTGGGGGAGTATATAAGGTATTTCTCCCGCGTTCTAGCATGCCTTCGTGGTATAACGGTCAGCACACTCGGCGCGTATTCGAGAGGTTCGTGGTCCCAGTCCCGTCGAGGGCATTGCACATTCGTCACATCCCCTGCTTCCAAAAGAAATTCAAATGTCTCCACAATCGTTCCCATATTAGTCTAACAGCATATTCATCTAATATACTAGAAAGTATTTCACTGTTCCACCTGGATCATCTCTGTTGGTAATCTCTTTTGATAAACCATATTAAACTTTAAAAGACCCCTTTTGGGAGATCATTAAATTCTGAACCTTATAAGGCTGTTTTTATTATTATTAGTCCAAAGGGGCTTTGTCCGTGAAGGACTAGTGTTTTCTTTTTGCGATTTTGCGTTGAATCACTATAAATATCCGTTTCACTTCTCAAACTGCTGCCACCAAATGTTAGAGTCTTGCTTTATATTTGAAGAAATTAAATAATGAAAACTCTGCATAAAGGTATGTCTATTTCTCGCATTGTTATAAAACAATGGTACATAGAGCCATCGAATTTTGAATTACGTAATCCTCCTAAAAATATGGGCATGTGGAAATCCAAATTTGAAATTTGGAATTTGTTTTATTATCGATTTCCTATTTTGTAAATCTTTAACGATTTTTTTCATTAGCAGACTCAAGGATTTCAAAGCGAGCAATGCAAATGTTATACAGAAAACACATTTATATCTCCAGCGCGCGAGTCTCTGTATCGGAAATTCTAAAGATATGCTCATTTTAAAACTATTTTACGACATTGCTGTTAAATTGAATTTTATGGTTTAAGTGCGAAGAACGTGATATTTAATAAGTAAATGTAACGTGTAAGGATTATGTTAATTTTATTAACAGTTAAATTTTAAGTTAAAGTTCCTGTCAAATTCTTAACTTGAACTTACTCCTTCCGGCCAGAACGTAGTTTTGGAATTTGCTGAATATTTAATGAGAAGAAGCGGTATTTAAACCACGAAGTTACCTACCGAGACAGAGAGAAAACAGAGTTTCTCAACTACGCGCGGTCTGCCTTTTTGGCCGCTTCTCTCTCTCAAAGCTGTTATATCGGACGCTCGGCCGTACTCAGGCCCTTGCTAAGCTTCGTAGTAAAATAGGTTAAGGGGCCAAATCTCTTTGTACCTTGATAGCTTTGGCTATACTTAGTTAGTTAATCCTAGTTTTAGTTTAATTCTTAGTCTTTTAAGTTCAAGTCCAAAGTGCGGACTTTATTTGTTCACTCCCAGGCGGAGTTTTGTGAAATATTAAAGAAATAATAAAGGGTTATTTACCCTTCTCTTTTGTTGTTTCCTGTCTTCGAACTCTAGCGATTATTCCTAGGTTCCTCACTTCCAACATTAACTTAGATTTCAAGTGAAGGACCTTACAAACGCACAAATGTTTAAAAAAAAAAAAAAAAAAAAAAAAAAAAAAAAACCGCTCCTTTGAACGTTATTTATAATCTGAAACCTTTCAGATTTTTTTTATTCTTCAACCCCCCCTTTTTTTTTGATTTTTTTATGCTTTTTGCAGATTTCTACATCAAGAAGAAGGCCTATTAATAGCTACAAGTAGAAATAATTATAAATCAAGGCTTTTATGGGTGTGCAAATTTCCTAAATAAGTAAGTACAAAATAAAAGTCTTTGGTCGTTTAATGAAGGTATGATGAATTAATAAAAGCCACGTCTAATCTTATCCTCAGAAAATGTTCCGGAATGATGGCTGTCACATTCATCTTTACGATTTGTGTGGAAATATGTTTTTACCATTGTTTATGCTCATTGCACTTAATAAGCACTTTGTTGTTGTTTCCTATAACCAGACACGAGCAACTTACTGCATTATCGGAAATGTGCAATAACCTTTGATGAGCATAACTGTAAAAAAATAATAATAAAATAAAATTTTTTATACTGCACATTCTAATGGCATTTTTGCACTTATGTGCTATTTGCTTTCTGTGTCTTAAACCTTCCGTAAAATACATAATTTTTTAGTGTATTGACTTATTATTATTATGTATGTGTATTGACAAATCCAGCATGATAAACAAGACTTTTATGTATAGACAGTGCGTGAAATCTTCCATTTATTTTTAGCGATTTCCGCTAGCGGTCGAGAGGTAAATTTCCTGAATTGATTCAAATTCAAATACTACGGAATGTGCTGAGTTCAAGGGAATTTCCATGGCTTAGTTTAAAGTAATCTAAATCTAACTTAATGCTAATTATTCCTAACACATTTTTTCCACAGATCGTTAACTTTCCAGAATACGGTTTTGTTCTACCCGCAATGCATTAATAACGTTACCCCTCATTTGGCAACGGTTTACTGTATTTCAATCATGGATTTGTATAAATTTTAAGCTTCTTATAGAGGTAATGCGAATTAGACTGTTAAGAAATTTATTAAGGGATATCAGAAACCCCTATACCGACAATATTAAATTGGCTATTTTCAATGTACCTTTTCTCAAAATCTGCTGTAGATACAAGCTTGAAATTTTTTCTGTAATTAAAGTACACCTATCTGATTATACTGAAATGAGCTTTTGAAGCTTTTTGAATTTTAGGGTAAATTACAGAATATTTTGTTAGGCACAGTAAAATTTAGCACTTTTCTCACACAAAAAAATTTAAAAACTTTCTTTTCTAAGTTTATTACAAAAAGCTCATTTCAGTAAATATTAGGGAACCTAATAAATAAGCCGTAAAAAGTTTAGATACCTTTGAGCAGTAGTCCCTGACAAAAGGTATATCGAGTATAAAAAAATCACGTTTGGCGAAAAACGCGTTTTTATGTAAAAATCCTCATTGATCAAAGCAGTAGATGACAAATTAAAACTAGATTTTTTTACAGTTCTAATTTTCATACAGATTAAAGAATGGTATTTTTAGAAAGATAAAAGTGTAGAAAATTTGAAAGTGCAAAAATCCGAAATCACAAATTTGTGAAGAATTTGGGGTTCCAACACCCCTTAAAATCCGTTCATTAGTTTGCATTTCAAAATTGTAAGGTCCATTAATATTCTTTTATGAACGAGCTTAAAATTAATATTTTGGTACCAGAGCTTTCAGAAGTGTTGCACATTTTAAATATTAAATTTAAAAATTAGTTTCATTTTCACCAGCAAGATATACACTCATGTCCATAAATCGAGGATAATTCGGAGTCACGCGGAAATCGAACTCTAAAATAAATATATCACCTGTAAAATCACTACACACATCTTCAAAAATCATATGCAAATTTCAGGAAGTAACCAGATGACACAGATGGTACGTCACGATGACGAGAGTGATATATAAGGAATACAGGCAAAGAAGTAAAATTGTTCGCAGGCGCTTTATAAGCATTTCTGTGCAATGACCGAATCGTTTGAGGCGGAATTATTCTGAGTTCCAGAACTAAACCTGCATGTTCAAATTGGAACCACGACAAGCCAAATCTATCGGGATGTCATTCTGGAACAACATGTACGTTTGTTTAGGGGCTCCATGAGTGCACAATTTGTGTTTATGGATGACAACGCACGTCCTTACCGTGCAAACATCGTAAGCGAATGCCTTCAGTCGGAGGATATCACCCGTATGGACTGGCAAGCATTCTCACCGGACTTGAATCCAGTAGAGCACGTGTGGGACATGCTTGGATGATGAGTTGCAGCCCGTCAACCTCCTCCTACATGTCTACCGGAACTTCGGAGAGCATTGCTTTTTGAGTGGTGTAATATCTCCCAGAGATCAGATCGATAATTTGATACTCAGCATGCCTAGGCGTTGTACGGACTGTATTGCATCGTCTGGGGACATACTGTATTAACATCAATCAACCAACCATGTACTATTGGTTTTTTTGTAAATAGTTTTTTTTTTTTTTTTTTTTTGTAATTTGCTCCAGGGAGAAAATAATCTCTAATTTTTTTTTAATAATATCAAACATATAGCATCTTTTTTTTGCTCTTTACCTTCGTTTAATAAAATGGCTTTACAAATAAGTCAAATTTGTTTTGTTTTGCTTCTAACTCTTCCTTTTGCCTGATTTTGCATTATCCTTATTTATGGACATGAGTGTATATTCAAAGAGAGAGAAACAAAATTCTACATGAATTACGAATCGAAGTCGAACAAAATTTTACAGCTTCATAATTTTGAGAATTAAATATCGGATATTTATTTATAATTTAAATTATTTACGAGTAATACGGCAAGACGTATTCTGAAGAAGCTTTTTTTCATACAAAGAGAAACTAAATAGCTTATTCAAAGAATTCGTTGCTGGTAATTTTGAGAAATTATGATAAAATGAAAAAATATTAATTTTACGTTTTCGGTTTGTTTTGGTTGATTAGGCAAACCTGACTAGGGCTACCTGCCTATGGGGAGGAATACCTTCGTGGAGGACTTTCTAAAGGAAATTAGCTCGTTTACACATTACACATGGGAAAATGCTCATGCAGCTAAACGGTTTGCCTGAAATTGAAACCAGGTCAAAACTACCAGCGTTTAGCTATCTTACCGCTGATGGGTCGCTGGTGGGCCTTTTACGGTTTCGGAAAATTGTAAAAATAGGCAAAAAATTAACCTTAGTTCGGTGTATATTCTGAATAAACTCTACTGATTTGAAAAGTTATTAGATATATGCCCATCTTCTTCACGGGTACAAAAGTAGCAAACATTAGTAAATTTAATTTTTTGCTCCTTAAAACGAAGGGCCTATGTCATCTTGCCTTAAAAAATTAAGTTTTATTAAAAAGTTTTGATTATTTTTTCTAATTTTAAATTTTACTTTGTCATGCGTCTCTTCCATTTAGTGTAATCATTATATTTTTGCGTATAAATTTCGCAACATTCTAATAAACTCAATGTTTTCTGAAACGTTCTGGTTATGGTTTTGACAGAGCACTGCTACTGGTATATATTAATAAATGCAAGGTTTAGTATGACAGATTTATAAATTTGAAAGTATTTCTTCTTTTTTCTAAGCAACAATAATACTAAGAGAAACCGAAAAAAAAGATTTTGAAACTCACTTGGGGTAGGCCTATCTGTAGGATATACTGTTTCAGGAAATTCAAAAATTGTTCTTCCGTCTACCATAAGAACCAAAAGCTGTATTAATTCCTCAATAACCCCATTTGAACACATTGCCAAGGAGTCTTGGAAGCATTTAGTCACTTCTCTGAAAAAGAATTATTTATACATGAAAACATGATTTACGTATCTAGTAGAAACTCATGGCTTTTGTTTCTTATCCGTTGGCAGTTTAGTTTTACAATAGTTCTGCAGTGCAGAATTGAAATTATTAAAAACAAAGCACATATTTAAATGTTCTTTCTCCACGAGCCCACAGTCAAGATTCCAGATTTTGTACAGAGTCAAGCTTCTTTCACAGTAATTTAACTTTCATTCTTTTTTTATGATTTTCATTTAGTTTTCTGATGGTGCTTCATTGTGGGTGAATTAACTAAAAGGTTATAGCAACAGTGGGGCGCCTAAATAACGAAATATATTAATTAAATTGCATGGTCAAAAGTATAAGTCATGATCTTTTTTAATTTATCATGGGTGCCCTACGCTTTTATTAATTAGCGATATAAAATTGTGGGTAAATTCTGTTAATTGACTAGCTAATCTAACGTTCCCATTCAATTTTCTGACAAATTATTTTCCTTCTTTTAGTGCATTAATTATCACAACCATTAAAAAAGCTTATTGTATGAAAAACCTTTTTTTACTTCCTTGTACGAGGTAAAGGAGGTACTGTAATCGCGAAAGTTTTAAGGTATCATATTTCAAAGCAAATATCCATTCTGACCGGTATCGAATGCAGTTTAACGATGATTTTTGTGTGACATCTGTATGTGAGAACAGAATAAAGGATTCTTTCACAAAAAAGTCGGCAAAAATATTTAAATGGATCCAGAAGAGATTTTCTCGTGACATCTGTACATACGTACATACGTACCTATGTATGTATCTCGCATAACTCAAAAACGGGTAGCCTCAGAAAGTTGAAATTTCGTATGTACGACTGCTATAACACGGTGAAATTTCTTTTTAGTTGCAATCGGCTGCACCAAAAATATATAAATATACCCAGCATAATATTCGGTTCCGTGAGCTTAAATTTTTTAAAATTCTTATATGTTGGTAAGTAATATACTTTTTGCTTTAAAAATGATTAAATTACTTTGTTCCTATTTTTCGGTTAAAGTTTTTATGCATGTAGATAATCTGCATGCAACAGTTGTAGAATTTTCAACAATTTGAAAGTTATTTAAGCGAGGCTAAGCCTATTTTCTTTACTATAGCAGCCACATTTGTTTAGATTTGAAATTTACCAGAATAATGAATTAAGTCAGCTTTCGCACCTTCAGTGTCTTTTGGCCGAGTGGGACCAAAAGTAAACTTTCAGTTTTGTGCACCGAAAAATCTGTCTTCTTGCCCGCTGGCCAAATTGCTTGTTTTTGCGTAAAAACTATAATTTTCATTGTTTTAACGGTATTTGTTCTTTTAGATTTTTCTATATTTTTCAATTTGATATAAAAGATAATGAAGATATAGGTTTTATGTACTTTTGCCTTGCCGTGGAGGGAGAACTGAATTAATTGAATGAGAAACATAGCTCTAATGAAATTCCAGGAAATAAGTTTAAATGAAATGCAAGGGAAAATGTGTGTATTTTAATATTCTGTAAAAAGGAAGTCATGTGGTGTACACATCAGATTTTGTTTTAATTTCATGTGATTTCATTGCTAAATGATTAGCTCTACTAAAAACATTTAAACTTTGTTCCACTTTTTCTTACCAATTAATGCTAATACTAGCAAAGAGAAAACAACTTAATTTGTATATGGTTCAACTTTTAAGTGTAAAGTTCTGATAAATATATAATTTTCTAATCGGCAGAATTAGATTTATTTAAGATATACGGAAACTAAGCTTTTGTTGCCAGAAAAACGAGATTTGTATAATTTTATATATTCATTTTCATTTTCTCTCTTCATATATATAAATTTTCTGTGAGTATTATTATAAAATTTTTAATGCAATGACATATTTTTATTTTTCGTTTCACCAATTTAAATCATGTAAAATAATCATACGTATATTTTAAGGATGCTTTAAACTATTAATTTTGATAAATAACACGTGGGTTAGATTAGCTGACAAAATACTGCAAGTATGAAAATTATATACACTAAAAGAAAACCATCTGATGTGTACATCACATGACTTCCTTGTGTGGAGTAATAAATTATATGCACTTTTTCTTGTTTTTCTATTTCCTCGAATTTCATTAAAGATATATTTTTCATTCAATTAATTCAGTTCTCATTTCGCTGCAAGGCAAAAATACATAAAAACTTATATATCTTCATTAAAAATTGAAAGATATAGTAAAACATAAAGCACCAAATACAGTGAAAACAATTTTTACGATAAATTACAGTTTCTACGCAAAATCAAGCAGTTCGAACACTAGGCAAGTAAGTATTGGAGATCATTGACTGGCAGTCACGTCCAGTCAATGATCTAAATTCAGCCACAGTAGTAGCACGAGGAGAGTCCGAAGCACAGTCGGCTTTTAATAACACCCTCCATGACTTATTTTCTGTAGCACTAACATCAGCATTACGAAAGGAATTTTTATAAATCTTATTACTTTCAAGTTTAGCAAAGTGAAGAGAAATGTCTCTGGAAGACCGTTGAAGTATATCCGTACTTTTTTTGCCGAAAGATCCGTCATCTCATTTCCCCAAAGACCACAATGTGAAGGCACTCACTGGAAAGCAACCTTTGTCTGAATTCTGCTCACCATCTCATTGCAGCTCTGACACGAGCACCTTGTTCTCCTAGATTACTTGCTAGGCCTGAAGAGCAGAGCTTGAGTCCTATAACCTCAGCCCTTTCAAGAGGAAGAGCAGAGGGCTGACAGGAAGTTGGCTGAAGGGCGAAACTGGAGGCCTTGACTTCACCACCAAAATAGGTTGTATGAGAGCCAAAATATAGGTAAAAGGAAAATAGATCACAGAAGACGCCAGCACCAGCGCCCTGGGTGAAATCCAGAAGGGAACCATCAGTGTAAATATGAAGCCACTCAACCAGGAGGATACTGATATTAAGGCAATTACTTTGAGTTTTACGTCTCCCATTTCCCTTCTGTTAGTCCTCGTGGGGTTTTACCTTCCCCAACTCTCACACGCATTTCTTCAATATCGACGCTGATGTCACGTTCTGATTTCTCGCTAGCACGTGGGCCTTAACCTTTTGAAGACGGGATGGCCATTATAGTGGCCATAGAGTCCTCTCTTTGAAAAGACGGGCGTTGTCCACTTTAGTGGCCATGTCTTTTTCCCCCATTTTCCAGGCTGAAAAGTGGGGTGAAATGTCAAATTTGATGTCCCTGGGTTTTAACCACTTATCTCTTTCAAAGGTCTTCCTTTTGCGACATAGATGCACCCTCTGAGAATCATTACTAAAACTACAACAGAATTTTTTTGCAAATAGGAGGTGATTTCTTCAAGGGGGAAAAGCATTCGGTTCAAGATTCCCCGTCCTTTGGTAGCTTTTACTGCTACCAAAAGACGTATAGACATTTTCATATAGACTGCTCAAAAGGTTAAGAATCTCAACTTTAGGGACCCATATTTCGCAGCTGCACATTTGTATCGCTACCGAGGAAGTGGGTTCTAGAATGGATCAATAGGCTTCCAATAATATTTCTGCAATCTCACATGACCTCTGTCGCGCTTTAAGCAAGAAGGTTAAAAATGCTTCGCAGCGCAGTTTCCTGTACAAAATAATTAAAGCACATGAATTTCTTGTGAAAATTCTCAGTACGAAGTTAGATCAAATATAAGCATACTTATATATGTAAATGGTAAAAGTCTCAGCATTTTTATTGCAGTCTATATGAAAAAGATGTCCTATGATAATAGCCAATTCACAGTTTTATCCAAAGTGAACTTTCCTAATTTGCATTCCTACACATCTAGTGTATTAAATTTCACATCAATAACTGTTCACTATTAAATGTGCTCCCTGCACAAGAAATAATCTTTAAACAGAATGAATTTATCTTATACAAAACGAATGTATTTAATTTATTCATATATAGATTTAATGTTAGCAATAGGTATAAGCAGATCATTCACAATATATATTTTGAATCTTACGCTTTCAGAATCAAGGAATAAGAAAACGCTACACTCATTATAACACTTCCACTTACTCTCAGCTTAATGAAGTTGAATTATTTTAATCCACAGTTGTTAGTAAATGTGTAATATTTGCGGCTAATTAATAGCTTGCATTATTTTCTGGATACAAAGAGCGATAACATGCCACGAATATTAATCCGAATATCAGTGTGTGATACGTTTCGCTAAAGTGAAAAGTTGACGAATAAATGAACTTATCAAATAAAAGCACTACGAGATTTTCTACTAGTAGCATTTATATTCTATATCATTATAACTGCGAAACAAACGCAAAATAAAAAGTAAGTAATAACACGCGTTCATATGTACAGTTTCAATGATTCAGAGTCAGTGCAATAGAAGCTTATTGGTCCATTTTTGAAACCCCTCCCTCAGTGAGATACTAATGTGCAATTGTGAACTATGGCTACGGGACTCATTTTTCCCTTTAGCGGATGTATGCTAAGAATCTGGACTCTGCTGCACTTCAAAAAGGACTCTTCCCTTTTGCTTTTATGCGTCTGTTCATCGCTCAAATTAATGTCATTTTAACGCTATGTATGTATTTCGATTTTTTAAACAATTTGTTCTTTACAAATTAGTGCTTAATAATCATAAAAAGCCATTACTCGAAATGAAAGCATAAATTAAGTACTTAGTGAATATTGTACTCGTCTCAGTTACTATGATAGTCAGATTTAATTATCATCCGGCACATTTTATATTTTCTAACTACAGATCTGTATATGTTCTTTATACAACAACACAAAATTCTAAGCAAATTTATGAAAAAATAATAATAAAAGTCAATGCAACATTCGGAACTAATAAGACAGAAAAATGCACATCTTACTTGAGAAGCTCAGGGCTTTCAGTACGGTTTCCTACAGACATTAAGTAGTCGTACAGGAGTTTTCCACAGTTTTCTACTCGAAAATAATCCAGCCAAGTGAAGCAATAATGCACATTTTGGAACTTATCTTTATCTAATTAAATAGAAACAAAAGTGCGTTAAATTGTTGGTTATTAGATTGGTCTTTAAACAATGCAAAAGTACTGCTAAGTTTCAACATCAAGAGCTATAATTCGAATTGTTTTGAGCAATTTATTTCAACAGATCTATAATTCGAATTGTTTTTGCAAGTTTATTTGCAAAAACCTATAAACAAACTAGGTTATGATTAATACATTATGATTTGTAAGTGCAATAAATCCAGGACTTGGATTTCTAATTATTGAGAAAAATGAAATTATTGGGTACCATTTTCTTGCGTGAAGGCAATTAATTATTACTTGCAGAATGCAGTGGCTCCCAAAAGTGTTCCTACACTTACGAGTTTCAGTGAAATATTGCTTTATCATTAATACACATTAATATTTGAGAATGATAATTTTTTAATAATACCTATAAGTTTCTCTTAGCAAAAATGCATTAGTTATTTTATGAATATAGTAAAAAAATTTTTGGGGGGGAAATTCAATAATCAAAAAGTAATGGAAAAGTTATAAGGCATTTCTCCCGCGCCTTGTTAGCATGCCTTCGTGGTGTGTAGGCCAGCACGCTCGACGCGTATTCGAGAGGTCCGTGGTTCGGGTTCCGGCGAGGGCATTGCTCATTTTTCATCTCTCCTTGTTTAAAAAAAAAAAGAAAAAACGCACACCTAATGTATCTACAGTGGCGCCTGAACTAAAAGAGATACTTCCCCAACATACTCCCCCAATCGACAAATCCTTGTGGCGGAAACTGATCGTTCTCCGACACAAGGATTTGGTGATTGGAGGAGTATATAAGGTATTTCTCCGGCCTTCTTTGCATACGATCGTGGTGTAGCAGGTCTGGCGCGTATTTGAGAGGTCCTTGGTTCGAGTTCCGGCAAGGCCTTTGCTAATTTTTCATCTCTCTTTGTTTAAAAAAAACAAATCTAATGTCTCTGCAAAGTTACCTCAAAAAAGGCCTCGTACACTTTAGAGAAATCTTCACATATTTATAAATATTGTAGTGCTTGTGTTAGTATTTTGCAGGATATCTTGCAACATATATGAAAGCTTTCAATCGTCTGTGCTTTGAGTTTACCAGCATTTTCCTGTAATGTCTGCATTAATGTTCCTCTGCTTTTTCCATCATTCCTGTGTTTAGTTCGGTTTTCGTTTTTGGTTACAGCCGAAAACATCGCGGCAAAAACGTCGCGGAGAAAAACAACTAATCGCGAAGGAAACAACGCAAGGCGGAAACGTCGTGCTACAAAACATCGTGGAAGAAAACATCGCAAAGAGAAAACGTCGCAGTTCTAAAACACCGTGGTACAAAACATCGTCGTCGAAAATAAAGCGATTAAAAAACTTCGCAGTTTAAAAACATCGTCGTCGAGAATATCGTGGTAAAAATAAAGTATCTACAAATCATCGCATGACGATAAAATCGCAGACATGCTTTTTTCAGGACTTTAATAACTGTAAATGGGTATTCCCATAATGATTTGTTAGCGCAAGATGGAAAGAAGGATAAATTTTACTTTTTATTAACTAATAAATTTTTTCTGAGAAAATAAGAAGGAAACTTAAGCATGCTTAATGCAACTTAATGCAACTTGTAGCACTTAATAAAATTTTAAACCGAAATAGTTAACTAACAAAGGCCGTTAATAAATAATTCTTTATAAAGTTTTTACTGGTAATTTTTCATGAAACGTATAACCTATAATTTGCATTTAATTTTCTATGCTTACGTTTCCTTCTTACGTTTTCAGAAAAAATTTATTAGTTAATAAAAAAATGTGAAAGTAAAAATTACCTATCTTTACATCTTGCGCTCACAAATCATTGTGGGAATATCCATTTACAGTTAAAGCCTGAAAAATCATGTCTGCGATGATTTGTAGATACTTTTTTTTGACCACGATATTTTCGACGACGATGTTTGTAAACTGCGAAGTTTTTGAACCGCTTTTTTTTTTTCGGCGACATGTTTTTGTACCCGATGTTTTAAATTGGCGATTTTTTCTCTTTGCGATGTTTTCTTCTCACATGTTTTTAAGCACGACCGTTTTTGCTTTGCGTTGTTTTCTCCGCGCTTTTTTAGCTTTTGCGTTGTTTTCGCGCGATCTCCGCGACGTTATTAGCTTTTGGCGTTGTTTTCTCCGCGCGTTTTTTCCTCGCGCGTGTTTCTCTGCCGCGATGTTCGGCGGACACCCCGAACCCCGTTTTTTTTATGTTGTGTCGTCGTAGGACACCTCTAATTCTCTGCATTCTATCAGTTTAATCAAGTAACTGAGAGGGGGTGTTTTTTCCAGATTTTGTGGACAATTAGAGACCACAAAATCAACGTTGAAGGCCGTGTTGGTTACCTAATAATACATAAGATTTTTTTTCCGTACCCCACCCCCCCACCCAAAGATGTTTGTGTCCGTATAATTTTAAAGATTTTTAAACATCTTTTGTTGTTTCATTATGGTGGTAAAGGAAGTAGTGGCTGAATTTGTACATAAGGACCTGGGATCTAGTACACTGTCAATCCACCAATTTTTTGACATTGGCTCCAATGATGGCGTCACGGCCATACGGCCGGTACTCCTCATGCTAAACTGGTGCCAGATCGTGGAGTGGACCACCGGTATTCCTGGACCGACCAAGGGCGACAGCCCTTCTCCTATACTACTTGAAGCTGGCCTTTCGGTATCGCAGTCATGGTTCCCTAACCTTGAAGGAAATGAGAGAGCAATGTTGTCTCAAATGAAGCAGCGGTTCATCCACGTTGCGAGAAGTCCCGACCTTAGGCCAGTCTCGGACCTGAAGAGTCGGACATTCCCTCAGCTCCTAAAAATGTGGCAAGAACGTTGGGATCAAGCCTTCACAGGGAGACGTGTTAACATCTCTTCCAAGACACAACCACTAATAGCAATTACATGACGTTTTCCTGCTGGTCTGGTCCTTTCCTTCATACTCTGCCGCTTTGGCTTGAGAGAGAAGGTAACTACTGCGAAATGTGGGGAGGAGGGTCATCCAGATCATTTGTGTTCTCCTCCTTGCCCACAACACAGACTTAAACAGCCTCAATCAACCGGATCCAGATTCTGACCAAATTGGTTCCAGATCTACAAGTAACAGAGTGCCCAGCGGAACTGAAACAATAATTGACGACTACTGTACTAGCAATTACTCTTCTGACCCTGGAAGATAGTAGCCATATAATCAAACTTCTAACACACATTCGGTTCATAACATGTCGTTTTCTAGCACAGTTCTCTTAGAATTGACATCGTCAACCTTCATATGGCATTAACTCTTCTTGAACTGGAACATTTATTAACCGAAACAGATTAATTGCTCTGAAAGCCTAGCAGTATGCACGTAGAAAATAAAGCTAGTTCAATGTGTCCAGCAACAGAGTACATATTCAATATGTATTTTGTATTTATGCTATGCCAGGGTTTCGTACCCATTTTTGTATTGTACTGATGTTGTCTAGAATCTGTACCATGGTTTATATCTTTCTTTTGGTACCAATTTATATAAAATCACCGCTACCTAATGGCAGACTTGTACACTTTAACTACATGATAACGTTTATGTATGTGGGTGTATATATCAATATGGGTTGACGAATGTTACTTCTATTTGTTCGAATATCATGTATGTAAGTGTGTATATCTCTGTATATATTTTGATTAATGTATATACATATATTTTGATTGTACTCTTCTTCAGTGCCTTGTATGGACATTTATATTTCTTTGAACATTGTACTCTTCTCCGTGCCTGTATGCATATGCACCTCTTTTTTGCATTTTATAAATGTTGCTAGTGGTTTACTCCCGCCGAGTTGGTAACCAATTCTGCATGGATATAGCTATACCTGGGTCGGAAGCCAACTCAGCGGTTTACCTTTCCTAACCATTGCACTGTCTGGGCGGCAGTTCTTGAGATTAAGTTCCTCATTTTTTCTTCTCCATTTATCTAAATGATCATCGGAACAAAAATGCTAAATTTTCTTTTATCCCCAAATAAGGCATGGTTCCAAAACCGTTCGGGCTGATTGGTTTTGCGAAGGACAGAATAAACTTTCTAATTTCTTTATTTTCAAAACATTGTCTTCGAACAGAGCGTTTATGTATGTCTATCCAGCTGATCTGAGTACTCGTCGAATAGCTTCAGGTGAACCTGAAGTAGAAAATGTTTTGGTAAATTCTGTATAAATCGTTGCAGCACCTGAAACATGTATTTTGCACACATTTTCTGACTGTAAATCTCTGATCACGTTGAGTTCATTTTGCCGGACGACCACTTCCTTATTTTTAATCCGATTTCTTCTTTTACTCAGCGTAGGAGTGACACTAAACTGAGGTGACAGTGACTCTATAGGAAACTATAACTTTTTATTGCCAGTTTTTTCCTCCGAAGAAGAGACACATTTTAAGATAAATAAAATACAAAAAACGGTACAGGATGAACTAGCGTTTTAAAAGATATGCAAAATTAAGTCAGAAGGTAAGATGACTTTATTATGAAGTACGGAACGTCGGTGTACGATCAGGGTGTTGTATCGTGCCTCCAAACTTAAATTGAAGGAAAGGTCATATTAAAGACGTTTAGTTTTTTATCAAATCACACGAAAAATATTGTTGGTCTTGTATGATTCAGTTTTGCTGGGGGGCCACGGTATTTCGTTCTATCTGTAGCGTGGCCTCTTACCGTTTTTCTAGGTGTTCCAGAAGAAATGGTTCGATTATGGGAAGGCGGTTGTAATTTTCCATTTTCACTTCTCACAAAAAAAGGAAAACTACAGGGGAAAGTAACAGGAGGGGATAGTCCTCAAGTCCATAGGCATTTGGGTCACCAAAAACATCCGGGTCCCTAAGGCATTTTTCTCCACTTTCGGCGGCCTTCGTGGTGTAGTGGTTCTTCTGCAGCTTGGCCGGTGTTCCAGAGTTCCGTGGTCGATTCTCGGCGAAGGCAGTTGCTAATTTTCCGTTTCTCCGGCCACCAAAAAAAATCTAATGTCTCTACAGGTCGCCGAACGGAGGGGTCGTGGATTATGAACTCCACTCCAGAATTTGGCGTTGGGTCACCTAAAAAACTCCAATCTCCCGGTAAAAGGGAAGATAAAGATGTCTCACACTTTTCTAGCGTCCTTCGGTTGTCGTGGTTCTGCACGCTGGCGGTTCAGAGGTCCTGGTTCGATTCCCGGCGAAGGCGGTTGCTAGTTTCCATCTCTCTGGCTCCAAAAAAGTTCGTATGTCTCTACAACAACCTCTTTTATATGTAATTCTTTAAAGTGTACGAACCCGTTAGAGTGTATATACCACACTTTTGCTACCTAGTACAGTAAAGAAATAAACAGTACGGGGGTAAAACCTTAACGATTCATGTTACAGTACAGAAATGTAAGAATGTGATCTGCATTTATCCAGCATTACATTATTATTCCTGTCAATATTAATAAGGTAAACACTTGAAATTGAAAAAAGATTCATATAGCAATTTGTAACAATTTGGGTGCAGCCATTGGTTTAGCATATAAACGAAATGAGCAATAAAACTGCTAATATTTTCATTATACTCGATATTTTATTTTTCTACATTTATAATAATAAGCAGATTTTGAAAGATGAATAATTAATTATCACCCAGTTTCATATCTCACCTAAAGATACTGATGATACACACAAATGAAATAATCATCAACTATACTGCATCTGATTTCATGCCGATACATTGAAAAAGAACTAGCTAATTCAAATTTGATCTTGTTTGTTATTATAAAAGAAATCATGGTCTCTAACATAATTAGATGCCATTAAAATTTATTTAATAGGTGCGCCTTTTAGTTTGTTTAAAAGAAGAAAATATTAAGGCGATACTTATTATGTAAGAATCTTAAACATAGTTCCAAAGTATATATATTCTTGATAAGTGAAAGTATCATAACGAAACATTTTATACCAGAAAACATTTGTAATTTTTAGGTAGAAAGCAAATTTTTTTCAGAACCGAATTTAAAATGGAAAAAGCTAGAATTCATATCTATGCATTTATTTTTGAACTGCTATTGAAATAATTAAGTAGTTAAATAATCGAATGATTAGTTATCTAACTTAATATGAATATTATTAATTAATTTAATTAATATAAACTTTAAAAATTATTTTCATCTGTGAGCAACGAGATATACATG